GGTAAAGAAGATAATGGTAAAATGTTACCAACATTTAAAGAAGCTTTTTTACCGGCGTAAATAAATTGACCAGTGTAAACACCTTCATTAGCAATGAAGGTTTCTTCTCTTAATTTATATTTATAAGGATCACGGAAAACAACTTTAGCTAATGGAGCACCTCTACCAGCATCGTGGATAATTTGTTTAACAACACCACGGATGTAACCATGACGTTCAGCATAATCTAAGGTTCTTAATTTAGCAGCACCTTTATTCAATCTGGTGTGAGCGGTGAAGATTGAACCAGCACCTTTTCTTTGGTTACGAATAACTCTACCTATATTAAGAAATTTTGTTAGTACATATAATCTAATAATAATACAATACCCCGTTCATTTACACTCGTTCTTCAATCTTAACATCTTAGATTTTCTTATTATATCTGCGATCTTAGAACTCGACTTTCAAAGTCCTCATATACATCACTCGTTTCAACATTCATTAATCTGCAAACTTATTCACTTATCCATCTCGTCTCCTCTCATTCTGATTGAAAATTTTCGTTTCCACCATAATCTATATTTCATCTCTAAATTTTTCACTATTTGTTCTCCCCCAGTTAACGGTTGCCGGGGTTCATTTTAAACAGAGCACTTGGTATATGAACGGAGCATGAGGTTTAAGCACATACCCATTGTTGATGTTTGGCTTTAGGATAAAAGAACTATATCTAAGCTTAAGAGTAATAGTTAGTAAAACACTAATATTAACCAGATTCGCAAGGTGAGAATCCTACACTACTGAGAATTCACGCAGTATTCCACAAAAAAAAAAAAAAAAAAAAAAACGAAAATTTTCATTGATATTTTCAAATTTTAGTTACACAAACTGAAAATTCAAATTGCGATGCCCAAAAAAAAGAATAGTGCGAGGGCACGAGCCCTCCCTGGGAAGTTCTTGCACGTGACTTGCTTGAAAGCTTTTCAAATTCGGTTGGCATTCTTTGCCAGTGAAAAAATTTTCTCTTTATTCCAATGGAACGGTTGCAAATTCGAATATTTGTTGCAATTCTAATCGGATATCAGGGTCTTTGTGAACGTATAGACTTACGAGAGTGAAGTGCATAATGTAGACGTGCTACAGGACTAATCTTTAGTACAATTGTATATTTGAAACAACATAAACACAACATCAGCAATAAATTGACAATTGAATTTGGTTAGCAAATGATAATCTAAAGTCCCAAAAAAGATCATCAAAGTTAATCCCATTCAACTGTCTTCGTCAGAATGTCATAAAGTTAGAAAAGCAAACATTTAATAAAACAAACAATGTGAATGAAAATAAAATATTGTGAAAGTAAAACAAAAACGAAGGAAAATCAAGAGTATAAGAGAATAAGAAATGAAATGAATTGATCACCAGACAAAGCTACCTGGCATTTGAAGAGATTGTTTCGATTGTTGTTGAGAAGATGCACCGTAAGTTGGGTCTTTCAAGGAAAGAGCTGGAATCTCTTTACCAAAACCATCAACGACAATACCAGTTTGAGCATCAACAATCAACTTTTTACTACTATCTGGAAGAACGTCTGGGTTTTTACGGATATGACCAGCAACTTCTCTCGAAATTTGTTCTTGTTCAGAAGTAGAAGCACCAACTACATCGATAGTAGGTAATTGGCTATGAGAATCAGATCCACCACTAACACTTCTTGGAGTGCTGTTGTCTAATCCATAATTGGAAAAGTTTTCGTCACCACCGTAATTATACTTAGGTGACATGGTAACATCATTACTCTTTTGACCATATGAAGCCCCAGTGATGCCAGCAAGACCCGCAAGACCGGCTCCTGCACCAGTTGCACTTAAATCTGGAGACCCATATTCATCAACCTTACCTCTAGAAGTGCTAGCTGGTGGTTGTAAATCATCTGAGGCGGCAGTAGTGGGTGGTGATTGCAAACCTTTAGAAGTGCTAGTAGAATCTTCTGAAGGAATACGTAATTCTTCACCCCTTTCATTATAAACTTTTCCAGTACTGACATCAATCTTTAATTGTTTGACGTTGGCCAATGCATCTGGATAAGCCTTTAATTTTTCAACAGTACTGATAGCAATTGCTTCAGCTTCTTGTGTATTAGTACTACCTTGTACAGTAACAGGAATGTTTTCTTCATCCGGTTGTGGTGCTTCAGCTTCTTTGGCAGCTAATGAAGCTCCACTTGCAACAGCAGGATCAAGATTACTTTTCGAGAATTCGGGTTGGCCATCTCCATAAAGGTTAGTACTTTCACCAGTTGTTTCGTGATGATAACCTCTGTCAGATCTTCCAAGAGCACCGGCACCTAATGCACCAGCACCCAAGGCACCGGCACCCAATGCACCAGCACCCAATGCACCGCCATAGCCATGACCAGACTTAGTAGAAGATTCATAATTAGATGAAGAAGCCGATCCAGAGTATGGTGGTTCAACATTACCCAAGGTACCTTCTCTAGCAGCATCACTTAATCTTTCCTTGGCTTTTTCATGTTCATTGTGGTACAAGTTAGGATCACCTTTTCCTTCAAAATCATTACGTGGAGGAATTGAATCGCTAGTGATAGTTTTAGATTGTGCATCCAGAGGTGATTGATGACCTGATGCAGAAGCAATACCGGCACCAGCTAATCCGCCAGCACCAGCACCAGCAGCAATATTTTTAGCATTGGGGGAACCAGAAAAACTATCTCTAGCATGAGTCTTGTTTGAGCCATCAGTTTCCACCTTATAAACCTCTTTAGTTTCAGCATTAATAACTAATTTACCTGATGTCAAATCAACACCTTGTTCTGCCAAGTCTCTAGATGCTTTTTGAGCAATCTTAGAAGCAGAATCTCTGCTTTTGATTCCAATAACTTCAACAACCAAACCATCGGATGGAGCATCATTACCCTTAGATGAGACACCACTTTTAGAGGCTCCAGCAGCTCCAGCTCCAGCTCCGATACCAGCAGCCCCTGCGGTATCTCTAGATGACTGGGAATCAGCTAAGCTTTTATCTTCAGCAGCTTTAATTTGGCCAGCTTCGTAAGCACCACGTTTGACCCCAGCTGAGTAAAACTCTTTTTCATCTTCTTTTGATAATTTCTTAGATGATGTGGAATTAGACCCTAAAGAAGAACCAGCGGCACCGGCAGTACCAGCTGCACCGGCAGCACCAGCGACACCAAGACCCTTGTCATTATTGCCCTTGTTCTTTCCAGCATCGTAAGAGCCTTTTTCAAATCCTTGGGAGTATGCACCTTTATTAAGACCGTTATTATAAGAATCATCAACAGCTTCTTTTTTTTTTGCTGCTACAGGTTCAATAGATTCATTTTCAATAGCACCACCTGTGTCAGAAGCAGGCAAGGCATGATCTTTTTGATGATCACCACTTACAGCATTATTTGAATTTGGATTTTCGGTAGAGGTACCCTTCTTAGCAGAGCCATAACCAACAGCACCAAGAATACCACCTAATGCACCAAATCCAACTCCTTTACCAACACTAGAGCTTGAATTTTTATCACTGTTATTATCATTAATGGACTTATCTTTGACATGATCGTCAAGTCCTTCAACTTCAGCACCCGCACCGGTTTCAGTAGCTGGTAAGCCATGGTCTTTTTTATGAGTACCACTTACTGCATTGTTGGAATACGCATCCTTTCCATTTGAAGCATTCTTATTATCAAGGGTCCATTTTTCTTTTCCCGCCTCATAAGCATCTTTTTTGATTTGGTCGATATCAGTTTTATTGGCAGATTTAGAAGATCTAGCACCAGCAATTCCCATACCACTTCCAGAATTTGCACCCTTATTTTCATTGACGTCTGCCTTTGAGCTATAGTTTGATGAGCTGTAACTAGACGAAGATGAAGAAACTGAGGAATCCAAATCATCTTTATTATTTGATTTAGATGCAGCAACACTAGCCCCTGCAACTGCAGCAGCACCACCGGCAGCAGCAGCGCCAGTTTTAGCTTTATCGCCCAAGCTTCCTTGTTTACCACCAGTACGAACAAATTCATTCTGATTCTTGTAAGAATTCAATGGAACATCCTGAACATCACCGGATTTTCCACCGGTAGCCTCTTCTGGATCTTGTTCGAGAGTATTAGTTCCATGGTGGGCTTCCAAGTCTTTCAATTCAGGATCAGCGTTTTCAGCAATTTCAATCAAGTTTCTTTTATCATCTTTGAATCCATGCTTCTTATTATATGAACTAACTGAAGCCTCGGTTTGATTTGGTTGAGAAGTAGTAGATCCTTTTTTAGCAGAATCGTCTTTATCATCGCCTTTATGACTAGCCAATCCTGGAACTTCTTGAACTCCATCGCCACTTGAGTTTCCAGTATCATTATCAGCAACAGTCTTCGTAGTCTTATGATGAGGTTCTTTGCGAACATCATCGAATTGATCTTCAGCTTCATTGAGAAGAGACTTATCATGAGTGTTAGATGAATTACCTTTGCCTAATCCAATTGCAGCTCCTGCGGCTCCAGCAGCTCCAACGGCAGCTCCTAAGTAACCTTTGTTTGAGGATTTATCTGAATTTTCACTTTCAAGGTCCTTGTCAACAACTGTGTCTTTTTCATCGTTGGAGGAAGCTTTAGGAGATGATCTGTTCCAGCCAAAGCTACTCAAAATTCCACCAGACCTGGAAGGACTTGGAGATTCCTTAGCGAGATCTTTATTTGGAACAGTATCTTTCTTACTGTCCGAATATTCTGGACCCTTTTCAGTGCCTGAGGCAGCAATGGTACCGGCATCTGGGTTTGTTGAATCAGTAGATCTAGCAAGTCCATCAGATGTAGGTGAGCTGCCGGCAGCTTTATAGCCACCATAACCAACAGCTGCTGCTGCGCTACCTAAAACTCCTCCTAAAACACCTGATTTGTTGGAATTGTCTTCATCAGCGGCATCGCCTTCATTGTCATGAACATCATCAAGCTTAGGAGAAGCAATAGCCTCTCTTTTGGCTGAAGACGAGGTAGAAGATTGCTTCTTATCGTCTGTAGCTTTTGATTTTCCAGCTTCATAGGCCTCTTGAATGATGGATTGTTCATTTTTAGCTTTTTCAGCTCCAGCTTCATAGGCATCATCAATGACGCTATTGATATATTCTGGGTCAGAGGTAGCAGCATTGTAAGCTTCATATCCAAAGGCACCAGCAGCGACAGCACCAGCTGATGCAACAGCGTATTTAGCAGAATCGAGTAAACCACCACGAGAGGAGGATGTGCTAGAAACAGTATCATCAGCCACTGATTTATCAGCCGAAGACGAGTTAACATTCTTTGGTGCACCAGTTGAAAGGTTTGAATTAGCATTGTTGATATATTTGGAGTCATTAGTCAACTCTGGTTTATCTTTGAGGTAATCAGTGTTAGGAGAGCCATCCGAGCCACTTAACTTATCGTAACCCAAAGCACCAGCACCGACAGCTACGGCAGCAGTAGCAGCACCTTTAGCACCATCTAATAAACCTGGTTTAGAAGACCCATCTTCATTCAAGGCAGAACTAGGGTCCTTGGTGGATGATGCGACTTTATCATCACCGGTGCTGACATCATTTTTGTCAATGACTTCATAATCATCAAGGGTGCTGTTGGAATCAAGTCCTAAGGTGTTACTGGCAAAGGCAGAAGCAGTACCAAAAATACCGCCAGATCTTTTAGATGAAGGGTCATTGGATGCAGGGTCAAGACTTCTGAATTGACCTTGAGTTGCACCAGAAGTATTGATTTCTTCATCACCAGTAGATTTACCGGCATCATACGAACCTTTTTTGACACCCTCTTGGTAAGCTTCGTCAATAATGGCTTTAGGGTCAGATTTACCACTAAATCCCAAGTAGCCGGCTGCAGTGGCAGCTGCAGCTGCTAATCCAAGAGTTGCACCTTTTCCAACAGAAGCACCTTTAGCACCTAATGAATCACTATTTGAATCATCAAATGGCTCTTTATAAAGAGCAGCAGTAGAAGCATTAGCATCAGACCCAGATTTACCTTTGTTTGGGGAATGACTGTCATTATTAATAGCAGCAGCTGAAGAACCAGTTCCAGCAATTCCGGTAGATTTAGGTTTAGAGCCACTAGGAGCTTTAGTTACACCTGCAATACCTGATGAAGTACCTTCTTTACCATGCAATTGATCAATTTCATGTTGGGTGGCATTGATTTTTTTATCCAATTCAGCAAGTTCGTGATCGTAATCAAAGTTCTTATCGGAAGGTGGAACACCAGCAGTAGTATCTATTTTAGAAGAGTCAGAGTTTTTGGAACCAGAAGCTCCAGCGATTCCAGCGGCTCCGGCACCAGCTCCAGCAGCAACAGCACCAGTACCCAAAACACGATTTTTGTCATTGTCAGAAGATCCGGAACCAACAGCAGGTTCAGCTCTGTTGTTTGTAAAAGCAGAGGAGGAAACTTCCTTGGATCCAAGTGGTTTTGATTGATTAGTTGCAAAACCGTGAGTAGAGTCAACGCCACGAGTTTTACCTTCACCTGGAGCACCTGAATCGGAAGAATTGACACCACCTTTCTTATCATTAGCCTGATGAACACCCAAAGCAGCAGCGCCTGCAGCGGCACCTGCACTTGCAGCAGCAGCAACGGTATTCAAGTTATCCTTATTCTGACCAGAGTCCGAAGTATACTCAGAAGGTTTGCTGGAACCTTTGGTATTACCGGCAGAATCAGGATAACCAGTTGAAGCGACAGGGGCATTTTTACCAGTGGTGAGATCAACGCCTTTTGAAGATTGTTTAGCAGTGGTAGAATCAACACCTTTTGAAGAAGAATCAGCGGTGGAGTCTTTAGCATTTTCATTACCAGAACCAGAACCAGCAGCGGTAGCAGCAGCAGCGGTAGCACCACCAGCAGCAATACCACCAAAGACTTTTTGGTGATGTTTACGAGCTTCTTCAGTAGCACTAACAACACCTTTATCGTTGTAGGCGGATTTATTTTGCTCATGGACTTCTGAAGGATCGACTTGTTTTTCTTCACCCGAGGTACCATCAGTATTTGCACCAATTTTAGTAGCATTAGCGTCTTTACCAGAAGAATTGGATTCTTCAATTTGAGCATCACGAGTACCTTTATGTTGACCTGCTTTATAAGCATCATTTTTAATTGAATTATTAATTTCATCACGTTTTTCTTGTTCGATATAAGCAGAAGGTTTCGTTTTCAAGTTACGGTTTTTAGCCAATTGAGCACGAGTAGCTTCAGAATAATCCTGATCTTCGGAATCACCATAAAGACCACCTTGGGTATCTCTTGGATCAAAGAAAACCCCAGTACCTTGAGTAGCAAGGGCATCATTAGCATAAGCTGGGTTTTTATTTTCAGTGACACCATAACTATTTTCTTTAGTGACACCAGTAGTATCGGTATTAGCATTTGAGCCTTTAATGGTATCTAATTGATCGCCTTGACCTTTTGAGATCAAATCACGTTCATTAATGACATCAGTTGGTTTTTTTTCATTAGTAAAATCACCACCTGGATCTTTTTCCACTGGTTTACGATTGACTCTTGGGGGACTTGTCAATAATTTACCAACAGAAGAAGCAGCAATGACGTGATTTGGGGAATGGCCAGTAGATTTCGAATCAACTTCATGTTGACGTCTACCAGCAGCATAAGCCTTTTTGATGATATGATCACTACTTGAGATAGAAGAAGACGAGGAAGAAGTAGCAGCCGAGGAGGCAGCATGACGAGAAGTACCAAAACCAGCAAAACCATAACGGGGGACTTTTTTACCAGTTTCTTTTTCAGCCTTGCGTTGACCTTCAATATAAGCAGACTCCACCACATTTCTAACTGGAGTTGGGAGATGGGAGTAAGGATCGTTATTTGCAGCGGTAGAAGTAGGCGAAGAAATGGTTGAATCAGCAGTATTTGCAGATGGAGTTCTTGAATGAGACCTGAAAGGTTTCTTCAATTTACTGAACAAACCGTGTTTTTCTTCGGGACTATGTTGGGACATGATAAAACAAGGTCAAAGAGATAATTGAACTAGTCAAACAAAGAGTTAGAGAGATAATTGAAAAATTGAAAAATTGAAAAAAAAAAAAATTAAGTCAAAGGGATAATTGCAAAATTTGTGGAGAAATAAGGTAGGGACTTTTCTAAACTTGCAAATAACCTAACAAAATTAATATGTTAAAAGATTTAAATTATCAATTGAGATGACTTTCTCTACAATTTAAAGGAATTGAGTAGTATTAACTGGAATTGAAGTATTTAAATAAAATGATGACTTTTATAGCAACTTATCAAGAGAATGGTTTAAAATAGCGGTTAAAATATTTTGTTGCGCAATAATTTCATCTGTGGATTTTGCCATACAAAAAGTGCAACCGTTTTACTCGAAGCCTCTTCAATTCAGGGAACACCCTTTGGGTTAACGAACATGGCCAAGAACATTGTCGAGAACATGATCGAGATGGTGGGAAGGCTGTAAGATGTGCTGGGCCACTTCGACAAGGCTCTACCAGGCAATTGCCGGTTTTTTTGGCAGTAATGATGCTGGTCAAAGTATGAGCACCAGAACAATTAGTCCCCGATGACCATGAATTTCAACCGTACATAAGCACATGTACCAAATGAATCATCACAACCTCGAACAATATATAACAAATAAGCTATGACCATTGAAATTTCACCTGCAAAACTCCGTGCCTACATATCTCGATTGCAACTGCGATTGCAAATATCATCTATTCGTACATTCGTAATACATAGGCCTTTATTTATACTTGGGCATTTATTTATACTCGATTGCAACTGCGATTGCAAATATCATCTATTCGTACATTCGTAATACATATACTCGGGCATTTATTTATACTCGGGCATTTATTTATACTCGGGCATTTTATTGGCTTTATTGTAGATTAAACGGGACACCAACCACTCCAAGCTTTCGGTTAGACCTTGGTTGTTTAAAACACTTACTGGTAGTAATTTCAGATCGGTTGCTTCTAATTCACTTACTACTTGAATGAAAACACCAGTTTTCAAGCTGACCAAATCAACTGCTTGGGGTAAGTCCTGTTTGTTGGCCAACATTAAGATTGGAACGTTTAAAAGATTATTGTTATTACTATCAACAAACCACAGTTCGTCGTGAGCAATTTCCATTAAAGTTTCATAACATTCTTGAAATCTTTCAGTATCAGTAGAGTCAATTATAAATATTATACCATGACAAGATCGGAAATACCTTGACCACATACTTCTCAAAGATTTTTGACCTCCTAAATCCCAAAACTTTAGATTTATATTATTGAATTGATTATTTGATGCAGATGCTGTATTGGTTGTTTCGGATTCACTCGATGATTCAAATTTGATTGTCGTGGTGTTTTGACCAACCGTGGGTAAGATTTTTTTATTCTTCAATATATCAATTGTCAGTGTCTTGGGTTCCTTATCAGTATTTTTGGCTTTTGTTTCGGTTGACGTTGGATATAATAGCTTGATATGTTCTAGAAACGTCGTTTTACCGGCGTTGTCGAGCCCCAATATCAACACATTGTATTGCTCTCGCTTGGTGTATTGGGTATATAAGGATGATGCAAGGTGAAACATTAGCTTTAAAGTTAATCTACTGGCTAAAGCATGCAATTGGATTTGAACAACAAGTGTTTTTTGATTGATTTCGTTGGTGTCTGGGTGTTTTGGCCCCGGTGAATTTTTTCACTCGTCTTCCCTTGTCTTTTTCTCTTCCCTTGTCTTTTTCTCTTCCCTTGTCTTTTTCTCTTCCCTTGTCTTCTTTTCTTTTTCTCTTCTTCCTTTCTCTTCTTCTTTTCTCTTCTTCTTTTCTCTTCTTCTTCTTCTTCTTCTTTTCTTTATTTCTCTTCTTCTTTTCTTTATTTCTCTTCTTCTTTTCTTTATTTCTCTTCTTCTTCTTCTTCTCTTTATTTCTCTTCTTCTTCTTCTTCATCTCATTCATATTTATAATGTTTAGCGTATGTTACTTCTGGACACATGACTGCTGATGATTACTTGATAGGGACAACTGAGTCAAATACTTTGAAGATAGTTGTTTAATAGATAGTAGAAAATATCTGATTGGTCATAAGTTTGCTTTCAATCTTGGAACCTTTTACTAACCTTTTGCCGTTTTGTAGTTTTGGGAATGCAGCACCTTGTAGGGAAAGACCCGTACAATAATTTGTAAACACACGCATAAGCAACACCCGTGCATTCAAAGATGTACGGGGGTTTTGGTGGGTGGGTGGTCGTGTCCCAGTGCACAGAAAACCTCCGCCAACCTTGACCAAAATAAAAGGGGACTTTAGATATGGATAGATATCTGAAGATATAGATCGTAACATAGACAGATTGAGGATATAATGTCATTCAAGTTCCCTTCATTTAATTTACAGTCGATTCAAGAATCGTTGGCTAAAGTTGATTTGGAAAATTTCACCAAATCTACCGGTAAAACTGTTCAAAACTACTCAGAACTGTTAAAAGAAAGCCTTCAACCATTAACGGAAAAGACCACCCAATTAATTAATGGACAATTACAACAAGTACAACAATTAGCATCGACCCATAGTAACTCTAATATTGAAATTAGTGAATTACCAGCAGATTATGTAAATTTAGAAAATAATTGTGATTTATTATTAAAATTATTTACTGATTTAATTCAATTCACCAATGATACTTATGGTAAAGTTAGTTATGATTATCCGCCAGGAAATTATGCATTGACCAAATTACGTGATGCACAAGTAGGATCAGCAATTGGTAATAAATTTAATCAATTGAAAAACGTTTCATCACCACAAGAATTAGAAAAAATTTTATTAGGTGGTAATGAACATGATGAACAGGTAAATATTCAAACCACTTCTTCAAAATTACCAAAAACATTATTTGGTCAATTATCTTCGATTACTTCCAAACATGCAGAAGATTTGAAAAATTCAAACGATTCTCTTTCTTTCACTTTATTAACTATTTCTTCTACTTATTTAGAAATTGCTAATTCAAGATTAGAGCAAGATGACAAAATCATGAATCAATTAAATGAACAATTGGTGCTTATCTTGAATGAAGAATTCATTAAAGTCAATGAATTACGTAAAAAAGTTTATTCTATTAGACTGGAATTTGATTTAATCAGATCTAAATTATCAAACGATGATGAAGAAAATGAAGAATTGATTTCAAAAGAAGATGAATTAGTTGGTGCTACAGAATTAGCCGTCAATGAAATGAAAAAATTATTAAAACCTTCTAAAAATATTAACTTATTGAAAATCTTCATTGAAGCCCAAAGAAATTACTTCGAATTAAGTTATAAGAAATTAGATTCTTTATTAGATAACTTGAATAAAGTCGAAGTAAACGATGACGACTTTGAATAGTTTTAAATAAATGTGTTTTCATATATATATATCAATTGTAGCATTTTTTGCGGTAACTTTGTTTTTTTGTCTAAAAAATGAAAAATTTCACCAAAAATCATCATTTATCTTCTACTACTCACAACTATTCAAACAACATCGGGATCTACTCAATCAATAGGGAGAATGTCAGAACAACCTGGTTATAACGATAAAAGAACCGTGCTAAACAAGGCCAGCTTGATCGAACCAATCATACGACACCGCATCCAAGATTCTACCTTCTACAAACAATACCTCTATCTAACCAACGAACTGACCATCCTACCAATAATAACCAATCACGTCAAATACATCGGTGGTACCGACTCAATAGGAAGACCCCTGGAGTTCTTATGCTGCTCATTACGATTACTCGAACTAGACCCTCCAAAAGAAATCATCTCCATCTACTTAAATCAATATGGTTATAACGAGTTCAAATACTTGACCGGTCTAATCCTCTTCTACATAAGACTATCCTATTCTTCCCAGGAAATCTATACTGTCTTCGATGAATATTTGAAAGACTACCGCAAACTTCGTTTTAAATTGAAAACTCCAAAGTTTCTAGATAATGGATTATCGGTCAATTTTGCAATCATTCACATGGACGAATGGGTCGACCAACTCTTAACAAACGAAAGATGCATAGACTTGATCCTTCCAAGGCTAATAAACCGATCCTTGCTTGTGGATAGAGACCTAATTGATCCAAGACACTATCCTGTCACCAAACACCCCAACGATTCTCCCTCCGATGCTACCTCTAGTGACTACCAAAGTGACAGTGACTAACCCTTATTCTCTCACAAACATGCACATGCTCCATTCACTTACTGCCAACCCCTGTAGGTCTCTCTATGCCCTTCTTACTCCGTAGTAATACAACCTCATACAAAAAACCTCCGTACACCTCAAACCACCTTCTGAATGCAGTAACTATCTTTTTCCTCAATTTCAAATGTCGAGTCACTCTGAATTAAGTATCAGTATAACCAAGATACAGAGCCGGTCTCAGATTAAGCTACGATATGGCCATTACTACGTTACCTGCTGGAGGAGATGCCAGTGTTGCATCGGTCCACCAGTCTTCGAAAACGAAAATCATCTTTATAACATTATTGTTCTTATTGTCTTTAGCTTCGTTTGTTTGTCAAACCGAATTCACCTCCCAGGCTTATCAAATGGGGTTTAGCGAACCTATTCTCTTATTACTTTTAACACATGGGTTATGGTGGCTATTATGGCCAATACAAGCTTTTGCAGTTTCCACCTGGAGAACCAGTGGTAAGATTAAACAGATCCGAAATAAACGTAAACAATTGGAACAACTGTATCAACAGCTGGAATCAAATGATAATAATGGAGGTTATCAAAGATTAAATTCGAATTCTCAGTTATTAGAACATCAACCATTGTCTGCCATTCCTATCAAAGATGTCGATTATCTCAGTTATTTCAAAAAATGTATTGTTAAACAAATTCATAACGTTTATCATTCTTCAATCTTGGTTTATGAAGCAAATGTTAATGATGATAAAACTACTGAAAATGTTAACCGATTATTAGATAAGAATCCCCATCTTTCTAGTTCGAGTTCTATCACTCAGTGTTTGATTGACTTGAATCATTCTCCGGCTTTTAAATACATTTTTTGGAAAAGTTTAATTATAACAATCGTGGTAACCGTTGCTGGTATAACTTGGTACGCTGCAATGTCAATGACTTATGCTTCTGATGTTACTGCTATTTATAATTGCTCAGCTTTCACCGCTTATGCTTTTGCTATTCCAATATTAAATGAAAAGTTCTCTTGGTTAAAGGCAAGTTCAGTGGTTATTGCAGTTTCTGGGGTGTTTATTGTTGCTTATTCAGATACTGATTCTCCTACTGAAACCAAAGCTACAAATGGTGATGAATTATATCCTTACAGATTCTGGGGGAACTGTCTTATCTTTGTTGGTGCTATTTTATACGGTTATTACGAAGTTTTATATAAAAGATATCTTTGTATTCCACCTCATTTATCCAAAATTATTACCCCTCGTCGTCAATCAACTTTTGCTAATTTTATTATGATGTGGATTGGTATCTTCACTTTCATTATTTTAACTACCGGTTGTATTCTTGCTCAAATTTTCCACATTCACAATTTCAATATATTCAATTATGGTGAAAAAACTAAGACCATTTATCTTTATATTTGTGGCTCAATGGTTAATAACTTACTTTTCAGTGGCTCGTTCCTTTCTTTGATGGCTTTAACTTCCCCTGTATTATCATCGGTTAGTTCTTTATTAACAATCTTTTTGATTGGTATAGTTGAATGGTTATTATTTGGTAACAAATTAAGTTTCCAACAGTTAATCGGTGATGTCTTCGTTATTATCGGATTCTCAATCTTGACTGCTGCCTCTTGGAAGGAAATTAGTGAAGGGAATGAAGATGATGATGTCGAAACTGCTAGTACTTTATCTTTTGCTATCAGTACCGACGGTAATTAATCCGACGGTAATTAAACCGATGGTAATAAATTCACTTAATGACTATTCAAAATAAAAGGCATTTTTTATCAAAATTATATAATTTTTTTCATTTTTCAGTTTCCGTTTTCATTTTTTTTTCATTCATTAGTTTTATGCAAAATTTAGGTTAAATATATTGGTTTTAAATTAAACATTATTTATATTATATAAGAAATGTAGTCACCCTGGTATACATCCTATATAAAAGTAAAACGACTAAGAAGAAAGAAAAATTAAGAATTGAATAGGTCATTAATAAAGCTCGTTACGATGACATCATGCCATCTTTGAATTGAGTATCATGCTTCTCATGCAAGTAGGAATTAACGTTATCTGAAGTTAAAATATTCTTCAGTTTATATCCACTATCAAGGGGTAAGGTTATTATTGGAGAAGTAAGCCGTCTCTTCTTGATTGGATATTCACTTAAATTATTAGAAAAATCTGTTAAATTAAAGTTTTTGGTTTTGGAACGAGTTTCATTATCGAATAAACTCTTCACAACAAAGTAAGGATTTGAATCCATAATTTCAACACTTGGTACTAAAGTATCAATCTGTACGTTTAATTTCATTTCAACATTATTGTCATCATAAAGTTTATAAACAATTAATCTTTGATCGATTGTTGTTGCAATTAAGTAAATTGGATCAAACTTTGATACTCGGTTATTAAATTTACTTATTTTAAATAATCCATCGTTAATTAATAGTTTCAATGCCATTACTGGACCGAAATCTAAATTATCATAGAAATTAATGATTTCAAATGAATTAATATCAATTATACCGACCTTAGACATTGTATCAGTATATATGAGATATCTTCTATCATGGAATGTTTGTACATTATCAATCGGAAATTGTGATAAGTGAATTACTTTTATTGGGAACTTACTATTTTTAATATCATACACTAATAATTTTCCAAACTGAGTCCCACATATAATAAATTCACTGCCTTCATTGGTACTCCCAATGTAACAAACTGATACAATCCAGTTGGTAATTGTATCTAAAAGTGAGGCTTTATAGATATAATCTTCTTGTCTAGAACATGAGATAAAAGTTGGATTCAATTTATGACGATTTTGTAACGAATTCCGCAAATTTAAATTATTATAGCTTCTTCTTAAACTTCTCGATTGCTCAACCGGCTGATCGTAAGTCAAACTGATTGTTGATCGCAATTCGCTAGAGAGTATTTGAATATCTTCATTAATTGATGCCAATAAATTGGGAGTACCATGTCTTAACTCGATATTATAAACTTTCAATTCATTATTTTTACCAGCACTGAAAAGTTTTATAACATCATCCGAAACAGCTTGCAAGTATATACATGAAATTGGGCCATCAATCATATAGACCTTATAACTCTCATCAGCATCGTCATTAACCAAATCCCGGAATATCAATTTACCATCACTAGAGCAACTATATAAATAACGATTGTTTACAAACCCAATTGATACAATCTCATCCAGGTAACCAGTATTACTATTTTTCCACTCTTTGAAAAGTTTATAGTTTTTCGTATTCTTGTTTTTCAATTGGGGTAAAGTTTTATTGAAAATGGACGAAGAAGAATCCTCATATAATTGAATAAGCCCTGATGACCTGGCAATCACCATGTAATCCTTTTTTTGAAATTTGAATACAATTAATTTCTGGATATAATTTCTTGATCCTTCAATACAAAAATCAGGTTTTGGCTTGACTAGAATCTTTGATCCTTTTTCCTTCAAACGAAGTACTACAATTTGTTAGCTTAACAATTTATATAATGGGGAGCAATAACACTTTACATACCTTTCAAACTACCATTATTTTGAGCCGATAGTAAAACATCCATTTTCCCTTAACTTTTTCAAATTTAATCGTATTCGTATCCAATTAAACCGTCCCTATCCAGAATCTTAGCTAGTCACCGTCAAGTTCAATCTCTTTTTGTCAAATCCCTTCTTCGTGCTCACCTTTTTAATCTTAAACAAAATTCAAAGGATCAGTCTTGAAATATGGGGTAGTTGTCTATTCCAAAATCAACAAAAAAAAACAAAAAAAATTTGACTGACCTTTAACCGGGGAAATAAAACCAAAAGAGCCTTTAACTGATGAGTATAGATAATCAAATGAATAAACTGGAAATAATTGAATCAAACAGATCAAATTACCATTAAACAAATTGAAGTTATTAAGAACGGAAAGAGGAGGTTTTTTTTTATTTGGATCATAATCAGGCGAGGGGATTTCTCACTCCACTTATTCCTAGGGGTTGTACGGGTTTTGCAGGTGAGTTTTGCAACAATTTATTTAAAGCTATACAGTATAATGCTAGAGAAAGATGAAGTATGAGGCTGCTAGAGCAGGGGAGAATTATAAGAATGCTAGAGCAATGGAGAATTATTACCATTGGTGCTTGTGCCGGGAGGACCACCACCACCTCTTAAAGGTTTGACAATTCTTAAGTTCAAGCCTATCTTTGGAGACGGCGATAAAGGAGATGAAATGACTGAGTTAGGACGAGACTTAGTGATGGGTGTGGTGCTAATTAATAAGTCATTGGGTTTAGGTTTGGGCGAAGGGGTATTAATATTTTCTAGATTGGAATTTACCGTCAAAACTTGTTCGGTAATGTTGTTATCAGTGAGAAATTTACTTAGGGAATCATTTTGATGGAAGCTAGTTTCAACACCTTCTTCGATGAAAGTGGTTTGTTGTTGTTGCTGTTGTTTTTCAAGTTTTTGGCTTTCAAGTTTTTCTCTAACCAAATCTAATTTATTTTCGAATCTGACTGATTCTTTTCGAACTTGATGATGTTGATCTTTCAAAGCATTTTTCAATTTACCAATTTTATGATCTCTTGATTCAATGATTTTTTCACTTATTAATAAATGCTTACGTAAATTAACGTTTATTAACTCAACGTCATTTAATTTATCATTCAATTTATGTAATGCATTTTCTAATTTATATAATTTCAGTTCATCTTGGTGAGAATTTTTAACATTTTCCATTTTCATTGAAAGTATTACTGATTCTAATTCAGAGATTTTTTTATCACGACGATTTATTTCTTCATTAAGCCGGTTAGAAGATGTATCATTAGTTGGCGGTAATGGGATTTTAGAAGGAGTTCTTGGACTTGATAATATATTCTTCAAATGGTTATTACTGGATAACACTGGTGTTGAAGATAAGGTTGGTGAAGATAAAGATGGACCAATTGAATTTGCTAACGAGGTTGAAATTGATAAGCCTGGACTAAAAGTTTTATTATTGGGTCCCGGAGTTTCATTATTACGCCATTGTAATAATTCATATTCAAGAGTTTTTATATAATCTGCTTGTTGAAGATTTTGTTTTTCTAAATTTGAATTTCTTAATTTTAATTGATGTACACTTGATTCAGTATTAATATGAACAACATTACGAATGGATTTCGCTCTTGAACCGAATCTCAAAGTTGATAAAGTTTCAGGTTCATTTTCTAATGCTGGAGAACAATTGATTATAAGGGTTGTTCTTGAATTCCCACCTAAGGATTCTTGTAAGATTCTAGTTAATTTAGAGTCTCTATAAGGTATATGAGATGATTTATTATCAGTTAAGGAATTAATAACTAGTCCTAAAGCCAGTAAAGAACTATTAATTTTTTTAGCTTCTTCTAAATTATGACCTTGAGCTCCAGTTTTGATAACTTTTTCACTACCAGCCAAATCAACCAAGAATAAATTAGATTTTTTAATTGTACCGTTAAGTAAATTTTTTTGGGATAACTTAATTTGGAAAATTGCATGAGATCTCGAAGATTCAAAATTCATATTTGTTGAAGAAGTAGCACGAATCTTAGTACCTTGTTTTAATACTTGTAATAATTCATTTGAAGATGATACATAAATTTGACTAAGTCCTTTAACGTAAACCCCATTATCTTTATCTTCATGAATGGTATAATTATGGGAAGCAGATGGGGTTTCCGAAGTATCGAGTAAATCTTTAATTTGTTCCATATAAATTTCCATATAAGAAACACCAACAGTATATTCGATATCTGGAGAACCATTTTTAATATGACTGAAGATTTGATTGGTTATTCGAGGAATCAAACCACATGAAGCTTCATCCGATAATGAAGGTCCAAACATTGTATAAGATTTACCAGAACCTGTTTGACCATAAGCTAAAATAGTACCATTATAACCATTAAAGTAATCTTCTAAAGTTTGATGAATTGAATAATGATAGATATCGACTTGAGAACTATTATGATCAAAGACTTTATCAAAAGTGAAAGTATTAGTATAATCTTTACCATTTATTGAAACTGTTTCATCATTAAGAAATTCAACAATTGAAGGATTATTGTTTTCAATTTCTAATTGATTTTGAGGTCTAAATCGACAAATCACTTTAATATTCGTATTGACCGAGTTGGAACTCGAGCTTGATACAATCAGATTATTACGAGAGTGGAGACCTGATGATTGCAACTGTTTATGTTTAAATCTTGGGGATGTTGGGGTTGAAACATTTGAAAAATTTTGTTTAATTGGACTTTGTTGTAGATCAAAATCAGAAAATAGCCTAGAGTGTCTATTACGAGATTTAGGTGTCGAGATACCTGACATTCTTTTGAACTTAGAATGGTAGTCAAGGGAGATCACTTGAGTATCAACGTGATTAACAGATCAATTAATTAAACTACTTTTTGTAAATAGATCAAAACTCAATTTTGTTCCTTTTAAATTAAGATTAAATCCACAAATCTTCGCACCTTAATTAAAAAGCCAACGCGTGTTATTACTACAACTACTCTTACAATTCGATAAGATTATTATTTGAACGACATATATTAGAAACTACAAGATACTAAAACATTTAAGCTTGGTATTGGTAGTCTGGGAAGTTTCTTAAGTTTTCTTCTAATGGACCTTTCTTGGATAAGAATTTAACGTAGGCACCATCATCTTTAACTTCACCATTGGTCTTTTTAGCAACATAGTCAGCTCTGTCTAATGGAGTGAAACCCCATTTCTTGGAAATAATAATTTTTTGTTGACCTGGGAACTTGTATCTGGCTCTTCTTAAACCTTCGATAACAACATCCTTGTTAGAATCCTTAGTTCTAGCAGACATCAAAATTTGACCAATGTCAACACGAGCAGCTAAACCATGAGGTTTACCCCAGGCATTTCTCATACCTTGTTGCAATCTATCAGCACCGGCACATGACAACATCTTATTGATACGTAAAACGTGGAAAGGATGAACTCTAACTCTCAAGTGGAAAGAATCACGACCAGAGATTTTAGTAATATATTTGTTTGCGCAAATACGAGCAGCTTCCAAAGCTTCAGAAGATAATTGTTCCAATTCATTAGAAACTAAATGAACACATAATGGGAATTCATCAACAGTAGCCTTCTTACGACCTAAATCGTAAATTCTAATTTTGGCATCTGGAACAGCTCTGTTATATCTGGATTTTGGATAAGGCTTGTTCTTACAGTATCTGTAACATCTAGCTGGTCTTCTAGCCATTTTGTCTATGAAAAGTTGTTAGTAAATGGTTTTTTTTTTTTTGAAAGAAAGGATTACTAAGAGCTTTTATATTGCACGAATTTTCTGCTTACTAATCGTGACCCTCCACTTCAACTATCAACTGACCATCAACTGAACGTCAACTAAGAGCTACACTCAGTAAAGTAGCAAATAAAATAATCAGTGAAGTGGTCAGACAACCAAGTCCATTAGTTATTGAATAATCCAATTTTTGATTTGTAATCCACCATTTTCAAGACTGGACGCTTCGTTCTTCAAACAGCTCCTCCAAACAGTTCCCCCAAATGCAATATAACTCCTATCCCCTGGCATCTTGCTGCCATGACTGGACATACCTTATTTAATAATGTATGGTAAAACACTAACAGTACAAGAGAAGAAGTAACTTTTAATTGATATTTCAATCCAAACTCAGTGAGTGAGTGCCAAAAAGATTTTTTCTCTCTTCAAAGTACAAAAATGGTGAGCAGCGCAAAATAAAGAATTTTACTTAGTAAGCATCATGTGACCAGACGTGACTGCTTTTCCGCCGGCCTTTCTTTTTTTTCCCCAGTCCTGCAGGTACTGTCACCTCGGTAACCACACGCGCATCACGTGTCTAGATCACATGACCATCGAACGAAAACACCCGTGCACACAAGATTTCTCTTAATTTTTTTTTCTCTCTTGTTGAGATGAGCTTATCAAAGTTATCAAATCAAGTTATTGAATCAGCTTGTTAGAACAACTTGTTAGAACAACTTGTTAAATTACCGAGTTATTAGTTATAATGGGTAGATACAGTGTTAAGAGGTATAAGACCAAAAGAAGAACCAGAGACCTTGATCTCATCTACAACGATATATCCGATATCAATACCATTAGGAAATTGAAGAACCAACCGTTAGATGAAAATAAACCAGGGTTAGGACAGTATTATTGCGTTGAATGTGCCAAATATTATGAAAACCAACATGCATTAGACTGTCATTTGAAAACCAAAGTGCATAAAAGAAGGGTTAAAGAACTCAAACAAAGACCTTATACTAATTTAGAAAGTGAAGCAGCCTCGGGTACCAATATGGTCAAGTTCATGGAATCGGTTGAAAAATATAAACAGATGGAACAAATCAAATCAGAAAACAAAAAGGAATACGACGAAGCCATTAATCAAAGAAAAGATAATTTAGATGCCATTATTACCGGTATTCCAAGTGAAAATAATGAAGCAAAAGAAATAGATATGACTGATTAATGAATTGACGATTATAACCGGTTTTGTATATTAGCCTTCACTTCTTGCATTTACATTTTATATAATTACTTAATATCAATCCTTGTAAGTTAAACCCTCCCCCATGTATTTTAAGTGAGCACAAAAAAAAGTTGTCGATTGAAGATTCAAACCAGTTATTAGGTCCTTATCAAAGATGAGAATTAGATTGAAGAGTCCTCATGGTAATGCCATCGTGTCATTATCCGAAACAAACGAGAGGGTGGAGACGGTTTTCAAAGATGTGATTGCTCCAAACAATGCTGAATTATTCAAAGACCAGACGGTGGTGGCAATAAAGTCGGGATTCCCGCCCAAACCAATCGATCTACAGGCAAAGTTGGGAGATGTGATCCAAAATGGTGATCAATTGATATTGGAGCTAGCCGGCCAAACTGCAGCAGATCCAACAACCCCCCAATCAAAACAGAAGAAGGTGGCTACTGAAACCGAACAACTGGTGAATAAACTGGAGATTCCTTCAATTTCCATCCCGGATATAGACCAATACCTAATTCTTCGTAATATCCCGGACGACAACTCATGCATGTTCAATGCCATTGCTTATGCTTTGGGCAAACCATTTGATTATTCCCAAGATTTAAGACTCGTGGTGTCAAATGAAATATCCCAGGATCCAATCACTTATAACGAGATAATTCTAGGCCGATCCAATGATAATTATTGTAGTTGGATCAGTAAAAAAGATTCCTGGGGTGGCGCCATCGAATTAGGCATTCTACTGAAAACACTCAACCTACGTATCAATTGCATCGATATCGAACTGGGTAACTTTATTAAATTTGAAGACGAGTCTAGTAACCCTACTAACTTCATCAATTTGATTTATTCCGGCGTCCATTACGACTTGCTAGTGACAAACCCAACACTAAGTGTCGACCACAAGGATAAATCAAGCGATCTAGGCAAATGGTCAATTGATTTCGAGCCGGTGATTAACCAGTACTCAAACAAACTACTGAAACTATTACAACTGCGTAATTACACTACAAACACCACCACCTTCAGAGTCAGGTGCTTGCAATGCTACCAGGTTCTTGTGGGCGAAACCGGCGCATCCAAGCACGCCAACGACACCGGACACTACAACTTCGGCGAAGTTGATAAGTAGATGAACAAGATGAACAAGTAGATAGTTTGCAACTTTTGTAGCCGCAAAAAACACCCAATGCCACAACGTGGAAAAAACACTCACAAACGAAAACCCGAAAAAAAAGTCAAAAAAAAAAAAAAAAAAAAAAAAAAAAAAAAAAAAAAAAAAAAAAAAAAAAAAAAAAAAAAAAAAAAAAAAAAAAAAAAAAAAAAAAAAAAGTCAATAAAAAAAGAGGCAAAAATTTTTCTGTTGAATTTTTCGAGTTGGAAGTCTCTGAGAATTGTAACTGTTGTTGTTGATCAGAATTGCTTTCACAGACATTCAAGGCCCAAAAGAATTCATTCGTCCATTCCAATCACAGTGATACAGTTCAAGACTTTGGATTTCCTTTGAGTTTGTTCCAATTATTCATTATTAAACTTTCCAGGTTGTCATTTGCAGTTTGATTCAAATCAGTTCTTTATTGAAATATCGACTTGAATCATAATTGACCTAAAAAAAAAAAGTTATTTATTAATATTCATTTCAAATAGTCATTAGAAAGAAGACGATTCTTTAATTTATTTTATTTCTTACGCCCTTGTATCAATATTTTTATAGACCATGTCAGCAACTACTCAGTTTTTCTGTATGTATAAAAATTTGCATCAAATATGGGAATGATTTTTTTTACTAACCAATACGTTAAGGCCGTCAACCAAAATCCGTTGATTTAATACAAGATTATGAAGAAGTTTCTAGTTTTAGTAAACCAACTGGTGAATGTCGTTGTGCCATATATTCATCAAATGGAGAATATTTTGCTTATACCCAACCCAATAAAGTTATTATTATAAATACTACCGATGGATTAATCGTGAGAGAAATTGAAATTGCCGAAACTTTTGATTTACATTTTAGTCCAAATGGTAAATTTTTAGCATTATGGACCAAACCAGTATTAATTAATAAAGAAAGCGGTATTTGGACCGAAAATATCATTGTATTCGATATTGTTAATAACCAAATCACTTCAAAATGGTCAAATAAACATCAAAATGGATGGAAACCCCAATTTACTCAAGATGAAAAAATTTTTGCTAAAAATTTTAATAATAAAGAAATTCATTTTTTCAAAATTGATGAAGGTATTGCTGATTTAAATATTAATAAACCAACTTATAAATTTAAATTGAATGATGCTAAATCCCAATTTCAAAGTTTCCAAATTAGTCCTGGTTTAAATCCTTCAATTGCTATATTTGTACCTGAACAAAAGGGTAAACCTGCTCAAGTCATTATTTATAATGTACCTAATTTTAATCAACCATTAACCACCAAAACTTTTTTCAAAGCAGAAAGATGTCAATTAAAATGGAATTCTTTAGGTACTGCATTACTCGCATTAGCATCAACTGATCATGATACTTCAAATAAATCTTATTACGGTGAATCTAATTTATATTTATTAGGGATTGCCGGTAGTTATGATTCCAGAATTGAATTAAAACGTGATGGACCAATCCACGATATTACCTGGAGTCCAAGTGCAAGAGAATTTGCAGTAATCTATGGTTATATGCCTTCTGAAACCACCTTTTTCGACGCAAGAGGTAATGCAATTCATTCTTTACCAACTCAACCTCGTAATACTATTTTATATAGTCCTCATGCTAGATTTGTTTTGGTTGCTGGGTTTGGTAATTTACAAGGTACGGTTGATGTTTATGATCGTCAAAATAAATTTACTAAAGTTGCAACTTTTGAAGCTTCAAATACTTCAGTTTGTGAATGGAGTCCTTGTGGTCGATTTATTTTAACCGCCACCACTTCGCCAAGATTAAGAGTTGATAATGGTTTGAAAATCTGGCATGCTCTGGGTAAATTAATTTACTTAAAAAATTATCAAGAATTATATTCGATTAGCTGGAAACCTCAAGCAATTGAAAAATTCCCGGCATTAAAAGAATTAGAAGCTGCTCCCGAAGCTCATGAATCGGCCAAAGAATATCTTAATGCAAAACAATTGGCCCAAGCAAATGCTGCTAAAAAACCTGCTGGTGCTTACCGTCCACCTCATGCTCGTAATTCTGGACGTTCTTCAATCGCCACCACATTATATGAAAAGGAAAAATTAGCAAATGGATCCTCCCAACAATCTCAACAAGGAACTGGAGTCGTTGGCGCCACCGGAAGACAAAAAATCATTCCTGGAGTGGCTCCAGCTACTAACAAAGAAAGTAAGAGTGCCAGTAAAAATAGAAGAAAAAGAGAAGCTAAAAAGAATGAACTGACTTCACCAGCCGAATCTCCAGTACCAACCCCAGCCGCCCCAGCCGCCCCAGCTACCACTACTACTACTTCCACCACCACTCCTGAAGTTGGTAGTGTTGTTGGAGGGGTTAGTTCACTCGAAGAGAAAAAAATTAGATCGTTATTGAAAAAATTAAGAGCTATTGAATCATTAAAAATGAAACAAGCCAACGGAGAACCATTGGAAGATACTCAAGTCAATAAAATCCAAAAGGAAGACGAAATTAGAAAAGAATTAACTTCATTAGGATGGAGTGATTAAATAAACGTAATTAGATGAATCAAGATAACAAATTGTAGATAAGATACTTTTTCGCAATCATTGTACGAATACCGTATTTGGAAAAGTAATTGAGAAACTTTAAAAAAAAAAAAAAAAAAAAGGTTAAAAAAAGCAGCAAAGTAAAAACATCGATTAGCATAAAAATAGTTTCAATCAAGATAACAACGCAAACGAGAGAAACAAAACAAAAAAATATAACTGACGAGAACTACGAGGAATGGCTGCTGCAAAAAACTAAACGAAAAAGCTGTGAAGCTAATTCGAAAATAATAAGAAAAAAGAATGAGTTACTGCAATCAGCAGTCGGCTTGTCGAATAGGAAGGTGTTTGTTACTCTGAGTAACGCCTTTACCAATATGAAATGAGAGAACAACCACGAAAGAAAAAAAAAAAAAACAAGATGGCAGAGAAAGAAGTTACCTGGGTATACAATAATTGACATTAGCAATTAAGTAGATAAAGAAGAGAGAAGGGATGAAAATTGTGTTTATTAGTGCCAGGCTCCTGAAACAGCCAGCACACTGCAAAAAAAAAAAAGGTTACCGTACACGACACGACACGACGACACGACGACACGACTCGGTGGAACACGATCTAACAGTTTTTATCCCGATAACAAAGCCTTTTAGGGCCTTGAAACGTAGAACAAATCGACGAGTTCCGAGGGGCAGCCGGGTGGGCTACACGTCACCCTCGTAAGTCGGGGGGAAACGCGATTTTCGAGTAGGCGCTTAGTCTCACATTTTTCAATTTTTTCTTTTTGAATCAAAAACATAAAATCAAATCTTTTTAACAACTACTTGTTTCTTACTGAATCATCATCTTATCGTTGTATTGATCATATCATAGCTCGCTTGACCCGTCTACTGAGTGATCTATTTACAGTGTACGTATTTTCTACTACTAATGATCTCGAGGATATAGTATAATGTGAGTTTTATTAGCCGCCCATGTCATTTATTCATTAGAGGGTCCCTCCACTTAAGCCATCCAATCTTTGTTATAAAACTTTAATCGAGGTATCTTCAATTGCCAATTGCCTTTATAAACACGGTCCCAGGTATCACTTACTGGTATTACAGGTAACTTACACACTACAGGTCACTAATGTTACAGGTCACTAATGTTACAGGTCGCTAATGTTACAGGTCACTAATGTTACAGGTATCATTAAAGATATCATTAAGGTGTCATTAAAGATATCATGAAAGATATCATTAAAGACATCATTAATGTGTCTTTGAGGTGTCATCAAGGTAACTTTAAAGACATCATTAATGTGTCTTTGAGGTGTCATTAAGGTATCTTTAAAGTACAGACCACTTACAAGTGTTAGACTGGTCATTCCCAGTCGGAACCAACGATTTGCAATTGAAATAACCCCGGTGTCCGGGTCTTCCGCAGCGTGGTGTTTGGGTCTGTTGCTGCGTGCCTTAATGGTCTCTGTCTCAACCCTTCAAAAATCGTTTTGAACCTGGCTAAAAAAGTAGTTGTTGCTGTTATTTGTTCTGTTTGTTCTATTTTTACCCTTGGTTTTTGGCTTATTCTTTTTCTTTTGTATGGTGAACTTGGGATTGCTCAGCAGAATATGCAGGACGTGGGCGGTTAATCTATGAGTGTCTTTTTTGATTTTCTTTTGATTTTTTTTTTGTTCTGTTAATGTTTTTTTTGTTTTTGGTTGAATTGTGCCTCTTTCATCTCATTTCTTTTTCTCCCTCTATTTTTTTTTTTTTTTTTATTGTGCCTACTGCGGTCAAATCAACTATCTTTTGTTCCCGATTTGATGGTGCTGATTTCCTAAACCTTTCATTTTCAGTACCTTTTAAACAGAAAAGAAGGGATTGTTTTTGTTTTCTGATTACCTGCTGGTCGGTGTTCGTGGTCGTATTTAGTGACTTAGTATCGGATTCTACAATGTTTCGATTAGAATTGTTTGATCTAATGACAAATTCCAATTCCTGATATCCTGTACTTTGGGCTATTAAGTACTACGTGCTCTTTCATTACTCTTGCTTCTCTTCCCTTTGTTCCCCCTGTTCTTTACTTACCTTTCTAGAAAGTAGGTGTGTTCTCTTTCTCTTTTATTTTTAATTTTTTTGGGCTTTTTTGTGAGATTTTTACTTTGATTTTGTATTTTTTTTTTTTTTTTTCTGTTTTAATTTTTTTTTTTCTGTTTCTTCAGTCTCGGTGTCGATTATTATTAACCTCCTTTCTGAGTTTATCCCGAATTTTTTTTTTTCCCTTTACTTTCTGATCCCTTCTTACCTTTTTTTTTTTTGATTTAATTACTTCTTTTTATCTTCTCTTTTTTTTTTTCTTACTTTTCACTCAGACCTTTTCCCTTCGAAGTCACTGTCACTCGCTTAATTATACTACACTCCTCCTTGTCGGTTCAATTTTTTCTATCAGAAATACTAACCGGAGAAGATGTCGTATAACGATAATCACAATTATTATGACCCCAATCAGCAACACCAGGGTGTTGCTGGGGGTCATCCAGATGGTTATTATCAACAAGATGTTTATGATGATATGAATGGTGCTGGTGCCCATCCAGATTATTATGATCCAAATGTTCAATATCAACAACAACCTTACGATATGGATGGTTACCAAAATGCTCAATATGGTGTTCATCCTCAAGCCGGTGCTGGTGGTTATAACGCTGATCCTGAAGCCTTTTCTGACTTTAGTTACGGTGGTCAAACCCCTGGTACTCCCGGTTATGATCAATACGGTACCCAATATACTCCTTCCCAAATGAGTTATGGTGGCCCAAGATCATCTGGTGCTTCAACCCCAATTTATGGTGGCAATCCAAATTATGATCCAACTCAATTTCAATTATCTTCAAATTTACCTTATCCTGCTTGGAGTGCTGATCCTCAAGCTCCAATTAAAGTTGAACATATTGAAGATATTTTCATTGATTTGGCTAATAAATTTGGTTTTCAAAGAGATTCTATGAGAAATATGTTTGATTATTTCATGACTCTATTGGATTCAAGAGCTTCTCGTATGTCTCCAGCTCAAGCTTTATTATCTTTACATGCTGATTATATTGGTGGTGATAATGCCAATTATAAAAAATGGTTTTTCGCTTCTCAACAAGATTTAGATGAATCTATCGGTTTTGCTAATATGAAATTAGGTAAAGTTGGTAAAAAAGCTAGAAAAGCTTCTAAAAAATCTAAAAAGGCTAGAAAAGCTGCTGAAGATTTAGGTCAAGATGCTGATGCTTTAGCTGCTGAATTAGAAGGTGATTATTCTTTAGAAGCTGCTGAAATTAGATGGAAAACTAAAATGAATGCTTTGTCTCCTGAAGAACGTGTAAGAGATATTTCTCTTTACTTGTTAATTTGGGGTGAATCTAATCAAGCTCGTTTTACTCCTGAACTTATTTGTTACATTTATAAAACAGCTTTTGATTATTTATTATCTCCTCAATGTCAACAAAGACAAGAACCAGTTCCAGAAGGTGATTACTTAAATCGTGTTATCACTCCAATCTATCGTTTCTTAAGATCTCAAGTTTATGAAATTTATGAAGGTAGATTTGTTAAACGTGAAAAAGATCATAATAAAGTTATTGGTTATGATGATGTTAATCAATTATTTTGGTATCCTGAAGGTATTTCAAGAATTATTTTCAATGATGGTACTAGATTGGTTGATATTCCTCAAGAAGAACGTTTCTTAAGATTAGGTGAAGTTGAATGGTCAAATGTTTTCTTTAAAACTTATAAAGAAATTAGAACTTGGTTACATTTTATCACTAATTTCAATAGAATCTGGATTATTCATGCTACTATCTATTGGATGTATACTGCTTATAACTCTCCAACCATTTATACTTTACATTATGTTCAAACTGTTAACAATCAACCAACTGCTTCTTCTAGATGGGCTGCTGCTGCTATTGGTGGTATCATTGCTTCATTTATTCAAATTCTTGCTACTTGTTTTGAATGGATGTTCGTTCCAAGAGAATGGGCTGGTGCTCAACATTTAACTCGTCGTTTATTATTTTTGATTTTGATTTTCTTAGCTAACTTGATTCCTGTTGTTTATGTCTTTTATTGGGCTGGTTTAGCTGCTGTTTCAAAATCAGCTTTAATTGTTGGTATTGTCGGTTTCTTCATTGCTATAGCTACTTTGGTTTTCTTCGCCATTATGCCATTAGGTGGTTTATTCACATCTTACTTGAATAAGAGAAATAGAAGATATATCGCTTCTCAAGCTTTCACCGCTAACTTCAATAAATTAAGAGGTTTAGATATGTGGATGTCTTATCTTATTTGGGTTGCTGTTTTTGGTGCTAAATTATCTGAATCTTATTTCTTCTTGACTTTGTCTTTAAGAGATCCTATCAGAAATTTATCTACTATGAACATGAGATGTGTTGGTGAATATTGGTTTGGTGATCAACTTTGTAAACATCAAGGTAAAATTGTGCTTGGTTTGATGTATCTTGTTGATTTCTTGTTGTTCTTCTTAGATACTTATATGTGGTGGATTATCTGTAACTGTATTTACTCAGTTGGTCGTTCATTCTACTTGGGTATCTCTATCTTAACTCCATGGAGAAACATTTTCACTAGATTACCAAAGAGAATTTACTCTAAGATTTTGGCTACTACTGAAATGGAAATTAAATATAAACCAAAGGTTTTAATTTCTCAAATTTGGAATGCTATTGTTATTTCCATGTACAGAGAACATTTATTAGCTATTGACCATGTCCAAAAATTATTGTATCACCAAGTTCCTTCTGAAGTTGAAGGTAAACGTACTTTGAGAGCTCCAACTTTCTTCGTTTCTCAAGATGATAACAATTTTGAAACTGAATTTTTCCCAAGAGATTCTGAAGCTGAACGTCGTATTTCTTTCTTTGCTCAATCATTAGCTACACCAATTTTAGAACCATTGCCAGTTGATAATATGCCAACTTTTACTGTTTTCACTCCTCACTATTCTGAAAAGATTTTATTATCTTTAAGAGAAATCATTAGAGAAGATGACCAATTCTCAAGAGTTACTTTATTAGAATACTTGAAACAATTACATCCAGTTGAATGGGAATGTTTTGTTAAAGATACTAAGATCTTGGCTGAAGAAACTGCTGCTTATGAAAATGGTGATGATCCAGAAAAGGCTAATGAAGATGGTTTGAAATCAAAGATTGATGACTTACCATTCTACTGTATTGGTTTCAAATCTGCTGCACCTGAATATACCTTAAGAACTAGAATTTGGGCTTCTTTAAGATCCCAAACTTTGTACCGTACTGTTTCTGGTTTCATGAATTATGCTAGAGCTATCAAATTATTATACCGTGTTGAAAACCCTGAATTAGTTCAATACTTTGGTGGTGATCCAGAAGGTTTAGAATTAGCTTTAGAAAAAATGGCAAGAAGAAAATTCAAATTTATTGTTGCTATGCAAAGATTGGCCAAATTCAAAGACGATGAAATGGAAAATGCTGAATTCTTATTACGTGCTTACCCTGATTTACAAATTGCTTACTTGGATGAAGAACCTCCATTAAATGAAGAAGAAGAACCAAGAGTTTATTCTGCTTTAATTGATGGTCACTGTGAAATGTTGGAAAATGGTCGTCGTCGTCCTAAATTCAGAATTCAATTATCTGGTAATCCAATTTTGGGTGATGGTAAATCTGATAATCAAAATCATTCTATTATCTTCCATCGTGGTGAATATATTCAATTAGTTGATGCTAATCAAGATAACTATTTGGAAGAATGTTTGAAGATTAGATCTGTCTTAGCTGAATTCGAAGAATTGAATGTTGAACACGTTAACCCTTATGCTCCAAACTTAAAAGACTCTGAAAAAGAACAAAACTCTCCTGTTGCTATTTTGGGTGCTCGTGAATATATTTTCTCCGAAAACTCTGGTATTCTTGGTGATGTTGCTGCCGGTAAGGAACAAACTTTTGGTACTTTATTCGCTAGAACTTTGGCTCAAATTGGTGGTAAATTGCATTATGGTCATCCGGATTTCTTAAATGCTACTTTTATGTTAACTAGAGGTGGTGTTTCTAAGGCTCAAAAAGGTTTACATTTGAATGAAGATATTTATGCTGGTATGACTGCTGTCTTAAGAGGTGGTAGAATTAAACATTGTGAATATTACCAATGTGGTAAAGGTAGAGATATGGGTTTCGGTTCTATTTTAAATTTCACAACTAAGATTGGTGCTGGTATGGGTGAACAAATGTTGTCTCGTGAATATTACTACTTGTCTACTCAATTACCTTTGGATCGTTTCTTATCTTTCTACTATGGTCATCCTGGTTTCCATATTAATAACTTGTTTATTCAATTATCTTTGCAAGTTTTTATTTTGGTTTTGGCTAACTTGAACTCTTTGGCTCATGAATCTATTATTTGTCAGTATAATAGAAATGTTCCTGTCAGAGATATCTTGTATCCTTTGGGTTGTTACAATCTTAGTCCAGCTATTGATTGGATTAGACGTTATACCTTATCCATTTTCATTGTTTTCTTCATTTCTTTCATTCCATTGATTGTTCAAGAATTGATTGAACGTGGTGTTTGGAGAGCTGCTCAAAGATTGATTCGTCACTTTATTTCCTTGTCACCAATGTTTGAAGTTTTCGTTGCCCAAATTTATTCTACTTCTTTATTCACCGATTTAACTGTTGGTGGTGCTAGATATATCTCAACTGGTAGAGGTTTTGCTACTTCTCGTATTCCATTCTCTATCTTATATTCAAGATTTGCTGATTCTTCTATCTACATGGGTGCTAGATGTATGTTGGTCTTATTATTCGGTACTGTTTCTCACTGGCAAGCTCCATTGTTATGGTTCTGGGCTTCTTTATCTTCATTGATGTTCTCTCCATTTATTTTCAACCCTCATCAATTTGCTTGGGAAGATTTCTTCATTGATTACCGTGATTTTATTAGATGGTTATCTCGTGGTAACACTAAATGGCACAGAAATTCTTGGATTGGTTACGTTCGTCTTTCCAGATCTAGAATTACTGGTTTCAAACGTAAGTTGACTGGTGATATTTCTGAAAAAGCTGCCGGTGATGCTTCCAGAGCTCACAGATCTAATGTTATTTTTGCTGATTTCATTCCATGTCTTATTTACACTGCTGGTTTGTATGTTGCTTATACTTTCATCTGTGCTCAAACTGGTGTTACCAAGAATTCTTACACCTTTAATGGATCAACTGAACCAATTCATGTTAACTCTACTGTCAGAGTTGTTATTTGTGCTTTAGCCCCAGTTCTTATTGATATGGGTGTTCTTGGTTTCTGTCTTGGTTTAGCATGTTGTGCCGGTCCATTATTAGGTTTATGTTGTAAGAAGACTGGTGCTGTCATTGCTGGTGTTGCCCATGGTTTTGCTGTTGTCATTCATTTGATTTTCTTCATTGTCATGTGGGTCTTGTCTGGTTTCAATTTTGCTAGAATGTTATTAGGTGTTATCACCATGATTTACATTCAAAGATTATTATTCAAATTCTTAACCTTAACTTGTTTGACTAGAGAATTTAAGAATGATAAAGCTAACACTGCTTTCTGGACTGGTAAATGGTATGGTTCAGGTTTAGGTTACATGGCTTTAACTCAACCAGCTCGTGAATTCTGTGCTAAAGTTATTGAAATGTCTGAGTTTGCTGGTGATTTCATCTTGGCTCATCTTATCTTGTTTGTTCAACTCCCAATCTTGTGTGTTCCATTAATTGACAGATGGCATTCAACTATGTTGTTCTGGTTGAAACCTTCAAGATTAATCAGACCTCCAATTTACTCTTTAAAACAAGCTAAATTAAGAAAGAGAATGGTTAGAAAATACTGTACTTTATACTTTTTGATTTTAATCTTATTTGTTATTGTTATTGCTGCTCCTGCCATTGCATCTAAATTTATTGCTGAAGATACTGGTTCTACTCTTTCTGGTGTTATGCAAGGTCTTTTCCAACCAAGAAAAGTTGATAACAACGATACTGGTAAGAAGATTCCTTCATACTATAAAGGTAGTTCTGTTACTTACTGGAGTTACACTCCAAAGAGTAAAGGTTACACTACTAAACCTTAAGCAATTTAATTTACAAACTTTTTTTCTTTATTTACTTGTTATTTTACTTTTTATCTTTTATATATGTTTGGAAAAACATAAATTCTCTTTCACATATTCTGTTTCTTTCTATTTTATATATTATTTCTTTTATTTGAAAACGATTCTGTTTTATTTGACTTTTCATTTGTTGTTTCCACTCTTTATATACATTTAATTCTATTGATATGGAAAGTTTATTCAAATTGTCATTTTGTTTTTAAGATGAAAGAATTAAAAGAAATTAGGGTGTTTGAAACAGTCTTTTTATTTTTCTTTTTCAATTGGTTATTTCTTATGTATCTATATTATATGCTGTTTTGTCATTATAAATTAAAGTTGTAGATGTAAAAATGTACAACCAAAGAATCAAATGAAAGAAAAAAAAAAAAAAAACAGAAACAGAAAAACAAAAAAAAAAAAGTTTAGCCAAAAGAACCGTCCACTATTCTTCATAGCTTTCATTCGAGGAATTGTTTGTAACCACAATTGGTTAGTTTGAACGAAAGAAAGCTCAATAGATATTCGACTGTTTAATTGTTATTTCAAATCCAATCAAAATGCAGCTTCTAAGAACACATAATTATCCAAAGTCAACAAAGATCATATTTACAGCATTGATAGCGGTCTCATTAATAATCTTCGTAATAAAGATGTTCAAGCTTCGTCAGGGCTTAACGTATGAGGTTCCACAAGCAGATGGAACTGTGCAGACAGTTCCAGTTGCATTTCACGATATTCAAGTTCCTTATATTCAATTAATACCACGTTATGTGATTTTTTACCCATGGGTTCTTATTACATCGATTTTTGCAGAGATCAGCATCTTGTCATTGATTATTTCCTCTGTGGTATCAATCTCTGCCACCAAGTATATGGATAAGTTTTGGGGGTATAAAGAAGTTGTCAAATTTATTCTAATTGTTGGTCTGATCACCAATTTGATTACCGTTTTAATAACAATCATATGTAATGTGATGAGAAGTGACGTTAAAGGGATGGATAAACCTTTAGGTGGAGGAATCTCATATTACTTTGCATTCTTAGTTGTCTTGAAGCAATGGATTCCAGAACATAACATTGTTCTTTTCCAAGGTTTAATCAATTTCAGGGTTAAACATTTACCATTTGCTTTATTGAATATTATAATCGTATGGTCAATTTTAATCAGCAGGTCTTTATACCCAGCAGTCCCTTCAATCAGCAGCTTCATAATATCTTACAACTACTTAAGATTCCACCAATCATTCGCTAGTGATCCAATCTTACCAATTACCACTGCTAGTGGAAGCTCAGACCAAGACTCTTTGGTCAAAGGAGATGCTTCCGATACTTTCCAGCTAGTAGAGTTTTTCCCTGCCATTTTAAAACCTTATCTTAGTGCTGTATTCAATCAAATCTACGAGTTAAGCGTATTGATTGGCATAGTCACTCCATTCAATGATGACAACATCGAACAAAGTAACATCAGAGCTCAAAAACGTTTTGAACAGGTGAACCAAACTCAGAAAAGTGTGGCCAACTCTGTTGCTGAAAGAAGAAGACAAGTTGCCTTACAAGTCATTGAAGATCGTATCAATAAAGAATCTAGAGCTAATTGATTCATTATCATCCTCTTACTTACTGTCTACTGACGTTCAATATACTTTTTTTTAGTCCAAAAACAGTATCAACACTCATGTAGGCCACTTAACCCAGAAACCATCCTAGACAGTGGCTCAAGCCTGTCGTAGCTTTTGAATAGAAATGAAATTCTATTCAAATCAAAAAAGAAAATTTCACTAAAAACCAAAAAAAAAAAAAAAAAAAAAAAAAACTGAGCGAAAAAACATCAAACTTGAAAATCGTGTCAACAAATCGATGGATTGATCCTTTGAGTAAGCCGATAGATAGAGAGATTGTGGTTTATAATGTTGGGAGCTAATAAGTTGAAGCCTAAGTATGGTAAACTGAAGGATTTCTTACCGCTTCCAGCCAGTTTCAATAGAATCCATCGCTTTCAGAAACAAAATTTTGCTATCATTGCCGTATTGTTGATATTTGTTTGGATAATTTTGTATCCACTTCACGGATTCAGTGGACTTTGGAGTCATAATTCGAGTAGCAGATACCCAAGGGGACATCCATTGACCAGCCCTCATGTCATTGAAACACCATCCAAGTATATCTATCCACCTATTGAACATGCACCATTGTTAAAAGAATTGGGGATTCATAAATTGGTGAAAGAATCAAAAGTCAGAGATGCTAACTTTCTTGATATTGAAAAAACAGTAATCAGATCTCTTAATATATTTGATGATCCAAACCCAGCCCAACAAAAAATCAAGGAAGATGAAGAAAATTCCTTATCAGATTTAGCCAAAGCTAAAAATTACTTCAAGAATCAAGACAAAGTTGTATTCAAGCCAAAAAATCCAAAAAATTATCCCGATGTCATCATTGTAACTGCAGTTGATTTCGAAAGATATTCTTTGGATGCTTTAACCAAACTTGTTCAAAATAGAGTTGATTATGCTCATAAACAAAGCTACGGTATGTACGTTCGTTGGTATCAAGAATTCTTACCAATTTTAAACTCATTAAGTTATCTTCAAACAAAGGAAAAGGCTAAATGGGTAAGGCTTTACTGTTTAAGAGCAGCCATGTTTGCATTCCCTGAAGCTAAATGGTTCTGGTATCTTGATCAAGATGCTTTTATTATGGATCTTAATATTAATTTACAAGAATATGTATTATCACCAGAAGCTTTAAGTCCAATAATGTTACGTGAACAATCTATTATACCTCCAAATGGTGCCATAAAAACTTATAAAAACACTAGAGCTCAACTGGTTGAGTTACTTATAACTCAATCTAATTCAAAAGTTGAAACAACTTCAATAATTCTTAAAAATTCAAATATTGGTAAATCAATTTTAGAAATTTGGGGTGACAAACTTTATTTGAATTATCCAAATTTTCCTTACGGTCCTGATTCTGCATTAACCCATATATTACAATGGCATCCTTTTATATTATCAAAAACTAGTATCATACCTCCAAGAACCATAAGTGCTAAAAATGGTGAAGTCAATCCTCAAGATAAATTAAGTGAAAATACGGTCTATCACAAAGGGGATTTTGTAGCTCAATGGTCAGATTGTGAACATACTGCTCAATGTGAAGAACAATTAGATAAATTTTATGCCATTTTAGCTGAAAGTAAGAATAAATAAATTTTGAGTTGAATATTTAAAATTTGAATTTGTTTGCCTCATTTTCCTTCATTCATTATATTTTCATGTTGTATACTATATATTTAAAATGTGCTTTCTCCACTCTATAGAAAATAAGAAGTACTTGACAATCAAAAGTCATCTAATGTTAGTTTATTTATACTATTCAGTAGGTCTTCATTTACTTTATGATTATTTATGTTTGACTTTTGAAATTTAATTTCCTTAATGGTCAACCATAAATTGATAATATCATCCATTCTCTTAACACTCCATTCATTATGGGTATTAACAGTAGGAATAATTTGACCGATTTGAAGAAATATAACAAAAAAGGATAATTCACGATAAGATGAATGTTCACTATAAGGTAGACCATAAATTTTATACAATGAATTGTCATGAGGATTTTTTTTGTTTGATCTTGTTGATTTATTCGGTAGCGGAAATTGTTTCAATACATCTTCAACATAATTAAACATGGGTGCATTTTGTAAAGTATTCACTATTGCCGATAATTCTTGTTCTTTATTAACTTGACTTAAGTCAACATCATCAACAACTGCAGGATCATCTTCAGACGTTTGGTTGGGTTCTTGAGGACCAAATTTATCAATATCGGGAGCGGTAAAAGTCCAACCACTCGGTCTAAGCCCAATACAGCGTTCAAAATGATTGAAGTATTGATTATGGTTAAAATAACTTGACAACTCACCTACCGAGTTAACGATATCCATTGGAACTAAATGGATCACTGCATTGAAATCGGAATCAAGACCAAGATCGTCATCAGTAATAACTGAATTTAAAAAGGAATCATCATAAGATCGTAAAATTTCATTTTTATCACCTCTACTTTTAATATTTGAAACAAATATAGGAATATTATTGAGTCTTTTCAGAATTGAAATAGCGACTCTTTCTTTACCAATCAAATAAGTACCAACTAGTATCAATATTTTTTTCTTTTTCAGTCTTGAAAGCGATAAAAAATCAGTTATTCTGGATTGTAGAGTACCAAACCATGTATTGAATAAAGTATCTTCCATTATTAAGTGATAAAACATTTCACTAATTTCTTCGCAGACCAACTCTTGTTTTGGGAAATTATAATTACGTGACATATAAGTAGTATCAAGGTAAAGTTTATCTAAAGTGTAAACATTACCGTGGTGGAAAGGTCTTAAAGCAGGGTGTTCAATCATATCTTTATTAACTCTAAAATCACCACAATGAAGCATGAATTGTTTAGCATGATTCAAGGCAATTGATTCAAATAAAAAAATTGCAGCACCAGGACAGTGGTTTGCAGTCATCAAGGTGACATAGAGTCCTGGATTATTCGATTCGGATTCTGTATAATCATCAGTATTGTTCCAATCATCATATTCTTGTACCAAATAACGTTTATCCATCTTCATTGGTCTAATATAAGTGGGGTCGATATTGAAACGTATTCTAAGTAGTCTACCAGTGATAACCGAACAGTATATTTGTTTCCTATTAGGGTTAAGTTCCAAACCTTCTGAACACCATTTTTTACTGATCCCTCCGTAATGGTCTGAATGGAAGTGAGATAGAAAATACTTACTAATAGACTCATGGGGCCTGAAGTTAAAAGCGTCAACCGCTATTAGATACGATTGGTTAATCGAGACTTTGCAGTTAAGGATCTTCAAATCAGGTATTGGCCTTCTCTTATAAATTATGGGTTTGTTCGAGTCTATTCTAGTCGGAGTATCAACATTTTTTGGTTGTCTTTCATTACTTGGAGATGCTAATCTTGGCTTCTTGATGTTTGAATCTTTATTGATGTACCTCTGTTTGAGCGACTTGGGGGATTCTATCTTCTTGGCCACATTCTTCTTACCAGCAGCACTCGTAGAAGAAGAAGAAGTATCAATTTTTCTCTTTTTAACTGATTGTTCATCTTCAAAATTTTCTTTCACGTACGAAATAGACAAACACTCCTCTACGTGTTTGATTCTATCATTCATGCTGAAGCAAGAGATGATGATTTGACAAACTGGACAGCTGACCAAGTCCTGATCTTCATTTTTAATCACTGATGAATCACCGGTTAAATCAACGATTTCTGGCCCCGACGCGTTAGAGATCTCGGACTTCTTGGTGAAATCAAGGATAGACGTCTGTTTTTTCATAGACCTGGACTGGTCCTTAACATCCTGAGACATCTTCGTCCATTCTTTTGCAGTTATCAAGTGGATCTCCCGCTGTTGATGTCAAGAAACACTAGATACCAAAGTTGAAAAGAAGAGTAGATAATTTTGCTGCCATTTGCCAGTGCATTTTTTTTTTTTTTTTTTTATTAGTGCACTTTTTGAACAGATCAACTAATAACTACTAGTTAATAGTTAGATCAATAGACGAAACCATGGGGTTGCTTACAATCATAAAGAAACAGAAGATCAAAGACAAGGAGATCCGGGTGTTGACGTTGGGATTGGACAATGCTGGTAAAACAACCATCATCAAGCAGATTTTGGGCGAGGACACCAAGAAAGTATCACCTACGATGGGATTTCAGATCAACACGATACAGTATAAGGAATACAACTTGAATATGTGGGACATTGGGGGCCAGACCACCATCCGTAACTTCTGGAGCAACTACTTCGACCGGTCCAATATAATCATCTGGGTGATTGACTCGTTAAGCTTGGAAAGACTAGATGAATCATACCAAGAACTAAGAGAGAAAATCATTCTACAAGATCAATTGGTGGGCACCTACTTGGTGGTGTTGATCAACAAGGTAGACATGTTAGACCCACAACAGCATCAGTCGGTCAAAGATCAAGTCATAAAAGTTCTAAATCTCGACAGAGAATTGAACCAAGATAGATACATCATCCAGCTTGTCAGTGGGTACACTGGCGAGGGACTCTCTCCGGTCCTTGATTGGATGATTGAACGTGACATATAGCCTTTCTGTACGTAAAGTCTAAACGATTATCAACCTTCGATTATTATATCAAACTGAACACAAGATTAAAATGTAAACATCTTCGTCCCCGTGCGCTTGTCGACGGGCTGCGCTTCAATGGCTTCGGCTGGTGTGTTGGCATCCCACATCTATCTCTCCATGAACGTAGTACTCTTAACCTCCGGCCTTCTCCTCGAAGTAAGAAGTTTTGGATGCCTTCAATTGCCCTGGACATAAATCCATCTCTCGATTTAATAAACGCGTGTTTAGCGAGGTAAAACGCCATACAAAACAAAAAAAAAATTAAAAAAAAAAAAAAAACGCGACCTAATTTTTCAGACAAGAAGCGATACTTATATAACTGAGACCTCCTTAGACTGTAAACTTTGAAAGAGTTTGCTACTTCAAAGGATTCCAACGGTTGTTGAGTGAATAAGTTTGTTTCTTTCCAGGGCCTCGTCATTCGTTTATCAAAACATTCTGTTGAAGCTGACTTTTGCAATCGAAAACAGAGTCTTTAACCCCAGTTTTCGTCAATCGGTTTCTTTTATATTAATACTAGTTGTTGGTATTTGATCTTAATTGTTATTGCTAGTGCTGTTTCTGCTTCTGCTGCTGCTGCTATTGTTTTTTGTTGTACATGACTGTCGAGATATCACCACATAGATCCTTGTATGGGTCGATTAACGAATCCGAATATTCGCTGGAGCAGTCTGTTGGACACCTGGATCCATTGGCACTTTTGGGATTCTTATTGGATGCTGAAAATAGCCATAATAATAACTTGATTGAGATTTTGGGTCTAATAAAACCCACCAAATCCGCTCCTTGTACTTCAAATTTGAATCTTATAATACGTGGGTTATTTACTAAAAATAGTAAAATCTTGAAAATCTTGAATAATAATTATCAGGACCTTCTACACGAATCTAATCCTAAAGACTGCTTTAAAAACTTCATTAATGATTTCATCATCTACTTGGAAAACGGTGGGTTGATTATATTTCAAAAATATTTTGATTTATTCCCAGTGGAATATGATTATCTGATTTTTGCTAAACCAATACTTCATACTCAAAATTATATTGATTTCATTCATAATTCAACTTGCTTACTAAGAAATCCTTTTGTCATTGAAAAATTGAATAATTTTGCTGATGAAATGTTGGATTTAGTCGATAATTATAATGAACATTATGAAAGTTTTAAGTTAAACAATATCACTTTTAATAATACAAAATTATTTGGTGAGTCTTTATCGACTTTACATTCAAGCTCTCCCTCGTCTTCCTCAAACTTGAACAGAGTTTCAAGCTTCTTCAAAATTAACCAGATCTCGGAAAGAACTAAAAATGAAAATTTATATTTGGCCAACAATTCAAATCAAAAAATTGAATTGGTATTACTTGATTTATCAAATTCTAATTCTTATAATGCTTTGGCAATTCTAGCAATCCCCGATCCCTCCAATATTGATCAAGCTCGTTCTTTGATCCACCCTCCTTTAAGAGTCAATGAAGTGTCGATCTCTTTCCATTCAAATACAATAACCCTTCATGCCTTGAGTTTCTCTAAAAAACAAAGGTCTAATGATGAAATCTGTATTTCAGGTGATCAAAATATCTTGCTTTCTTGGTATAATAAATTATCTAAAATTTTCCCAAATTCTTCTTCTCCAATATCCAAAAAACCAACAAAAGAATTTCAACTGTCTGGTTTGGGAATTAATACCTATGACTATCCTTCTTCTCCCTCGAGTCATTCAAGTCCAAGAAATCAATTAGATAAAAAGGCTTCTTTCAAAGATTTGATTTCTTCCCCTTCTTTAAGTGTATCTCCTTTGAATCAATTATCTAAAAGATCAAATCCTAATTTACAACAACCTCAAAGACCTATGTTATCAAGAGGCAACTCGATTTCTTCAATTAATTCCTCAAAGTCTTTCCAACAACCTCCTTTCTTGACTAGAAAACAATCTACAACTTCAATCAATTCTATGGATTCAAATGATTCTTTAAAATCGAGATATGATAGATCCCTAGATATCATTCACAAAACTTTATCAAATAATTCTCATGCTCATGATACGTCTAATCAACTGGAATTATATCATAAAACTGCAGATCAAATTACTTCAAAATCAATCGATACCCAATTTATCAAAACTATTAATAAAAACGTATCCACCGTTTTGAATGAAGATAATTATCTCACCCAAAATAGACCCATTTCTTCTCTGGCTAAAATTGTTTCTATGGAAGACGATGATGCCAATGATTGTGAATCATTGGATGATGATGAATCAATATTAGCTAAACCAATTGCTCCTGCTGGCAATTTTTACGAAGTCAAGAATAATAGCAGTTTGTTAAATCTATCAAATGACTATCAGCGTAAACAACAAAATATCTATTCATCTGTTCCTGATTTGTCAGAAACTAAACCACCAGGCAAACCATCAAATGCCCAATCTTCCTTGTATCAATTGTCATCGGGTTCTGCAATTGACATTAATAATTTTGGCAAAAATCATAATCCATCTTTTAGTATTCCTAAAAATTTGAGTGAGTTAGCCAAACCAGCTTCGATTAAAAGCTCGGGTAAGGATTCAAATAACTCTTCGCCTTCATTAGGTGACTTGACTCCTCCAATTAACTCAACCAAAAGTCGTCGTAAGTCAATCTTCAGTTTCTTTAAGAAAAATAAAAATGGTTCAAAGTCTTCTCTCCATAATTCCACCAACGCATCATCTTTAAGTATTGATCAGACAGCCCCAGAGAGACCTGATAGAATGTCTCCGGAATCAACTGATAAATCATTAGCAAAAGATGAATTACCACTCCCAGAGAAAGCTAGACAGAAATCTACTGTTTCAAATACAAGCTCAAATTCCCAAAATGAGTCCTCCAACTACTCAGTTATGACTAGTAGTACAACATCAAATGGAATTCAAAAACCAGAAGAAGAAATCACTGAAGACACTTCATTAACTGATGAAAGTGAACGTCCATTAAATGATGAATCTTCGTCAAACTATGCAGCAGATTGCGAATCATTCGCTCCTCCAAGATCTCTTAGTTCAAAGGCTTCTTCTTCTTCAATTAATCAGAAAAATGTGACCATTAATACTACATCTTTAGAAGAAGCCGAAAGATTAAGGTTGTCGACTATTTCTGAAAAATCAGATACACCAACTCCTAAAATGGCTACTTCTACCTCATTGCCTTCGCCATTTGCATTACCTTCATCTACTTCAACGTATTTCTTCAAACCTTACAAGAGTGCCACTTCTGCAACTGCATCTCCTTTGGTCAATGAAAATCAACCAGATAGCTGCTCAACACCTGCAACTCCAAAAGACGTCGCCGAAGAACACTTATATATCCCTCAGTCATTAAAAGATGTGATTAATAGTGATTCTTCCATTGACTTTTATATCACCCCCACTTCACCTAAAGCTATGAAAGTTTCGAAATGGAAACAAAAGTATGGGAAATGGGAAATGCTCACCGTTAACGAAAATATTTTTTTGAAAATTGTTGCAAACTATGACTTGAATAAAAGCTGGTTGATTTTCTTCAAAGAAGAATATGATGATACATATGATGAAGTTATCGATAAGCCAATTATGTTAATGAATATTAATGAGGAGTCAAGCATAAGGCATTCTTCTGCTTTAGACTTACAAGTTAATTCGACTGATTCTATTAGTAACCAAAGTTTATTAATAATGATAAGATGCACTAATGGGTCTTTTGCCAGCTCGATTCATTCGAACTATAAAAACATTCTAGGTGTTATCAAAAATATACCCAAGAATAAGAGTGTTGCTCATAGTCTCGGTTTTAATGATTCAAACGTTACTAGCTCTTCGTCATTGATGGAAAAGCCAAGTAACTCATCTACATTTACTAGCTTGAACTCATCAAATATTGGGAATGACTCTACTATTAAGCAACCTGCTTTGAAAACAGATCCAATCTTGGGCAAAGAGATTTCATTCGCGTCATTGAATTCAGATGATATCACTAATGCCAATATCATAAGTAACCCCGATAACTCTAAAATGTTATTATTAAACCAGATGACTGTCAGGTTGCAGAAACAATTGGATTCTTATTCAGCAATAAATATTCCCTCTTCTTGGGAAATATTGTCTATGTTTTCGTTAAGCATCTTCTTAATCAATGACAGTTTCACTCATAAGGCTTACTACAATTTAATACTTGAGAACAATAACATTGATAATGACGATCCAGCAATCGAGACATTTAATTGGTTGATTGGAGAAGACGAAAAATTCAATAGAATTGAAAGAATCGGTAAAGCCGGTTTATTGATCAAGGCTGGTAATGATGAGATCTTCATGATTGAATGCAAAGGCAAAAAGGAATTCAAGCATTTGTTTGAGATCTTCTAGTCATTCTAACTAAACTTTTATAGGCACTTTTTTGGTATTTCGCTTCTATTTATATGTATTATCTTTTAATTTTGTATTTGGTTAAACCATCTTTGTAGTCTTGTTGAATTGCGAAAAAAAAAATCGAATAAAACTGATTTTGCAGCCACAAATATCCTAAAGATATCAGAACAACTAAAGAAAGATGAATATGATATTAAGATTGACGGCTTGTGTTTCCTTATTTTTGTTAAAGGTATGTGTCGGGCTAGATCTTGAAGATAAGCCGGCGTCCACATCGGCAGACGTTAAGATACCTACAATTGAGGTTAAAGGAAATAAATTTTTTGAAACCGGGCCAGGGTATCAGTTTTTCATCAAAGGAATCGCCTATCAAAAAAGAAGGGGTTCTGATGAAATATATGATAGAACTTTAGAAACTTTCTATATTGATTCCATGGCAAACCCCAAAACTTGTTTACGGGATTTGGAAAATTTTAAAGAACTTGGAATTAACGTGGTCAGGGTTTACCAAATTGATCCCAATGCTAATCATGACATTTGTATGAATGAGTACGCAAAGGCTGGAATCTACATCTTGGCCGATTTGTCAGAACCTGAACTATCAATTAATAGAGATAAACCTAGTTGGGATGTTGAACTATTCGAACGTTATACTTCTGTGATTGATTCAATGCACTCCTATAGAAATGTTTTAGGGTTCTTTGCTGGTAATGAAGTTACAAACTCTAAAGTGAATACTGATGCTTCTCCTTTTGTCAAAGCTGCTGTTAGGGACGTGAAAGATTATATTCAAAGTAAAGGCTACAGGAAAATCCCAGTTGGGTATGCCTCTAATGATGATGCAGAAATCAGAAAACTACTTTTCAATTATTTAACCTGCACTGATGAGAAACAGCCCAACTCTTCAAACAATAATGGAGTAGATTTTTTGGGGCTTAACATGTACGAATGGTGTGGTTATTCCAGCTATACTACTTCGGGCTACAGAGAAAGAACTATGGAATTTAGTGACTTCAGTGTTCCAATTTTCTTTAGTGAATACGGCTGTAATACCGTTTCACCTCGTCCTTTTACTGAAGTTGAAGCTTTATATGGAAGTACCATGTCAAAAGTATGGTCAGGTGGAATCGCTTACGAATACTTCGATAGTGTTAATCACTATGGAATTGTCACAGAAGATAAAGATGGGGGTATTCATAAATCTGAAGATTACGGAATCTTAAAACAAAGGCTTAATTCAATCGAGCCTTTCAAGATCCATAAGCTGCAAATTGAAAAAGATATACCCAGTCCCAACTGCACAGACTATGATCTGGGATCAGTTTGGAAGGCTTCAAAGGAAATACCACCAAGGCCGGATGTTGGAAAGTGTGAATGCTTACAATCCACATTATCATGTGTGGTTAGTCCCTTTCAGGACATGAAGCATGAACAGGAATTTTTGAATCGAGTATGTTCTTCTATTGACTGTCATGAAATTGAAGCCGACGGTTCCCTTGGCTTTTATGGAAGGTTTTCAGATTGTTCTACAAAGCAAAAAATATCATTTTCTTTAAATAAAAACTATATCCATCATCATAGAAAAAGTGAATTTTGTGACTTTGACGGACAAGCGGTTTTGATTACGAATAGCGACAAGTTGGATTTGAAAAACATTTTTGCTAGAGATGGCAGAACTTGCCAAGATGCTATTGGAGAAGGTTCTGATGAAAGTGATAAGAAGTATGAACAGTATGTTAATAAGAAAGGTAATAACGGCACAATGCATTATCATTCGCCGATACAAAGAACAAATGAAAAGGAAATGAAGAAACAATCAAAGTCTGGAGGTGAGAAATTGACTACTGGGTTAATACAATATCTTATATTAATGATATCTTTTATATACAACTTTCATTAGACGTTAGATTATATAAGTAAAATTTACATGAATTAGTTATCTTTTTTAGGACCCCATTTAAGACCTAGAAATCCATTATTCCCGTGTTCATTGTGTAATAAACCTTGATATTTAGGTTCTATTATGTAGATTCTTCTTTGTCTTGGGATATCTAATGCAATATAAGAAAATTCTGAACTCCAGAAAGAAGTATCAACTTGTTCGAGGGTGACTGATCCATGCTTCCCACTATCAGTTTCAACATGAAATTTCATATAAAGACGATCATTGCCATCTTTACCTTTTGATCTTACACTTTGAACTGGTCTGTTACGGACCCATCTGTCACCAGGTACTTCACCATAAGCTTTAACTCTTTCACCCGATTTAAAATCTAATGCCTTTTGGGCCAATTCATTTTGTTCGAGAAGCTTAACTGCCTTGTTGAAAGTTTTGGTATCACCGGAAGGTAAGAATAATTCTGATAAAATAAGATAAATAACCAATAAAGATACCCCAAAAGCACCTAATACAAGGACTGATGATAATGAAAAGGTGAAAAACCTGGAGATTCTGTTGAGGATAAGTTTACCCTTTGCATTTTTATCAGATGGCTCCGATGGCGGTGGAGGTGGAGGTGGAGGTGCAGTTTTGGTGGAGTATAATCTGTGAACTTTATTTGAAAAGTCAATTGAAGTTGGTCTCATAAAGGTTTGGGGTTTAACTAATGAATTGAGTACCAAAGATCTTGCTGAGATGAGCGAAATTGGCTTGACTGCTTTTAAAGCTGGCCTTGATAAGACCAAGCTTTGAGCTATTCTGGATTGCAACATCGGTAAATGCTTGGAATATCAACTATGAATGGTTTTTCAAGCATTAAAAAGTCTTCCATCTTTTTTTCTTTTCGAGTTTTTTTCATTTGCCAACTTTTTCGAAGGTGCACGCTATTTTTTTTTTTTTGCAATTATTCAAAAGCCTATGAATCTATTTGAAATGCTTTGAACAGATTGTTTGGAGTGATGGCCATGTAGCAGGGGGGTGGGTGCGTAGTGGGTATTTTTTTAAAGAGTACTTCAGAGGTGTAGAGGGAATATAATCAAATTTTTGCAATTTTTGCAACAAATATGAGCCAAATCTTGATATCATCAGTGTTTGATTTGACGGAGAATACCCTGTTTATAATTTAGAGTGACGATAAATTAACTGAATTGCTACATGGACTTATCAAATAATAGAGTGAGGTTTCTGGAATCGAAGTATTGAGGAAATATATTCCAGGTATTGATTATTTCGTATGTTTTTTGCAATGATGAATATTCATCTACTTTTCAAAGACATAAGAAGTGTATACAACGTTGGAGAGCAAAAGGTTCAGAGATTGAAAAGCCTCGGTGATTTAGTGCTGGAAATTGTTAAAGAGATTAAAATAAATTCAGCATTTTATGATAATATTAGTTAAGACATCTGCGGAACAAAGAGCAGGAATAAGGTTCTTGCTTGTAAGATTTCGAAAAATAACCTATGGCAAGAATACAGCGTAAACAAGGGAAATCAGTTGGAAGCATAAATTGCACTCAAATCTTTGACAGTTATCGGACCACTCAAATCTTTGGCAGTTATCGGAGTACTTAAATCTTCAGCAGACATGGAACCACTCAAATCTTTGAGCAAAGTATTCTTAAGTCACAAACAGAGATAAACTCTTTTAAGTAGAAGCCTCCGTGGTTTGTTGATGTTCTTCTTCTGACATTGTTTAGAGTATATTCAATAATTTATTATGCAAAAACCGCTTTTTCGAAAGAAAAAACCGCTCCAGATCATAAACATCGTTGCCCAACCACCTGAGCTTCCAATTGAGCTCACACTAAGCCATTTAAAAGGCTCGTCAAACTCTCTGAAGTTTAACCTCTAGTAAAACCTTACCTATCAGGTCGGTTCAACCTCGGTAACAGGCGGATGTTTAACCTCACTTGGCCTGGTGGCCGGCCGCGCTATCAGCTCAGGTGGAGGGTTCGAATCGCGTCCCCGTGGCCTAATTGGTTAAGGTGTCCACCTCCGGTATTTTCCTTTGAATCAAAGATTACTTGTTTTAGAGAGTTTAGTGGATGATTGCGGGTTCGAGTCCCGCCGGGGACTTTTCTTTTTTTGCCAATCGGAAACCGGGGGGAATTTTAAAATATTGAAAAAATGCGTCACGTGCTCGCCACCTTATTCAAGGGCAAGTGCCCTAAGGCTCGCAAATTTTCCAATTCGCACAGAAAATTTTTTTGTTAGCGTTTTTTTTTTTTTTTTTTTTTACTTTTGTTAGCGTTTTTTTTTTTTTCATCTCAGTCTTTGAGTTTTGGGTATTGAAAAAAAAATTCTCTTCATTTAATAGATTTTTACTCTCTTTTAGTTCTGTTCTATTCAACCTTATACAACCATAGACAAAATGGCCAAGATCAGTCAAGGTAATTATTGAATTCCAAGAGTGTGATGTCCGTTGATACTGAATTAAAGAATGTCAGGAGTTGAGACGATTAACTTGAGTGTACTATAAGAAGTTAGCATAAGAACGCTACGAAGAAGTTACTTAAAGAAGTAAAGGAAGAAGGAATCAAGTAGAGAAGTGATGTGGTGGACATGAATGATTCAGTAGAATTGGGGATATCACTAAGATTAAGAAATATATACTAACTATTGATATAGACGTTTCATCTTCTAGATCCAAAGCTAGAAAAGCTTACTTCACCTCTTCATCAGTTGAAAGAAGAGCTTTATTATCTGCTCCTTTATCCAAAGAATTAAGAGCTCAATACAACATCAAATCTATCCCAATCAGAAAAGGTGATGAAGTTACCGTTGTCAGAGGTTCTAAAAAAGGTTCTGAAGGTAAAATTTCTTCTGTTTACAGATTAAAATTTGCTGTTCAAATCGAAAAATTACAAAAAGAAAAATCTAACGGTGCCTCCATCCCAATTAACATCCATCCATCTAAAGTTGTTGTCAACAAATTACACTTAGATAAAGATAGAAAAGCTTTAATTGAAAGAAAAGGTGGTAAATTAGAATAATTTAATTGATTATATAAGGTTGTTAATTTACTAGTTTTCTGTATATCATAATAAATATTGTACTCTAATTCGACAGGTGTTAAGCTCTTAGTGTCATTTAAATGTAGTTGTTGAATTGCATATATTCCTTCTTAGTCCCATGTATATAGCAAAAAAAAAAAAAGATCCAATCATCTCAAATTGGCAAGTCTCTGGGGAAATTTTAAAGCAAATCTAATCAAAGCTGTCAATTTATAAGCCAAATACTTATCAATACACACAGAATGTCCCAAACATTTGATTCGGATGACGATTGTGAAATTGTCAATGGGTTTGGTTCGGCTTTATTAGAAAGAAATCCTTCAAATTCTGGTAAAAGAACCAAAAAAAGATGGTCATTTCATAATAATTCAAAACCAAACTTAGTTAATTTACCCCTGGAAGCTTCAAGAACAAGACGGTTAAGTGATATAACTGGCACCGACGGGGTCCACAAAGAAATTGATCCGTATCATATTAGTCCAGCACAACTTTATCTGACAGAATCAGGAAGATTATTTCATGCTGGGAAAATTTGTATCTGTTTAGCCGGATTACCAGGTAGAGGTAAAACCCACTTATCGGTTAGTTTAACCCGTTATTTAAGATGGTTAGGAGTTAAAACCCATTCATTCCATTTGGGTGATTATCGTCGAGCAAGATCAAGTGATTTGGATTTAACCCACGAATTATTCACACCTCAATCCAATGATTTTAGAACTAAAATTGTTGATGAATGTTTAAATGATATCTTAAATTTTTTCAAAAATGATAAGGGACAAGTTGCTATTTATGATGCTGTTAATGCATTACCTGAATATAGATTAGATTTACATAAAAAATTTAATGATTTGAATATTCAAACTCTATTTATTGAATCTTTAGTTACTGATGATTCAATTATTTTGAAAAATATGGAAGAAGCAGCAAAATCTTCTCCTGATTATTTAAATTGGGATTATGAATCTGCTTATAAAGATTACCAAGAACGTATTAGTTTTTTGACTCCTTATTATACTGAAATGAATCAAACTGATAATAATAATAAATTATCTTATATTAAATTTATTAATTTTGGTGAAAGAATCGAATTGAATAATTCAAATTATGGTTACCTTATTAATAAAGTTGTTTTCTTTTTAATGAATTCAAGAATTAAACTGGGATCAGTATTTTTCGCTCGTTGTTATAAAAATGATTTAGAATATGGTCAGGATCCTCCTTTAGATGAAGATGGAATTAATTATGCTAAAAACTTAACAAACTCTTTAAAAAATTATTTAAATTCTCAAGGTAAAGATTATTTTGATCCAGAAAAAGTGAAGGCAAGAAGTCTAAGTGTTAGACCTCAAAATAAAAGACAATTGACAATTGATGATAAACATCCAACGGCTGGCGTAGATGGCGTTGATGAAGATTCTTTTGTTGTTTGGACTTCGGTTAAAAAGAGAACCGTTGAAACTACTCAATTTTTAGCTAATCAAAATATTAATATTAGACACCGTATTCAGTTACTGCAAAAAAATCCCGGTATAGTTGGTCAAATGACTGATGATGAAATAAAAGAAAAATATCCAACCGAATTTGAACAGTTTTTAAAAGATCCTTACCATCATCGATTCTCTAGAGCTGAACTGTACCACGATTTAGCCATCAAAATTGAACCCTTGATTCTAGAAATGGAACGAATGAGTGGGGATATCCTAATCATTGCCGATGATACTGTTTTAAAAGTTTTCTATGGCTATTTAATGGCTTGTTCTTGCTATGATATTCCTCTGTTACTGTTTTCAACCGATGAAATCATCGAAATTAAATTCAACGCCTACTCCAATTCGGCTAAAAGAATCCCAATAATCAAGCAAGAATAACCTCTTCTCTAATTTTACTCCCGCTTCTATATATTGATTCTAGTCTTTAAATCTATTCAATCTTTAATTTTGCATCCGTAGGCCTTCTTTTGCACCCGTACCTACATTCTCTCACCAAAGGGCCTTTTTTTGCTTTCGTTACTAAAACACCATTAACTACTCTACAAAGCCAGACTATAATGACATTAATACCGAAAGCAACGTATGCTGCACCAGATTTAACCCGGGAGTTTGTGCCGGGGCCAGGTCCACACTCAACAAATGGGAAAACAACCCAAATATCCGACATTGTGATCAAAGCTGGAGGAGAAGATCGAGATAGACCAAGTGATGCCAAAGACTCTGAATTAGGCGAGTTAAGAGCTCAATTAACAACATTACAAGATCATATAAACATCTTTTTAACCGAGCGAATGGAAATAGATAAAAACAAAGCAAAAGAAAATGAAGATTTGGAAAGACGTATCCTAGACGATGGTGTAGATGAAGATGATAGTGATTAGATATATATAAATGTATATTAAATATATTAAATATAGAATGATTTATGGTACAAGTAAACTATTTCTTTCCAACTAATTGAGTCATGTTTGTTATAGTATTATCTAAAGTAGTTTGTAAATAATGCTGTTTAGTTTTTAAGTTCTTTTGGGTATCCAAAAACTCTTTTTCGTCCCCTTGAATGGTCTTTATATATGATCCCACGTCATTCTTCACAAACGCTTTCCCGATCCCTTGCCAAACAGGATCATTATCTGAATTAGTTAATTTCTTTAAATTGGTTGAAGTATGTTTAATAAGGTTTAAGTTGGTATTAATTCTGTCCAATTGCAAATTGCACATATTTAACTCGGCCTTGGACTTGTTAAGCTGGTTGTCCATTTCCATTAGTAGCTTCTGCAAAGCCTCTGGGTTCACTGACATCTTGTAATGTTTTCTATTCGGTGTTGACTGGCAAACTGGGTGAATAAATCGTTGATTCAAATCGACGAATAAACTGAAAAAAACTGAAAACGAATATCCTTGAAAAAAACACCCACACACCAGCACATTAAATTTTTCACTTTTTTCTTTTATTCAATAACTTATTAATACAACTCTATACTTTAAGTAATACTAGTTAAGTATTGGATATGTTGAGATTTGGAAGAGTGGGTGGAATACCCAGAGTGTTCAATGTCACGGTGAGATCCTTTGTATACACCTCTCGAGTTCTTGCTACTGATGGTTCTATGAATGCCTTTATTCCAAAAATGAAGACTCCTGGTGAACTGAGTTTTGTTGAAAACAATATACCTTCTGAAACCAATAGATTATCTAAGAGTATGACCAAGTTCTGGGAAACGGTTGATACCGAATATAACGAAACAACCAAACAATATGACGTTAAACTCGACGGTAAAACTTTGAAAACACCATTAGGATTCCCACTTTCATTACCGGAATCCAAGAAAGAAATGGCGTACTTGATTGGTCATGAATGGGCCAATTTACCAGACTTAAAGATCAAGACCAATTCTTTGCCATTGACATCCATCACCGCCAGGGCCATTGATTTAATGAGTATCAATAAAGATGGTGAACCAAATAACGAATTAATTTCAAAAGTGGGTAAGTTGGAAGATATTAAATTGAATTTATTAAGATATTTTGATACCGATACTTGTTTGATCTTCACTACTTTAGAGGAATACGATGGCAAATTGAGATCAAGACAAAATGAATTATACTTACCTCTTATTGAAGAATTTGAGGACTTTTTCACCAAATACGCCCAATCCAATGAACCCCAGAAATTATTACCTTCTTCTGATTACAAAGTCAAATTGAACTATCTTGATTGCGAAACAGATGGATTGAGAGGTAATACCCAAGCAATCACCACCCAGAACATTGTTCTTCATTGGTTAAACCAATTGCCAATTTATGATTTGGTGGCTTTGGAAAAAGCCATTTTAACCTCTAAATCCTTCTTATGTGGTATTTCACTTCTCAGATCAAATGCAGCCAACCCAGACAATGTCAAAAACTTATATCAAGTCAATAAATCTCATCCAAACAGTCATTATTTCAAATCAATTGACGAAATTATCGAATTGGGTAACTTGGAATCGATTTTCCAAACTGAGGAATGGGGTGAAGTCGAAGACACCCACGACGTTGACAAAGCCGACTGGTCCAGAAACTTGTCTAGTGCTGCGTTATTATGCCACTGATCTTTGTCATTGTCATAACTATCTCTTGTAATTGCCAAAGTTATCTATTTGTATATAGCTGTTAAATAATAAAAAACCTCCGTACACCCGCTCAAACGAGCAAAGAAGAAAAAAAACGGTAAAAACAGAAAATATCAACAGAAGACTACTTCCCAACTCTGAATAGAAAGCTTTTATTATCGAAATAGCAGCGAGTTTCTCATAATACACCCAGTTTTGCAGATCAATCCTGTCAATATCGCATATCCTGAGAGTGTGTGCGTGTATCTAAACCTTGAATTCGCATCTGGCGGTAAGTGCTTTAATCTTTTCAATTCATTATTTGTAATATTTAAGAGTTTGCTTTTACTTTTTGCTTTCCTGTTGTGTGTTTTTTATCAATACCGGTGTTATTTTATATCACTAAAAGGTGTTTAACTCGGAACTTTGACACATTCATTTGACCTTGAACGTCTTTCCCATACTTTTTATTTAGACGCGTTACCGTCCGTTTTCCTCCATTTTTTTTATGATAAACATCCCAGATATAGCCGAATAGTTTAAAATGGGATATGAAATCAGCATCTCCAGTCCCGAGCAGAATGGCAATGAGGAAGAAGGAGCACATCATATTTCGGTTTCGAATTCTAATGGTGAGACCAACGAAAATAGTGATGCCTTGAGTAAAGGCTCTGGCGATGCCGATGAACCCCATTCGCCGCCTTCTAATTTATCCTCAATACCACTGCCTACTGCAGGTCCATCTTCTTCGCCCCACAAGAATGTGGTAGATGAAGATGATGAGAAGAAACAGTCGGAAGACGAAAGAGAACAAGATCCACTATATCAAGAAATGTTGATGATAAGCACTAAAGTTCCTCGAAGAGTGAAGGTTTATCTTCTTCAAGGTGAAGATTGGCTAGATAATGGAACTGGTTATTGTACCGGTGAATTTTCGGAAGACACCCATAAGCCGTATTTTTTCGTCAGAAGCGAATTGCATCCACAAGAAGTTATTCTTAAGTCATACCTAGAAGGCTCTATACAGTATCAGAGACAACAGGAAACTTTGATTGTATGGACCGATCTTTCTGGTAAAGATCTCGCCTTATCATTTCAAGAAACTGAAGGATGTGCTGATCTTTGTGAGTTTATAATAAAAGTTCAACAACAGGGCTTCAGCTCTGATATATCATTGTACTATGTCATATCAAATGCTAGTATATCGGATAATGATGGTAATAATGGAGGTGTAAATGAAATTACTGAATTAATCACTGGTCCTATAAATATACCTGAAGATCCAACGATTGATAACCTAGAGTCCATTATCGATGTAATTAGTCAAGGTTCAAATTCTCAATACACCCGATCTTGTATCCTGAAATTCATAATCGAAAGTAAATTTTTCGAAAAACTTATTGATGTCTTTAACCAATCCGAAGAGAAAAGAAAATTACAGAATTTATTCACCCTTACCGAAATTATAAAAATTTTGATAATATATAATGAACCTTCTATAATTGAAGACTTTGTTTCTAGTGAATCAAAAATTCTAGGTTTAGTTGGTATATTAGAATATGATCCAGAATATCCAAATTTTAAAGCTACTCATCGAGAAATATTCGCTGACAAATCCAAATTCAAAACCGTTATTGAAATCCCAAATGATGAAGATAAAATAAATATCTTTAAAAGAGATTTCTATTTAAATTTTTTGAAAAATGTTGTTTTGGCTAGGTATTTAGATGATCAAACTTTTAATACTTTAAATTCACTAATATTTTTCAACCAGGTTGAAATCATAAATTTTTTGAAAAATTCCGAATCTAATGATAATTTCTGTACAAAGTTATTCAACATATATGATAATGATAATGATAATAATGACAACAATATTAATAATGTCAATAAGAATGGCATTTGCTCTGATAATACCAATAATACTACTAATAATACTTATAATAATAACAATAATGATGACTATAACCATAATAATAAGCTTGCAGAACACAAATCGACAAATAACCATATCAACACAAGTCCAAGCTCAAGCATTCATACTAATACCGATTCCTCCAATGATACTCCCAATACTCCGATATCACCGAATCCAAATTCCCAAAACTCAAAACAAGTTTCATTAAAAACGAAAAGAAATGGTGTTAAGATGTTACATCAATACGTTCTTATAACCAAGTCTCTACAGTCTTACCAAAAATCTGAATTTTTTTCAGTTTTAGTCAAAACTGGGCTTTTTAAAATGTTAAGTTTTGCCCTAAAGGATACTGATAGTAATACAAGGGTTTTAGGTACCGAGCTTATAGTCATTATAATAGAACAGGATGTCTCGCTTGTTAATTCTATCGATAACGATAACTCGATCGATATTTTAGATCCTCCATCTATGAGTCCAGCAGCAGCAGCAGCAGCAGCAGCAAATTCAGAAAATTGCAATGATAATAATCTTATTGATAAAGATAAGAACTTTGAAGAACACAAGCCTCTCAAATTTAAATTATCTGATGATATGACATTGAGTCTTATATTGAGTAAATTGTTATTAGAAGATAAAAACCCTGGTTTAAAAATCCAAGCATTTGAAGCGTTGAGAATTTTATTGGATTCAAATATTGCATCTAATACTTCAATTCCGGGTCAATTTGAAGGATCAAACGGAGAACCAAACATGAAGAATGTTCAAAATGGGTTTGATTTAGAAGTTTTGAGAAACCAATTTAGCAATTTCCAAGACGAATATGAAGATGAAGAAGGCGAAGAAAACCGAAATCCACTCAATCGAGGATCTAATGAAGTGAATGATATTAATACCAACAATTATTTCGAAGCTTTTTATTCTAAAGTTGCCCCTGGTTTATTCAAAGAATTGAGTGACTTGTCTTACTCCAAAGAAGATTCAAAATTACATGAATCAATTGTATCTAAAATCAAAGGCGATGAAATTTTATATCAACATTTATGTGACTTGATATCATTTTGTTCTAAAGAACATGAAGCATATATTTCCCGACCATTTTTCTTGGAAAACAATATACTTTTAGGGGTAAGTAAATTGATGGTTATTGATGTTAAGATTACTTTGAAATTGAGTGCTATCAGATGTTTAAAGAATATCTTATTGTTAAATGATGGGTTTTATTCAAGATACATTATTAATAACGATATTTTCCAATATTTTTTCGACTTTTTCAATACCATCATAAGTGAAAATAATTTGGCTAACTCAACCTGTCTTGATTTATTAGAGATCATCATCAAAAATTGTGATAAAACTGTGAATCATGGTAAAAGACATAATTTCAAATTATTGGCTGAATATATATATAAGAATTTCAAAGATATCTGTCGTGATAAAATTAATTACGTCAGTACCGGGAAAGAATTAGTTAAAATGGTGGAAAATGAGTTCTACGAAGACGATACTAAACAATTTGGAGTGGCCGATACCTCGTTTGACTCTGAAGACGACGAATTCTTGAATAATGGCCACAACGTCTCTACCCCGATCAAGAGTGATGAAGAAGTTGAGCCAAATGAACTGAATGAACACCTACCCTTAACTAATGGTAGTGGTCCTCATAACTTGTTCGAGGATATCGAAAAAGACATGGGCCATAAAACTCATGCCAAAAGAGCTCGTGAAGATGATAATGATTCAGAATTGCAACCTATTCATAAGAAAGAGACCTTCATTTCGGTGGCAGACCTGCCGAAATCGGTGCTGCCAACCTCGGTGCTGCCCAAATCCAACCCGGTCTCTCCTACAAATGATGAACCCGCCTGATCTTACGGTCCTGGTGGCATGATCATGGGTGTATACTTTAATATATATTCAATAAGACTATTCCTCTTTGCCTGGGTGTACGGAGGCTTCAGTGGCCTCGGATCGCTCAATTATCGCGGGGAAACGCAGAGCAGAAAGTGATAAAAAGACCAAAGAATCCTTTGATAACGAGTTATCATCGACAACAAGACCGTTATCAATAGCAGGACAGTGACAGGATGGGGACACATCTAGACCAAACGTTTGTGAGTGAAGGAAACTGGAAACCAGACCTTTTCGCAGGGAAAGTTGTATTTGTTACCGGAGGTGCTGGTACGATATGTAAAGTGCAAGCAGAGGCAATGATATTGCTAGGAGCAAATGCAGCAATTGTTGGGCGGAATCCAGATAAAACCATAGAGGCAGCCAAAGACCTACAAGAGCTTCGGAAAGATTGCAAGGTGATTGCATGTCCTAACGTTGATGTCCGCAAGGTTGAGAGTATTAAACAGGCGGTGGATAAGACCGTGGAGGAATTGGGACGAATTGATTTTGTTATTGCTGGAGCAGCTGGGAATTTTTTAGCTGACTTCAATCATTTATCGTCGAATGCTTTTAAATCAGTGGTGGACATTGACCTATTGGGGTCTTTCAATACGGTTAAGGCAACTTTCAATCAATTGCGTCAAAACAAAGGATCGATTCTCTTCGTTAGTGCAACTTTGCATTATTACGGTATTCCCTTTCAAATCCACGTTGGTGCAGCCAAAGCCGGAGTGGATGCTCTATCCAATGCATTGGCGGTGGAATTGGGCCCCGTTGGGATTAGAAGCAATTGTTTGGCCCCCGGCGGTATCGAGGGAACTGAAGGCTTACAGAGATTGAAACGAAACGTCCAAAAAAATATCGAGTCGGTTCCTTTACAAAGAATTGGTACTAGAAGAGATATTGCTGAATCAACAGTTTTCTTATTTTCTCCAGCTGCAAGTTACATCACTGGTACCGTTCATGTCGTTGATGGTGGCCTGTGGCACACCGGCCATAGTGCCACCAGTGAGATCTATCCGGTAATCATCACTGAAAAGAATTCTGAACCAGTTCTTAAACTATAATAGTATTAGTTTCTCTGTTTAAATAATCTTTACATATATTGGAAATGGGTCGTGTGATCTGACCATTTTGTTGCTGGAAGTTCGTTTGTGAATTTTCAATGAACAGCAGAAAATTAGTAGATAGTAGATAAAACAACAACAATAACGGCATCTTGAGTACCTGAATAGAGGTTGAAATAGATTGTATTGTCAAGATAACGATAAGGAAAGAAAAAAAATTGAAATATTAAAAGTTTTAGAGGATTTTCAAATAGACCAATAAAAGTTAAACATGTCCATTGATCCAGATACTAGAAGAAAATTACTTGTTTTACAAAAAAACGGAGCCAATAAGAAATGCTTTGATTGTGATGCTCCAAACCCGCAATGGGCTTCGCCCAAGTTTGGGATATTCATTTGTCTTGAATGTGCTGGTATCCATAGAGGATTAGGAGTACATATTTCATTTGTTAGATCAATTACAATGGATCAATTCAAACCAGAAGAAACTCTTCGTATGGAAATTGGTGGTAATGAAAACTGTAAAAAATACTTCAGTGAAAACGGAGTTGATTTAACTTTACCAACCAAATTAAAATTTGATAATTATGTTGCAGAAGATTATAAAGAAAAATTACTGGCTGAAGCTGAAGGTAGGGAATTCACTCCGAAAGATCATACTGGGGAAACATTACCATCGGCTTCAAGTGCTGCTTCAAAAACCAATTCTAATGAAGCAAGTCTATCTTCTAATCAAGAGCCGATTCAATCCCGTCGTGGGGTTGGTTTAACTGGTGAACAAAAATCTCAAAATGAAGCATATTTTGCTAAATTGGGATCTCAAAATGAATCAAGACCGGATGATTTACCACCATCCCAAGGTGGTAAATATGCTGGGTTTGGTAATACTCCTGCTCCTTCTAATAATCAATCTGGTAATGGGGGTACATTTGCTAATTTTACTCTTGATAAATTTCAAAATGATCCAATGGGTACTTTTACTAAAGGTTGGGGGTTGTTTTCAAGCACTGTTGCTAAATCAGTGAATGAAGTTCATGAATCAGTTATTAAACCAGGCTTTAATCATTTACAAGAAAGTGAATTAAGTGGTGAGGCTAAAAGAGCAATGGCTCAATTTGGTCAAAGAATGCAAGAAACTGGTAAATACGGTCATGAAACTTTCCAATCTTTTACTAAAGATGTCAATGAAAATGGTTTCAATAAAACTTTTGATTCAAAATTTAGTAGTTTTTTCAATAGTTTAAGTTTACAAGAACAAAAAGAAATTGCTCCTGCCTTTGGTTTAGCTAAACCTGAAGAGAAAACTAAGTTACAAGGTTTACAAGGTGGAGCCTCTCAGAATAACAAAAGCAAAAAGGATGATGATTGGAAGAATGATGATGATAAATGGGACGATTTTTAACCACTTTTGCCTTTACCTTTGCTTGTTCTTCTGATTCTTCTTCTGATTCTTCCCCTGTTTGCTTCTAGTTATTGTTTTATAGATTAACATCACGACTGTGATTGTCTTTGTATTTTAATATAAGTTTTCTAAATTTGACTCGATTGAGTAACTAAACCGCGATGAGTCCAGAAAGAGAAGGTCCCCTGTAACGTCGCGACGCAACAGGGTTTCAATTATGGGCCTCACCAGGCAGGCTTCAGCAGACCCGATGGCAAGCCAGGGCATTTCACAGGAGATTACACGGCCAATCAAGTTGCCGTAAGAGGTATAAACTGGAGATTTGACTTGACGGAAACATGGATTACTTACTACCTCCGAGTATTTTCTTGCAAGCTGCAGGTTGCAAAAAGTGAATTCAAAGTCAAAGAACTTAAGCAATACAAATTCGAATAATGGATACTAAGGTATATTAAAGAGAATTATAAATATTTTTTTTTGCTTTTAAACATAAAGACCGTAAGAATTGAAAAGTGGTAAGAAAAGGGGAGGGGATATAATTATAGAAATAGAAGTAAATGAAGCGAAGTTGACCTAAAGACAATCACTCGAAATTAAGACACCAAATAAAAGTAAATCGAAAGTAGAATATACGGGTAAGAAGAAAGAAGAGTATTATTGTTTCCCCAAAAGTTTTTAAAAAGACTTAACTTTGGTAAGAAACGATGCAAATAAAATTATATTTGAAGGATTGAACCTTTAGTAATGCTTTTCAATTCGATATATCTATCATATTCCATTTTGAAAGTTTGGAATGAATGGAAGTAAGTATCTTTTATATAGAAAAACTTGACAAAGGGCCAGGAGATGATGAAATCAATAAAACCAACATCTCTTGCAATTGAAATTATGACAAAGTAGACTAAACCGAGTAAAGCACCAAACATAACCCCAACCAACACTTGTTGGATAGTATGGTATAAGAGATAAACTCTCGAGAATGCAACCAATAATCCACTGGATATTAAGATCCCACAACCAAGGTATTTTTGTATAGCAGAAAAATGATTCATTTTAAATAAGAAAATGCAGATGAAGTAAGCAGCGAAAAATCCCATGAATTGGGAATGGGCGGAAGGCATACCGTAAGTCAAGGAGTAAGAGCCTGAACCAAAATCTTTATGAAATTCTGGTCTGGGTTGTTTGATTAATTTTTTCACGATTTTGTTTAATATTTCTCCAATCAAGTGACCTCCAACAACAATAACCGGTTCTATTTCTCTAGTAATCAAAAACCATGAGGTGTAGAAAACCATGGTATAAATGGGTAAAAGAGACAAGTGAACCGATATCATGGATATGATATCCTTTGGATCATACAAAATGTAAGTATGATTGAAAGGAATCGGATTATATTTGATATCAGAAGGAAAATACGTTGGCATGATGGAATCCTTGAACAGAGCCTGGTATGGGAAGAGTAAGAACAAGAGGGAACTCAAGGGTTTTTATGTATCTCGATAAACGAACGTGGTGATGACAAACCAATGAAAAATGTTAAATTCAAAAGCGTATAATGAAAAGAAAAAGAAAAAGAATAGAGAAAAATAATTATCAATTAATAAATGTAATTACCGATCCTGGGATAAATGGTAGAGAAGAAATGTACGGTAAACTCCTAAAACTTTACGTGAATTTGAATGAATTCGTCAATTTCAAATGAATCAAGAAATGAGTTGCAGATTTTCAGGCTTGTCGCAACAGGGATTACTGACAAAGACGGGTCTAACTATATTGCAGGACGATATTGGCAATATGCTAGATATAATATTGACTAAAAGGGAATAATTAGACTGGACTCCATGCAGCCAACTCCCAATTCGAGATTGTACAATTTTTCGCTATGTCTTTGTCAACCACCAACAACAAACAAACCCAGGTGCCCAAGCAATATGCGGTGACAAAAGATCAGAAGCAGCAAAGAAGGATTAACTACTCTGGAGAACAAAAAGGCACGATTGTTAATTTAACAATCGACAATCCTGGAAGACAATTTGAAAAACAACCTGAAAAAAAAAAAATTTTTTACCAAAGAAAATGCCAAAGAAAATACTAAAGAAAATACAACTTCGCAGGGCTTAATCTCCTGTGATGGCTATCCAATACTCTAATCCCACTGGCGGAACACTGCAAACGTACCCTTCTCTGCTGAAAATTGAATCAACCAGCAAATAAAAGGGAAAAAGCTTCGTGTCTTAAAAATTTTCATTTTTTTTTGACGCGACTTGTGTTTTTTTTTTCATTGCAATTTTACTCTTTTGAAACGAAATTATCAGCCAAACAATAGAGAAAGGAACAGAATATTACGGTGTATCCCAGCTTAAACCATGGAATGTGGTCTGCTGGTGCTAAAAATAATTAATGCTCCGGAAATTTGGCTCTAGAAGAAGTGGTTCGCTGAGAGAGCCCTGCTTACTCACAGTAGAACCTGGTTCACGAGCTTTAACATAATTGTAGAAAGTCTCGTAAGTGGGAGGACCCTCGAAAACGTGATGGTCTACAAATTGACGATGGCCATTAAGGAATCCTTTGACTTTACAACCAAGACGTAAACGTACCAGACGTACATACGAGAAGGTACAGCATCAAAGGTCATTGGGGACTATTTGGAGGTATCCTTTGGAAAGGGAGTATGAGCATCGCGTTCTATCACAATACCTTTAAGAGTTTTGTTACTGGCACGTAATAACGTTACCTGAATCGGTTTAATTACTTACTGGTCTAGATGGCTTTAATATATTAAAAGGAATATACTGAAAAGAAGCTAAATACATGAATACATCGGGTTAGAAAAATAAATGACATTGAAATACAGGAAAATTTGCAGAGACATTAGAGACATGAAATAAAATTATGTAGGAAAAAGAGAAGAGAAATAAAGTAATGGTAAACAAACCTTAATAGTGCAGAGATGATCTAGAGAAGAAAAGAGTATGAACAGAGGTATGAAGAGGCATGAAAATAAAAGTGCAAAAATAGTAACTAGTGAGAAATGTACAAAAAATGACAATATGACAAGAGAGTGATAGAGGTATCTATGAGTTCCGTGCAAAGCATAAAAACATAAGTGCAGAATAAATATTAGAGAAGATGTAGAGATGTAGACGTGTAGAGGTAAGACGTGTAGAGATGAAGAGGTGTAGAGGTAAGAGGTGTAGAGGTAAGAGGTGTAGAGGTAAGAGGTGTAGAGGTAAGAGGTGTAGAGGTAAGAGGTGTAGAGATGTAGAGAAGTAGAGGTAAGGTGAAATAGAGGTACATGAAGAGATAAGATAGAGGTATATGAAGAGGTAATATAGAGGTACATGAAGGATCAGATAGAAATGGAGAGATAAACAGGACTCAATGCTATACAAATTTAAAAATAAGATTAGGCATTAAGTTGACGTTTTTGTTGATCTCTTGCCCATCTGGCAGCATCCTTAGTTGATTCACTAAATAATGGATTGCTTCTAATTGATTTAATATAAAGAGTGACCCAGTCTTGTGAATATAATTGACGGAATGTAGCATTGGGGAACATTGCTGCAACATCCCCTAATAAACCGGCTGATGTTCTGGCAATTGATTCAATTCCTAATAATTCAGGATCAGTAGAAATGGATTCAATCAATTGAAACATGGCTCCAACGTATTGATAAATAACATTTGGTTGACTGCTTAATCCATTGACAATACCCATATATGCATCCAAAACAGATTCCTTAACTTTACTAACGTATTCAAAGCTTTCAATTGATGAATCTTCTGGGGTGATTTGTGAAGCTTGTACACAAATTTGTAAAACAAATTCGGCGTATTGAACGAAACTTGGTCCAATTGCTGCCGCAATATCACCAAAACAAGATAAAATAGTTGGTCTTAAATCTCTATTAAGATTAGCGTCATTCAAGTTACTACCTAAAATTTGCATTAAATCACTCCAATATTGTTCAATACCTTGTCCTAATGATTGGGCCAAATCAGCTACTAATCCAATTGCCGTATCACAAGTTGGTGATTCAGTATTAGTTAAAGCTTTGGTTAAATATGGTAAGAAAACTGGCATATATTTATTGAAACCCGGGCCAATGGCACTTGCAATTGAGGAAATTGCAATGAAAATATCTTCTTCCAATAATGAGTTTGGATCTTGAATTTCTAATAATTTAATGAATAATTCCATTAAACTATCTGAGGCACTTATAACGTCATTTTTCAATCTTCTTATAACACAGGTTAATAATGCCAAAATATCAATTTGTAATTCTTCAAGATTTGCTTTGGCTTCGATTGAATTCAAACTTTTCAGTAATGGAATACTTGATTCTAATCTACTGACAGCTTCACTGGCAATAGTTTGAATAATTGGTAAAGTATCATTTGCACTATAAGTAACAAATGATGATAATGCTTCATAAGCAGATGTTCTTGAACTATATTCATTATCGGTTTTATTGGTTAATCCAACCAAAATTGGGACAATACCTTCGTAATATGGTGATAAGATACTGGTTTCAGAATCTGGAGCATCAACACAAAAATGTTCTAATAAATTAATAAATGACCAGCAACAATTGGTTGAAACTTTTGGATGATCAGATAAACCAGTAACTAAACTTTCTAAAAGTGCATTAAAATGGCCTTCAATATCACGAATTTCAATCAAATTTTCAACAATTCTACCCAAACACCAAGCAACGGTTTCTTTGACTTGTAATGTTTCATCTTTGATTAATGGTAAGATTGGTCCTAATGCTTCATTAATAAAAGTTTTAGCTTGATCCGGTTCAATACCTTCCAAAATGGAACCAAAAGCCATAACAGCAGCTTCACGGTATCTCCAATCTTCATTATTAACAATATTAGCGGCAACAAATTGTAAAGTTGGTTCAACAACATAAAATCCTGCTGATTGAGCAAAAAGCTGTAAACAAGCCCCAGCGGCCATTGCCACTGACCAATCATCATCTTCTGGATCTTCGTTTTGTTTGGTTAATAAATTAAGTAAAGTTGGTAAAACATCACTTGTAGCAATAATACAAAAATTAAAGGACATTAAGTCATTCAGTTGACCTAAACCACGACTTTGTAATTCATGACGTTGACTTGCAATATCAAATTCTTCTTCACAAACAGTTGACCAAAATTCAATGGCCATACAAGCAACTTTTTCATCAGGACTTTGCATACCACTTAAGGTTAAACCATATAATGCTTTTTCCATATAGATTTGCATAAATCTATAATAAATCTGCATAATTTTAGCTAAGCAACCAAATGCAGCCGCTTGTAATTCATTATCATCAGCTTGGGTAGCTTCGCAAACAACCTGCATGATATAATTTCTTTCACCATCATGTTCAAAGTTCAATTTAATGAATTCTAAAGAATTGGCCAACGCGTTTAAAGCGGTTAATCTAATTTTAGTAGATGGTTCATCTGATTGAGCCCCTTGAACAATTGAAACTAATATACCATTTGATTGAGCCAAAATTTCTGGATTGTTTGGATCACTACTTTCACATATATATCCAATGGTAAGTAAACAAGTTCTTTTGATATTGAGAGGTTTTTCCACTTTAGTATTTTCCACAATGATTGGAATTAATTCTGGCCATTCATTTCTTGGTAATTCAATAATTGCAATGGTAGCAACCAATTGAGAAATAGCATTTGAGATTCCATCATCGTCACTTAATAAAGCATCAATTGTTGTTTGTTTTATCTTGCTTTTAGTACTGACATCTAAATTAATCCAACGTATTTGTTGTTCTGAACGAGTTCTTGAATTTTTAGAAGTCAATTGATTCTTTAAACCTAAACCGGCCAACATTCGAACCTCAACCTTATTGTTACGGTTAGCTAAAGCTTCAACCAAACATCCCAAGTATTCAACAAAATGATTACTAGCGGCTTCATTTAATTGACGTTCAGCTTCAGTTCTCTTATTAGCATCTGGGTTTAATAATGCTGCTTCTAAAATTTGAGCAATATTCTCCATCTTGACGTAGGTATATACTCAACTGAATAAACGAATGAATTACTTTATCTCAATATCAAACAATGCAATTGATAATATATTCAACTAATTAAAATAAGTTATTAAAAAACAATCAAAATCTCAAAATTGGCTAATCAATCAAAGGGTCTACCTAAACAAAATCTTATCGGGAAATTCGTAACAAGATAGAGCTCAAATGAACATAAATTCTAAGGTTCGACTGATTATCCTTAATCTTCTGAATAGACGATTAGAGATTGTATTGATTCAAGGCGTGGACTCCCGACGAAGAGAAGCAGTTTTTTTTTGTTGGTGTTTTGTTCTTACACGAAGCAAGCGATAAAGCTCCGTACATCAGAGATGATTTTTCTTTTTCGAATCGACGTTTTTTTGGTTACCCGCAGGGGATGCACCCGTGCACCCATAGAAATCTAACTGCAAAAAGGACGGTTTTGCAATAGGATTACGAAGAAAAGGTGATTTTAATACATTAAACAATATACAAAGGGTAGAGAAGAAGAACTGTTTGATGGAAATTATATACTTATTTTTTTGAAAGGTTTTTGACGGGGGTTTTACTGGTTTTTTATGACTTTTTTTTTAGAGTTATTCTTTATTTTCAACTACAGAGTTTAGATCAGTCAAAGTCTCGTCCTTTTTGATCATTGAGCTATGAATACTTTCATTGCTTTCCAATGGAACCTCTTCATCAGCATGGACTTCATCTGTTTTAGATTCGCCGTTGGAGATTTGGTTACTTTCAGGGGAGGCAGCAGCACTTGCTTTTCTGGATCCAACTTCTCTTTTGGCCATTAATGATTTTTCTCTAGCTTTTAATGCAGCAGCTTTTTGTTCTAATGCGGCAGCTCTATTGGCTAATTCTTTAGCACTTGCCATTTCCAATTCTTCTAATTTTTGTTGTCTTTCTAGAATTCTTTCATGTCTAATAACGTAAGGAACGGTTTCGCTGATTTGTCTTAGTTGATTTCTTTGAGGAGCAATAGATAATCTCTTGAATGCTGCATTTTGAGGATTTAAGTTACGTGGAGGTACTCCATTATGACTGGTATTACTATTATTATCGAAAGATAAAGTTGAATTTGACGAATGAAATGACAAATTATTGCCCAAGTTTGGTGATGGCATTTCATTATTTTGTTCATCTTCATCTAATAACATTGATTTTGATTTTTTTATTGATGAAGAAGCTGAATCAACCGATTCATTATCAATTGTAGTGTTATTATGGTTATGACCATTTTGATTTGAAGTATTAGCTAATTGAGCTAAATTAGATAATGATGGTACAGTTGTTTGATCTTTATTGAAATTACTTTGATGACTTTCGACAGTATCATGAAATTCACCTTCATCATATTCATCTTCGCCATTTTGATGACCAACTTTACCAGTAACCTTAGTTAATCTTTCAGTTCTATAAGTTTCATATAAGAAGTCATGAGTTAAATCTTTCAAATCTTGCAAGTGAGATCCTAAAATAACCGATTTTAATATTGGGAAATCACTATATTTTGGATTATTTATATCAACTAAGCCCCATGGATAATTTCTAGCTTTAATAGTTTTAACTTCTCCAGTATGAGTATCTTTAATTTCATAATCATCTTCAGATGATATTATAGCAAAAGGCTGTAATTTTGATAAAAATTTACATTCTTCAATTAACTCATGATCATCTTGTTCATCATATTCATTTAAATAACTATCAAATTGGAAAATTGGTACATTAAATTTCTCAATATCAATTTTTATTTGACGTTTAAAATTTGCTAATTCTTTTTCAGTGAAAGAATCGGCTTTACTGATAACTGGAATGATATTAACATATTTTGATAAACGTTTCATACAATTTATATCAAGTTCTCTTAATCCATGACCAGTGGCAGTAATAAAATATAATAAAACATGAACTCTAGTATCAACAAATCTTGGATTTCTTTTAATTCTAGTTTCTTCAGCTAAAACTAAATCAAATTGTTGTTTTAAATAATTTTCAATTTCAACAAAACATATTTCATTATTTAAATTTTCTCCAAAACCAGGGGTATCAATGATATTTAATAATAATTTCATTTGATCGTCATCAACCATTTCAATCTTGGTTTCTGTCAATGCAATACCCGGTTCTTCGTTCGAAGTAGATGGATTGAAATCATTTCTAGTTAAAATCGATGTACTTGGTAATGCAACGGATTTAGCACTGGTAAAAGTTAAGGTTTTGGTTTCTCCAATTGCTAATCCATCCCGTTCAAAACGGTGATTTACAACTTTTTTATTCAATAAACTATTGACGAAAGTGGTTTTACCAGTTCCCAGTTCTCCAACAACCATGAACGTAAACTTGACCCCCTTTTTGGCATCTTTTCTATAGTTTATCATGGGTGAATGACCCGAAATCGATGGTGATTCATAAGTATACAGCGAATCCATGGCTTTGGCTTTCCTTATTTTAGTTCAATTCTGGTAGTCCCAACCTCTTCTATCTTCCTGAATTGGTTATCAAACTTAAAACTTCCTTCAATACCTATCCAATTAAGTAGACGTGGCTCTTTATTGATCTTTAAACAAAGTCTTTCAATGTGTTCGACGCGTTTTCTAAGGCTCTCTATCAACCGAAAAACAAACGTGTCCGCCTATGTGTCAAGCAGTATGGAATATGTCCAGTCAATGGGTAATTCTTGTGACTAGCTATACAGTTAATCCAATATAAAAGGCTTACTTGTCTAAATTTGTTTTCAATTAAAATCGACAAATTCTCTATTTTTTTTTCGAGAAAAAAATAAAAGGTACTGAAAAAACAAAAAAAAAATCACATTAAGCGAGAATGTGCGCGACCCGTACATTTTATATGCGTCACGTGTGTTTGTCTATTTATTACATAATAGATTATGTCATGATGTGACACGTCTGGAGTGCAATCAGGGTATTTATTCAGGGTTATGTCTTATTGTAAAGAGAAGTATTTTGAAATATTCATATTGAAATGTTCCAGTCTTCGTTTAAAACACTATCTGCCAAGGCAGCAGCTCTGCTTGACCAAGAGTTGATGTCCAGTGGCTCGTTTTCCATTGATCAATTGATGGAGTTGGCAGGATTGGCGGTTGCCAAAGCTGTCTATCACGAATATCCCTCGACCGGTAGAAATAAAGTATTGGTATTGGTGGGACCGGGGAATAACGGTGGAGATGGGTTAGTTGCTGCTAGACACTTGAAGCTTTGGGGGAAGCATGAGCCAATTATATACTATCCTAAGAAATCGACCAAGAATCAATTGTATGCTAATTTATTGAATCAATTGAAGGATTTGGAGATTGCGGAGATTGAGTCAAATGAAGAAGTGATTGAGATGTTGAAGGACCAAAACGGAGTGAAGGTGATTATTGACTCACTTTTCGGGTTTTCGTTTAAACCACCTATTCGTGATCCTTTCAAAGACTTGATTAAATACTTATCGGATAATTATGGGAAAATTGCTCCCATTGTGTCGGTTGATATTCCTTCCGGGTGGGATGTTGATCAAGGACCAGTGGATATCGATATCAATGCCACTACATTGATTAGTTTAACTGCACCAAAGCCCTGTGCCAATCATTTTGCTAAACCAGGTAAAACACATTATTTGGGAGGTAGATTTATTAATGGGAAAATTGCTCAAAAATATGACCTTCAAGATTTATTAAGCTTGTATAAAAACGATGATTTAATCGTTAAATTATAAATACAAATGACTAATGAGGATGCTTTTCAATTAAGTATACATATAATACAAATCTAATAAATATTGTTAATGACGAATGAACCTATTTTGTCTATCAGTGTTTGGAGGATCAGGTAGGCTTTTCTCTGATACTACTCTTTTGTGCCGAACAGCATGGTTTTTGAAAAAATCGCTTACTTTTCGTATCACTTGTTCTTGTTTATCATAATCATCACTTATACTCGAGTGTTTTGTATGATGACTCTTTGAAAATTTTATATCTTTTGAAGGAGTTGGCGGAGCGGTAGACGTAGGTTTGTGTTGAACCGGTTTTGATTGCAGTTGTAGTTGAACAGGTTTTGATTGCGGTTGTAGTTGAACAGGTTTTGATTGCGGTTGTAGTTGAACAGGTTTTGATTGCGGTTGTAGTTGAACAGGTTTTGGAGGGACGGGCAATGAAGAGTAACGCTTTGAACTAACCGGATAAGGAGTTTCATTGAGTTTAAGAAACAAATTGGCTGCTTGTTTGTTGACCGGTGGATCGGATTTGAGTTCATATTTTGCTTCGGGAACTTTTGGTAAACTGGTGAAACTTCTCTTAGAATGATTATTGTATGGATGTAGATTATTACTTTTGGGAATATAATACCTTGAATTTTCGTAATCTTTACCACTATCAAGACAGAAACTAAACGGTCTTTGTCTAACAATCTCCTTTACTTCTTGTTTGGCATCATGTAAGCTTACGTTTCCAGCACTTGCTGTAGAATACATACTTTTCGTTTTCGATGCCATTGAATGATTATCATTCCTGCCTCTTGTTTTTGGTAAAGTTTGAGACCAGTCTGGCAACACTAGCGAAGCAGATGATTTGGATTTATTAGTATTCTGTGGTGGAGAAAAATGACTCTTGTCTTTAAATTCGGGACTGATATATGGGGTATTGTATTCTTCACTTGAATTATCCGATCCAAATAAACTATCAACAAAGCTATAAAGATCATCGGATGATCCCCTTGGGTGATCTACTTCAAAATCAGCCACAGGAGCTGGGATCTCATTATCAGCCTGATGCGTCATGGACTCTTCCGAAGATAAGTAATTTTGTAAAAAATCATCATAGTTATAATTATCATTTGGCTTTTGATTAGATACAGTAGAAGCATTCGTAAGATAATTCAGAAAATTATCTGAAAACAAACTATCGGTATCGTCGTCAACGATAATATGCTTGGGCTTGTTGAACGTTTGAGCTAAAGGCGTGATAAAGTCATCATCACAGGATTTTAAAGAATGCAGATTGAGATACATCGATACCGATCGGGGATTAGTAGCCAAGTTATCCGCAGAACCAATCTTGGTCGGGAGTTGGGGAAGCTCCTTGTGTAAAGCAGGAACACTCGCCAGTCTTAAAGCAGTGGAAGGGTACACTGGCATCGAAGAAGGTCGCTTCTTCTTCATTAGCTTTTCAAACTTGTCTGTCTGTCTATTGAAAATTGGTAGCACATTTGGCATATCCTCCTTTTCAATATTCCCCGGCTGGAAAGAATCAAGAGCATTGGACAAGTCCATGTCAAACAAGTTCGCTGGACGAGTCATTGGAATATCCAATGACGTTAGTCTCTGTTTCAGAGACCCATCTTTCTTCATCTTAAAGTTATGATCACGAAAACCAGAGCAAAAACCAAAACGAAAAAAGAACAAAAAAAAAATTTAAGGGAACTCTATTCAATATATACTCTGATTGTTCCCAATTCTTTCTTATTGTTCAAACTACAAAACAATCCCCTTATAACAACAGTCATCAATGTTTCTTTAAATAAATGACAATTGAAGTCTGCAGCATAACAAAAACTTTTGGCTGCGCATGGCTTTTTTCGGTACAAACCCAAGCATCCGTACCTCCCGCGACCTTTGTTGCTGGTGAAAGGCTGGTTGATACCCCAGATTGGACTACTTCCTGGGCTTGAAGTGCCTGTATTTCAGGGTATCGGCTCGGCAAGTGCGTTGTTGTAGGTGTTCAGCAAGCTGGGTGTGGTATCTGTTGCAGTTGTATTTACGGTGATTTACGGGGTTGTTCAGGCGGTGGTTTTGCAGGTTTTACAGGGTAGGCAGGACGATTGATTGTTCTGTTGTTCTATCCTTCTCTGCGTTGGTGCTGTTGCCCAGTGCTGGAGATCAACGCCTTGCTACAGGTGGGACGGTGATCTGTGTTCTTGCGGTGGAAGCTTTGTTGATTGGTTAGGTTCGGTAAATCCACCATTTGGATGGTTTACTGAAGGTGCTTACTAGGTACCTACTACCATAATGGATACTACCGTCAGATACCACCATAATGGATACTACCGTCAGATACCACCATAATGGATACTACCGTCAGGGATACCACCATAATGGATACTACCATAATGGATACCACCATGAGGGATACCATCTATTCGACACACTTTCAAAGTAGTAATTGGCTGCAATGCAACAAGCAAACATCCGTGCACCGTATTTTTGTGAGGCACTATATTGAAGTTAAATCCTGGGTAAGTATCAGAATATGCTTGCCGGGTTTGCTGATGGTATGCACGAAACGAACTTGGTTGACGTTAAGAACAGGCTATGGGATGGCTGCTTGAATGTTCGCGTGGTATGCTCGTCGAGTGAGTCGGAAGAAATAGAGTATCTCTTTGCTGGTTTAAGAAACTCGTATATCCCTCTTTACATTCAAAGTATAGTGAAATACTTTAGTAACTTTATACCAGAATTGGGAGATGGTCTGCCAGTTTGGTTGGAGTACGCCGGTGTGCCTTTGAAATGGCACTTGCCCATTGGTGTATTGTATGACTTTCTTCATATCCCATCGCTAATTGATCACGATTATAAGTTGGCCAATGAATGGGTATTGGTTTTGAAATATTCAAGAGTGTATCCGTCAGAAATCATTCCCTTTTACTATCAAAGTGACACTCAAGAGCCGGACTACATGAGGTCTTTAAAAGAGGTTGTAGTGAATCAATTGAAGCAATCATGTTTTGTGATGAATGGGAATTCTAAAAAAATCATGAACTTAAGTGAAGAAAATTCCAATGACTTATGGACATCAATTGTAAAGCACAATCTAAGGGTCTACACGGGTATTAATAAGAAGATTGTGCCCACTTTGAACAAGATACAAAGATTACCTATCAAGATTTTGATTCCGGGTACCGGTATAATGATTCAAGCTCCAATCTATCCCAAGGACTTTGTCACCTTGAAAGATATGCTTTCAGAACACTTACCCAAACCGATCAAAAGTAACTATAAAACTTATATACAAGGAGTGGAATTGAATACAGAGATTCCGCTAATTGATGTTTGGGAACTTTTCAAACATTTGGATAACTTCTTATACATTATCATTATAATTACGTAATATACACTATTTAATCTTTCGCTTTGAATTCACATTGTAACCAATTACGATACATCTTCAACTGCTTCTTTCTATTCACTAACAATCTTCTATCAGTCAAAATTTTAACTTCTTCAAAAGGTCCTTCTTCGGTGAAAATTGATCTCATTTCTTCTTCGGTGAAAAAATATACTCTTGTTCCGTCTCCTCTGATATAAAAATTATCTTCTAATAATCTACCCTTTTTAAATCGAAGTTGGGCTAAATCATATCTTGCATAATCTCTGAATAAAATTTGACCACCCGGTTTCATTATCTTTGCTAAATTATTTATAGCATGTTTCCATTGATCTGGATGTAAAGCCAGGAAAACAAAAACCATTATAACTATATCACATGAGTTTGGTTCCATATCTTCAGGTATTTCAAAATTTGGATTAGATAAATCCCACACCGATGAGTATGCAATACCCTTTTCATGGTTTGGTGCAAAATTCTCGTTTTCCTTAATTAAATCAACTGCCACTTTTGAATAATCACATCCAAATAATTTTAATTGAGGGTTCTTGTTTTGATTCAATACTGGGAAAAACGTATTACCTGCTCCACATCCAATCTCTAATATGGTAGCAGGCTTATTATAGTTTTCTCCTGTCAACTCATATATAGTTGGAAACTCAATCTGTAACCATTTTCTATCTTTGAAAAAATTTTCTCGATTATGCTTATAAAAAATATCCCAATATTTAGCAGGATTCGTATTATATAATGTCTTATCGAATTCTGCAACTGGATTCTCGTATTGCTTCTCAATCATCTGTTTGGCTTGCTCCACTTGTTCTTCCCCGAATTCAACGTGGTCCCACGCATTATGACTGAAAACTTCTTCTTCGTTGGTCAAGTATCTTTTCCCAAAAACAAATGGATCGTCTTTGCCTATTCTGGAGTCCAACGGTGGCTTGGTGACGTGCACTTCTTCGGCACCTGCAGCCCCTTCGGCTGGCGGTATGCTATCTATGGTCATATTCGTTTAAACTGGAGAAAGTAGTGATTTATTTAAAAAATCAAAAAAAAAATTGAAAAAAAAAATTTTGATGGCATCAAAAAAAAAAAAAAAAAAAAATTCATGTACAGGATTTTGATACGAAGAGCTTTTTTTTCTTTTGATTAGCAGCCAATTTGAGTAGGTTGCAACTCGAGCTTTACAGACAAGACTATAGATTCAGATTGTATTAATATATAAGTTACAAAAAGTTATGGGCCATCCCCTCCCGGCATATTACATTACTCATTTCTCTCATTTCTCATCAGACAGTTTTTGCGAATAGTGAGCCTCACCATTTAAATCCACTAATCTAGCAGCAGCTTGTTCACTGGTCAAGTCTCTTTGAGCTTCGCCCAACATTTCAAACCCCACACAGAACTTCTTTACAGTGGCTGATCTCAACAATGGTGGATAAAAATGCATGTGGAACCAAGAGTTGTCGTGATCGTGTTTGGAACAGTTGAAGGGAGCTTGATGAATACCCATTGAGTAAGGGAAACTAGTATTGAATAAATTATCATACTTTGTTGTTAATTTTTTCATTATGGAGGCCAAGTCTGCCTTTTCGTATTCATTGAACTCCTCAATGGAATGTAAATGGTTCTTTGAGATCAATAAAGTTTCAAATGGCCATAAAGCCCAATATGGTACCACTACTAGGAAAGAATCATTTTGTAAGACAATTCTCTCCTTTTTAACCAATTCCAACTTAACGTAATCACCTAATAAATGAGATTCGTTCTTCTTAAAATATTCATTCATGTTAGTTAATTCATGACTAACTTCTGTTGGAATTTGATCAAGACACCAAGCTTGACCATGAGGATGAGGGTTCGAACACCCCATTGCAAAACCTTTATTTTCAAAAATTTGTAAATAGCGATAAGGTGCTTCACCAGATAATGATTGACTTTTAACTTCAAGATAAAGTTTCTGCCAAGTATCAATAACACTAATAATATCTCTAATTGGCATGATTGGTAAAGTCAAACTATGATTTGGACTGAAACATATAACAAAACATTTTCCTTTAACCCCTTGAGTCACCAATAGTCTAGATTCTAATTTGTCAGTTTCTGAATCCGCATTTGCATCATCTTTTATTTCACTAACATAATCCGGTTGATCTAACCTAACTGCAGGGTAGTCATTAGGGAAAATATATGTGGATTCATATTTTGGATTTGAATCACCAGTAGCTCTGATATTACCTGGACATAAATAGCACTGAGGATCGTATTCTGGTAATGTATTTTTCTTCAATTCTTCTTTAGCACCTTGCCAGGGTCTTTTCGCTCTGTGGGGGGAGCATAAGACGTAAGAATTAGTTAAAAGATTTAAACGACGATGCGAATGATTAGTAAAGTCAAACTTTGTCATGTTTCTGTATTGCTGATACTAAAAGAAGTCAATTGGTAAAAATAACAAAAAAACCATCTTTTTTATATTCAAATTATTCAAACTTGGCTTAATCAAGACTCTCAAAATCTCGAATGAAACGTTACATTGGCCCAAAATCTCTCCGGATTAAAATTAACAGAGCTAACTTCCTGGATAATAGAGGTGTGGAGCTTTATCGTCCCCCGGAACTCCCAAGCTCACCAGATAAAATGTCGCACTTTTTCTGTCTGACCGAATTTCTTAGTTTCGGGGACGTGGGGTAATTACGAAATTTCATGGCGGGGTAGGCTCACAACCAAAAGTTTATTCCAAATTAAAAATAAAACTTTTTTTTTTCCAATCCTTTTTGTGGTTTTTTACTACCTTGCCTAACATTTTTCCTTTCTACTAAGAGATTTCTTCCGTGGTAAGACTTTCGCCGTTTTGCTTCGCTTGCCAAGTCCATGCTTACACTGAATGAGATGTTCAGAGCGGATCATTTCCTTTCAAAGACTGACTTTATCCGAACCAGAACCGACATCATGAGATCTTGTAAATTTGTAGATTTGTATTTTTTACCACCAATGGAATTGAAAAAACAAGCGGTGGTTGGAGACAGCGTGAATCCCACAAAAAAGGCTCTCCGAAACTGGTAACCTAATTCACTTGAACAAGATATTTCTAGATCCAGGAAAATTTGGAACGAGGGAAAAATTCTCTCTTCTGGTCGGAAGTGGTGGATTTTGAGTCAGTTTCGTATGTGACTCCATTCTTGGAAAGTATGGGGGAACCGGGTGGTCGTGTACCAACATAAATGGACTTGGATGTAACGTTGCATTGGAGGGCTTTCACCGCAGAGAAGATCTGTTGTTTTTTTATATAGCAGTCATTTTAAGATGTCTGCTTAACTTTTGAATTGGTTCAGGTAATTGGTTATGACGTTCGAACAAAGAGTATTGGTTACTGGAGGAGCTGGCTTCATTGGGTCCCATTTCTTGAACCAGGTGGTTCCTAAGTACCCCAGAATTCACTTTACTTGTATTGATAAGCTAAGTTACGCAGGTAATTTAGATAACTTGAGTCCCATAGTTAATGAAAGTAATTTCAGTTTTATCAAATTTGACCTTTCAACAAGGTTGGATTCACTAATTGAATTATTGAAGTCAAACAAACCGGATCAAATCATTAATTTTGCTGCTGAATCATGCGTTGATAGGTCTTTTGAAGATCCATTATTTTTCACCTTAAATAATGTTATTGCTACTCAGAATCTCTTAGAATTCGTTCGATTATTGTGTCCCAGTTGCCATTTCATTCACATATCTACGGATGAAGTTTATGGGGAATCTTTGAATGCAATTCTAAGTGAATCATCCAATCTAAGACCTTCTAATCCATACGCTGCTACAAAAGCTTCGATTGATTTGATATTACAGAGTTATGTTTCGTCTTTCAAGCTATCTGTCACTATTGTAAGAGGTAATAATATATATGGTATAAATCAATATCCTGAGAAGATTATACCGATTTCAATTCAATCTTTAATTAATCTTAATCGTAAAGTACCAGTTCATGGTGACGGACATTATAAAAGAACTTATTTATACATTCAGGATTTTAATGATGCTATTGAATTACTATGGTTGCAAAAAAAATTGGGCATTTATAATGTTGGGGCCGATAGTCAAGATGAAATTGATAATCTATCACTTATCAAATTAATTTATGATAAGATAAATACAAAGTTAGGTTTGAAAAATTTCGAAAGTTTGATTGACTTTGTTCATGATAGAAATTATAATGATTTAAATTACTCCATGGATTCCTCTAAAATTAAATCTCTAGGTTGGGAATCTAAGATTAGATTATCTAAAGGTTTGGATATAATAATCGAAAATGAGTTCAACAAAATGAATACCTAAGGCTATATAACAGCTTCCCCAACTTTTGTATCAAATAAAGTACTCTTAATTGGCATATCTAATGAATAAAAAGGATCTTTCATAACGTAATCAGAATAAGCAACGTAGAGATTTCTAAATATGTGGTTCACCTCTTCAAACTGCTTATTCAATTCCCCTTGAGTCGACGTGTATCCTTCACTAACAGGCTGCAAATTGTGGACCACTGGATTAGGCGAGGTTATCACAATGAACTTTATACCTGTTAAGGTTTGAAATATGTACAAGTTGAAAAAATTGGTTTCGATACTTTGTAACCCAGACTTATTGGTATTTGGATTTTGGTATTTCCCCGTAGCAAGTATCGAGTTATTCACCTTGGAATTGCTTGCACTATTAGCCTCAGAACTACTGGTTTGGCCCTGATTTCCTGGTTTCAACTTTGATGCAATTGCATGAACACCGTGTAACGTCCCTGCTAACACTAAGTAATCATTGGCCGATAGTTTGTTAAGACCTGGACTGATGTCATTTTGATATATAAGACCACCTGCCTTGTTAAGTATATATATGGAGTAGACTTTCATTGCAATTGGAATACTTAGGTTTAGCTGATGAAGTATTAATTAAAGTTCAACATTTTTTATTTTCATCAAAACAAATCAAAAATAAAATTCGATAACGAGAAAAGTCGTGCGAAAGTGGTCAAGGAGAAGAAGTTTTGCAACCTAATATTAGAAGAAGACCATGGCCCCAATGGCAATGTGGCTGTTTCAAGCCATTTTGGATCTAACGTATAAGAGCATATGCTATACCTTGAAGAAAAATCTGAGAATTTTCCTTTGAGAGGATGAAATATAACATTTTATTCGGCTCTTGGAATCACTGGGACTTTACTAGTGGAATGAAGGTTTCACTTGTCAGTTTGAAGCTTCTGAGGGTTCTGGTTCTTTCTTCATATTCATTTCCTGCTTTTGCTATTCTCTGTTATTTCTTTTCGTAGCTGGTTTGCTTCTTTGAAGTCGTTATAGAGTAGGTTCTTGTATACGTGGCCTGCCAGACATCGTAAATCCTCACAACATGCCCAGCCGGCCAGTTCTTAGCATGCAAGGTAAGACCCTGCTCGATTGAAAGAACTTTAAATATAGTTTGTAATATATTTGCAAGTTCGTCATAATTTTGTTTAAATTTCGAAAAAAATTTCAATAATTTGCTTAAATTGAGCAAAAGTTTACCAAAACATAAAACAATTCAATGGCCCAAATAAAGGTCATGTAAAATTTTTTACATTACCCAAATGACAAACTAAAGCAATGTTCGTAGCTGCTATCGAGTAAGCTGCCGATTACTAGACGAAAAGGTTGCGAAAAAGATCTACGCACCAATAAAATAATCATTATGTATTAAACTTATACTGTTTAACTAATTTTGAAAGGAATACTTAATTTTGGAACCATAGATCTCACCCCTATGTAAGGTGACTTGACTAGCCCAGTTCTTATGGTTAATAGCATTTGTGAATCTAGCAGCTTCAACACAGAATCCACTTCTTGATTTGAAATCTTTGACGTTGGTGAAGTCACCAGTGTATAATTGGAATGCAGGTTCAGTCGATGAAACTTCTAAAGTGATTGGAAGGTCAGGTTTCGAAGCCTTGACAAGTGTCTTATAAGGTTTGTCTCTTGAGTCAAGGGTGCTTGCCAGTTTATCGACAACAAAGCAACTATCAAATGAAACATCTTGTGTTAAGGTGACATCAGTAGACTCAATCGACAGAAATTCACCACTTGGCAATTGAGGATTTGACTTATCAGCAGCCAAGTAGTCAGAAGTAGATAACTTCAATTGGGTGCCATTAATAGATGATGAGTTATCAAGATTGAAATAAGTATGATTAGTTAAATTTATTGGAGTAGCATCGTGTTGCGAACTTTCAGATATAGTGGCTTCAAATTCAATTTCCAAGCCGCTTTCACCAACGACATATTTAACTATAGTTTCAACTTCTGCTGGGAAACCATTGCTTCCATCTTCATCAACTAGTAAGAATTCTAAAGAAACTTTCTTGTCGTCAATACGTTGAGCCACAGGACCTAACCAGTTCTTTTTATTGAAACCCTTTTCACCTCCATGAGAAGTATTAATTCCATCATTGGTTGGTAATTTGAAAGCTTTTCCATCAAGTGAAAATTCACCTTTTGAAATTCTATTGGCATATCTACCAACTGTGGCACCAAACAATGGGTTGTTAGATAATTTATAGTCTTCAGGATTAGTGAAACCATTGACTAACCTTTGACCATTGATTGATATATTTTGAATGGCAGCACCATAGTTGATTACGGAAACCTCAAAATCATTAATTTTAATTGTGTGTAATCTATTTTCATAATCAGCAAATTTTGACCAGGTATAGTTATCAATCTTAAAACCAAAGGGGTTTGCAGTTGTCCAGTTCCACAAGTCTTTACAGGCATCTTCGATTGTTAACTTAGCCTTCCAATTCAATTCGGTATTAGCACGAGTTGGGTTAGCAGTTAAATCAAGCACATCACCATCTCTACGAGGTGCAACCTCATATGGTAACTCACGACCAACAGCTTTACAAAAAGCATTATAGACATCGAAAACAGTACTTCCTTTACCTGTACCTAAATTCCATTCTCTGTATAAACCTGAATTTGAATCAATTTTTTTCAAATAGTCGAGAGCAGCGATATGACCACGGGCTAAATCAACAACATGGATATAATCTCTGATTGGAGTACCATCATGGGAATTATAATCATTACCAAAAACCGAAAGTTTTTCTCTTCTACCGATTGCAACTTGAGCCAAATAAGGAAGTAAATTATTTGGAATACCCAATGGATCTTCACCAATCAAACCAGAAGGATGTGCACCCATAGGGTTGAAGTAGCGAAGAATTGCCGTTCTCCAAAATTTGTCCAGCTGGTATAAATCTTTTAAAATTTGTTCAATAACATATTTTGTTTTACCATAAGGATTAGTTGGATCATTTGGACAATGCTCAGGAATTGGAATCATATTTGGAAATCTAGTAGCATCCCCATAAACAGTAGCTGACGAGCTGAAAACTATGGTTTTGACTTGGTGTTTTTTCATCACGTTAAGTAAGTTAATTGTTCCATTGATGTTATTATCATAATAATCCAATGGAATCTTAGTCGATTCCCCAACAGCTTTTAAAGCAGCAAAATGAATAACCCCAGAAATTGGATAACTTTGAAACACTTTTGAAAGTTCATTATGATCACGAATATCAACATTGAAAAATGGTATACTTTGTTTCACAATAAATTCAATACGAGCAACAGCATCATAAGAAGAGTTTACCAAATTATCAACAATCACAACTTTATAGTTGTTTTTTATCAATTCGATAACAGTATGAGAGCCAATATAACCAGCACCACCAGTAACTAAGATATAACTCATTTTAAGATCTTTGGGACTTAATGAAAAACAAAATCTAAACTTACAGATCTAATTTGAATGTCTCTTTATTATATACTTCATCGTGGACTAAAAACTACTTACAAACCCAAAATACAACGTTACATTCTGCTCTACTCCAGTTTCTCCACGGACTCTCCAGCTTTTCCAGTTCTGGAGGGCCAGGTGGGTTCATGCCGATTAAATCTTGCAGACAATTTCATCCCAATAAGAAGGATCTTTTTGGTCGGAAAACATCAGCGACCGGTTTAGATCTGGTATTCCTATTTGGTCAAGACTTCGGACAAAAATATTTGCAGGCTGCCGCTTGTCCATAAATGATAAAAAAAAATAATGCAAACCATGAAAACATAATGTCATACATTTTTTTTGTTGGTTTTATCCGGTGTAGATACTAACGAATAAAGCAAAAAGGCGGGGACAAATAAAGCAAAGCTAGTGCCGTACGAAAAGCTAAAAGCTGTGAAAAACCGTTTCGAAGGTCAAGAGAAAAGCTTACCTGGTCATACGGAGTGAAGTATCCTGACTTCTGTCTGCTCGACTGACTTCTTTTTAATTTTACTCATTTAATCGACCCACTGATGATGGAAGATTATTTGGTTTATTATTTGGTTTCGCGTGTAGCGTGAGAAGCTGCAGCAAAAGAATCCAAACTCATGCAGGACAATCATACTCCACTTCATCATAACCTTCTCATGCACTCCACAAAAAAATAAAATAAAGAAGACGACATTTACCGGAAATCAAATTGATTTACGAGGGTGGTTTCTATAAACCTCCAAACCAACAAGACCTAATTGTTCCCATTCCCCCTTCTAGTTGGGATTTTACAAAGAAAATCAGATTAAACGTATGGGAAATCAAAATGTAATGTTACATTTGGCCAAAGAATCTGATTGCCCCGGATTATTCACCAGATCTTCTCATTGACAAGCTTTAAAAGAGTATATAATGATAACTTCTTCTTAGGTTAAAGAGAAGTAGGTTAGTTTTCCATATTATTCCAATTTTACAATGTCAGTTCCAATTTTCAAAGATTTATCATTCTATAATGATGCCAATTCGAGTACAGCTCGATATCAGGCTTTACAAACCAGTTTTAATAAGGTTTATGGTAACGAACCCGAATTTGTTGGTCGTTCACCAGGAAGGGTTAATTTAATAGGTGATCATATTGATTACTGCTATTTTTCAGTTTTGCCTATGGCACTTGATGTGGATGTAATTGCAGCTACTTCCATTAACGATTCGAATACCATTAGATTGGCTAATACAAATGACAAATTTCCAAGTTATGAATTTGAAATAAGCCCAACTTTTGAAATCAGTCAAGCAGATTATACTTGGGTGAATTATTTTAAATGCGGTTTGATTGTTGCTAATAATTATTTGAAAGAATTAAACCCAAGTACTAAGTTGAAAGGTATGAATTTATTATTTGATGGGAATGTACCAACCGGGGGAGGATTATCATCAAGTGCAGCCATTTGCGTTACTTCTGCATTAGTTGTTTTAAGGGCTAATGGATTAACTAATATTTCCAAAGAAGATTTGACTAGAATTACTGTTGTTTCCGAACATTATGTTGGGGTAAATACTGGAGGTATGGATCAATGTGCTAGTATTTATGGGGAAAAGGGGAAAGCATTATTAATTCAATTCAAACCAAAATTGATTGGTATTCCATTTGAATTACCAACCACCAAACCCCACGAATTAGTTTTCCTTGTATCTAATTCATTAGTTGAGTCCAACAAACATGAAACAGCACCAACCAATTATAACTTAAGGGTTGTTGAAGTGGCATTAGCTGCAGAATGGTTAGCCAAAAAGCTTAAATTGAGTTTAGTGAATGATTCTAATTTGGAAACTGGTACTTTAAGAGGATTTTTAGATTCTTATTTTGAACTGTTGGGTGAACCTAGATGGGATGGTCATGATATCGATGTTGGTATTAATAGATTGACCAAATGTTTAGAGTTAATTGAAAAGCCAGAGATATTTAATCAAGAAGAACAAAAAGGTGTTGAAACTGAACATGCAAGTAATTGCTTAGAATTACTGACTGATCAATTTTATCAAAGATTTTTAAGTAAATTCCCGGTGAAATATGACAAACTAAAACTTTATCAGAGATCAAAGCATGTTTTCAGTGATTCCTTAAGAGTGTTAGAATTTTTAAAAATTTTTGAAGGACAAAAACTCAAGCCTTCCACTGGTATTTTACAAGATTTAGGTAAGTTGTTAAACGAATCACAACAGTCCTGTAATTTGTTAAACAATGCATCTAAACCAGATTGTGAAGAGCTCTGTCAAATAGCTAGAGAAAATGGTTCGTATGGGTCCAGAATCACCGGTGCCGGATTTGGTGGCTCAATTGTTCATTTAACGACGGTTGATCGATTAGAAAGCTTGGTGGAAGCATTGAAAAAGGAGTATTATTTGCAAAAGTTCCCCAACATTACTCAAGACCAATTGAACGAAGCAATTGTTGTTTCCAAACCTGCCACCGGTTCCTGTATTCTTGAATTATAACCCCTTTAAAAGTACATAGTTAATGTAAACGATGATTTCAAGCCATTTGTCGTTAATCACAACAAAATATGGGGTCCGATAAGACCAACATTCGATGACTCAGGAGTTGGCCCATCCAAGCCCACCCTGTAGCTAGTAAGCACTGCAGTAAACTAACCTAAACAAGTAAGCGATTGCTATTCGAGTGGCTGCTATCACTCCCCAGCCAAGCAGCATCCGCTCTACTATCCGTAAACAGACAATCAGTCAACAACCAATCAGCCAACAGCTAAGTAGACAACCCACTAATCTTACCGAGTCGTGATACCTCAGCAAATGGTTGCAAGATGAAAATGGACACCAGCGGAGCTGTATTTCCGGAAGTCCCCGTCGGTCCTGCCATAAAAGACTGGGTGTACGGATCGTTTTCTGGGGCAAAAGTGAGGTGATTCTTACCACGCCATATTGAAATTCTGAGAAAAAAAATTTTTTTTTTTTGTTTTTGGTGGGAAATTCACTTTTTTTTGCTTGCAAAAGGCGGAAGCAAAGAAATTTCGCCTATTTTTGCAGTCGCCTGTCAAATCATGAGATGGCTTAACTTTAGAGGGCCTTCGAATCCGATTATTTACGATGGAGTGGGCTAATGTCAATATTCAAGATGACTTCATTAATTGTTGCCTAAATCGAGCGAGTTTTTATATAAGTTGAAAGCGATCGTATAGAAATCAATCGTTTATCAATTATATATATCAAACACAAATGACTCTTAAAATACTACCTTTACTCGAACATACTAATAACAATAACAATATATACAAAATGAAACCTACTACACCGATGCTACTTGATGACTTTACCATCAATCATAATTTGAGATTTGTGAAGAAAATCGGGGCAGGAACCTATGGATTAATTTACTTGGTTGAAGATATATACAGCAAGAAACAATATGCAGCAAAGATGATATTGAAGAAACCACCGGCTAAATCAAGCAACATTGATGTTAATGAGAATAAAAAGTTTATTCAAAGTCAAATATATCAATATTTTGCTGATCACCATCAACAGAATCAATCAGTTATTGCCCAAGAGTTAAATTTGGACTTTATTGCCAATGAAGGAGTTCATTGTCCATTTTTGAAAGAAATCGCATTACATTTAAAAGTTCACCAACATCCAAATGTCATCACTATTCATAAAGTGTTGAATTTAGAAAATTTGGCTATTATTATATTGATGGACTATTTTGAACAAGGAGATTTATTTAATAACATAATTGATAAGAAAATCTTCACCGAATGTCCAAGTTATCAAGACCAACAACTCTTGATGAAAAATTGCATGTTACAATTAATTGATGGGTTAGCTTATTGTTCACTGAAGAATATTTATCACTGTGATTTAAAACCAGAGAATATCATGATCAATTATAATAAAAATTATCACAGAAATTCAAATAGTCCAATAATTGATTATAATGAAATTCATATTGTTTTAATTGATTTTGGTTTAGCAATGAATTCAAACTTGATTTGTTGCAATGCATGCCGTGGTTCTTCTTATTATATGGCCCCCGAGAGAATAACCAATTTTAATACCAGTTCTTTAATCAAATCAATGATCAATCTTGATCAATTTCAAACCATCGACAGTTCCGAAGCTTCAAGCTCAAAATATTTACCTACTTTAGCCGGGGATATTTGGTCTTTGGGTGTTTTATTCATTAACATCACTTGTGCAAGAAACCCTTGGCCAATTGCTGATATCAATGATGAAAAACAAGTTTTTGCAAATTATACTTTGCATAATAAAAACATATTAAGTTCAATTTTACCAATATCTTTAAAATTTAATCGTTTACTTGATTCAATCTTTGAATTAAATCCAAATGATAGAATCTCTTTGAAAAAATTATCTTCCAAAATCGTCGATTGTGATTTCTTTTATGATGATTCAAAACCTTTAACCATCACTCCTAAAAAACTGTCCTTCAATGGTCAATTATTCACTCCTCCAGAAACTAGCGTAAGTGATTTTTGTCTTTGTAGTGATGCCGAAAGCGTGGATGCAATCGATGAATACATGGGCTTCAATAGAGGTAAATGCCCATTTTAATATATATAGCTAATGTTTAATGATTTACGATAAAGATATTTAATGAAAAAACCAATTTATTTATATACTGGTGCACGGGTGTAGTATTTGCTGCGAAAACGAGCTCAACTCGGACATGACCGAAGACTCAAATACGTAAACCTCAAGCAGCTACTGTTCTACTCAAGCAGCTACTCCTCTATTCAAGCAGCTATTCAAGCAGCTACTCAAGACTCCCTACACTATCAAGACCCCGCTACTCAAGCATCTACTCAGTATACTCAACTTTCTACTCCAGTGTTGTATTCCACTAATGCAATATTTTGTCATAACCTCCTTGTAAGGTCCGACAATAGCATTGTCAACGCTAATGTAAGATTGCCCGTCCACCCAATGGACAACTCACAATGCTCCTGTACCTCTCCTCTTGTACCAGCTCAATGGATCGGGTTATTCGCTCGCCGTAGCAGAGGGGCAACAATCCAGATCTTCGGACGTACCAAACCTTAACGGTACCAACCTCAAATGCCTAAATCTTGTTTTGAGACCGGTTTATTTTCGTAAAAGCGTACGGGATTATCCAACTCATCAACCTCTCTGCCCACTACACAAACCAATCATCCCATACGGCAGTAATATTTTCCATCACAGAAAACTCTCACCCCACTCCCGTTGCTTCGGTGAAACTATAATCCAGAATGCTCCGGCGATGATTCAAATTTACGGGAACAATGTAAGGTGGAGAGACTTGTTCTTGCGGGGTCGCTGGTGCCATTCCTCTGTTGAAGGTAACATGATTCTGAGTCAGATTTCCAGCACTTCTTCAACCTGGTTTCCATGTATTCTTACGTTTGCCCTTCCAGGGTGAGTTATTGTGAGTTATTGACCCCTTGTTAGTTGTTGAGCTGTTGCTTTTGTTAGACTGTAGTCCGACTTGTGTTTGCTGATGAAATGCCATTACGTATTTTTTTTGGTTCGCTGGTGTTTTTACATATTTTTACTAATTTAATTCTCTCTGCTTATTTTTTGGCACCGAGTAAAAAATTTTACGAAATTGTCTGCATGCGATGTCTGGGGTAGAATCTTAGTCGGATCTCAAACGCCTTTTGGCACACTTCCGTCTAGTGGATTTCCGGGGAAAATGCGACATTTTCTCAGTATTGTCTGGGCCCTGTGCAGGACAATCATGCATTAATTATCTGCCCCACAAGAAATTTCTATATTTTTTTGCAATTTCTTTTTTTATTTTTGGTTTGGTCTTTTATTTTTTTTTTTGTTGTTGTAACATTACACAAACCAATGCAAGAGGTGATGTTGTAATTAGTCGGAATTTCTAATTTACCCCAGAATAAGGCAGAACTGGGGAGACTAAGGCAATTGGAGAATGACTGGAAAAAAAAAGATGGGAGAAATACTTGACAAGTTTGAAATATAAATAGGTGCAAATCCTTTTGGTTTAGAATTAGGTTTTTCCTTTCATCATTACAATAATTCAATAATTCTTTAATACTTCAATATGGGTTACGAAGAAAAGTTGGTTGGTCCAGCTGTCAAAGTTAAAGCTTTTTTAGATAAGTTTCCTAAAATTCATAATGTTATCGTTGTTTGCCTGATTTCGTGTATTTCAGGTTTAATGTTTGGGTTTGATATCTCTTCGATGTCAGCCTTTCTTGGTCAAAAATACTATTTAAATTTTTTCAACCATCCAAATTCTGACTTGCAAGGTTTTATTACTGCTGCCATGTCTTTAGGTTCATTTTTTGGTTCTTTAGCTACTTCTTTTGTTTCTGAACCTTTTGGTAGAAGAGCTTCTTTAATTTTATGTGGGTTCTTCTGGTGTGTTGGTGCTGCTATTCAATCTTCTTCTCAAAATATTGCTCAATTAATCATTGGTCGTCTTATTTCTGGTTTTGGGGTTGGTTTAGGTTCTTCTGTTGCTCCAGTTTATGGTTCTGAATTGGCTCCCCGTAAAATTCGTGGTTTAGTTGGGGGTATGTTTCAATTAAGTGTCACCATTGGTATCTTGATTATGTTTTATGTTAGTTATGGTTGTGGTAAAATTAATGGTGTTGGTGGTTTCAGACTTGCTTGGGGTATTCAAATTATTCCTGGTTTAATTTTATTAATGGGTTGTTTATTCATTCCTGAATCTCCAAGATGGTTAGCTAAAAATGGTTACTGGGATCAATGTGAAGAAATTGTTGCTAGAATTCAAGCCAAAGGTAACCGTGAAGATCCTGATGTTATGATTGAAATTTCTGAAATTAAAGATCAACTTTTATTAGATGAACACGTTAAATCTTTCACTTATGCTGATTTATTCTCTAAAAAATATCTTCAAAGAACTATCACCGCTATTTTTGCTCAAATTTGGCAACAATTAACCGGTATGAATGTTATGATGTACTATATCACTTATATTTTCCAAATGGCTGGTTACTCTGGTGATGCTAATTTAGTTGCTTCTTCAATTCAATATGTTTTAAATACCGTTACTACTTTACCTGCTTTATACTTTTTAGATAAATTGGGTAGAAGACCAGTTTTGTTATTTGGTGCTGCTGCTATGATGGCTTTCCAATTCGGTGTTGCTGGTATTCTTGCAACTTACTCTGTTCCATGGCCAAATTCAGGATCTGATTCCGTTACTATTAGAATTCCTGACGATCATAAAAGTGCTGCCAAAGGTGTTATTGCTTGTTGTTACTTGTTTGTTTGTAGTTTTGCTACTTCTTGGGGTGTTGGTATCTGGTTATACTGTAGTGAAATGTGGGGTGACTCTGTTTCAAGACAACGTGGTGCTGCTCTTGCCACTTCTGCTAACTGGATTTTCAACTTTGCCATTGCTCAATTCACTCCACCAGCTTTCAAAAATATTTCATGGAAAACTTACTGTATTTATGCAACTTTCTGTGGTTGTATGTTCATCCATGTTTATTTCTTCTTCCCAGAAACTAGAGGTAAGAGATTGGAAGAAATTGCCCAAATCTGGGAAGAAAAGGTTCCAGCTTGGAAATCTGATTCATGGCAACCTGCCGTTCCTATCTTGTCTGATGCTGAATTGGGTGAAAAGATTAGAACTCAACATAAAGAAAGTGATGATTTAATTCAATCTAATTCTGACTCAAGTGTCAAAGATGTTAACGAAAACGCTAATAAAGTTTAATAGTTAGCAACTAATTTATGGTTTGTACGATTTCAATTCTTCAAATTTTATTGATATCTAGTTTATTTTTAATATATTGTTAATTCTGTCATATTTAATTCATTCTTGTAGAATTTCTCATTCAGGGGTGTAACACTGTTAACTCAAAATTTTGACAGATGCACGGATTAATTATATACGAGCACCAATCTGCAAACATATAGACACAATCTGCAAACAATCTTTCAACCAACTCTTCGACCTTACAATAAAAGAAGATTGTCTTGTTCTGTTTCCTAAAATCATTTGAAAGCAGTACTGAAGGTTCATGCTTCCAAAGATAGACTCAGCTGGGTTTTGGGAAAGTACTCTATAATGTCTAAGGGAAGACCTTGTTTCTGCCCCAGAATTTACCTACTTCTTCTCAGGGACCATCCAATACTCGTCGAGGGTTTTTTAACTTGTACATTTGAACATATTTCTAAAACAATTGAAAAAAAAAAGAACTTAAAGAAACTGGAAGCTAACCTAAACATCCCTCCAAGTCTCTCCAGGCGATTTGCTATTACTCATTGAGTGCAAATCTGGTCGAGTGTATTTCAATTGAATTGGGGATTGCTTAAGTACGATTACCTTATTACTCACAAATAGAGTAACAGGTAAAAAGCATTCTTTTGACGGCGGTAAACCGGTTGCAAAATTTTTTATAAGATGATTCAAAATTTGATTCCTCCTTTCACTACTAAAAGTATGTAATATTATATTGAACAATTACAAGTATTGATTACCTACATGTAAAATAGATGTGTATAATTAGAGTCTTTCATTTGGTTAAAATTGAGTGATTCTAAGTATTGCGGCCCTAGCATTCAAGAGAAGGAAGATGTTGTTTTCAGACTAGTTGGACAGACCGGTTTCTTTCCGTGCATGATAAGATCTCCAAGTATTCATTTATAAGGTGCTTGGAAAACGTACTAATTGCATAAAAAATTGTCGGTGCACGGACTAGTGAGGATGACTCTCGGAGGATGACTCGTTTGGATGACTCAAGCAATATGATTCGAGATCATTTTAGGCTGAAAATTTCGAGTGAACAATAACTTTGAAACTATTTAAGAAGCCTTTTTGAACATAAAGTAACAATTTTTCCTTTTCAATTCTTTTCAATTCTTTTTAATTAAAGTTAAAAATTTAACAATGTCTGGTCCTGTTACTCAAGAAGATTTAGATTTCGATAGAGCTCATATTTGGCACCCATATACCAGTCTTACGAAGCCATTGAAAGTCTATCCAGTTGAAAGGGCAGAAGGCTGTATCATTACTCTTTCCGATGGTACCAAGCTTGTTGATGGTATGGCTAGTTGGTGGTGTGTGCAACATGGTTACAATAATCCAATCTTGAACAAAGCTGCTACAGATCAACTCAGTAAGATGTCACATATTATGTTTGGTGGTCTTGCCCATAAACCAAGTATTGAGCTTTGTAAAAAACTTGTTGAATTGACTCCAGCTGGTTTGGAATGTGTCTTGTTAGCCGATTCTGGCTCAATTTCTATTGATGTTGGTTTAAAAATGGCTTTACAATATCAAAATTCAAAAGGAAGAAAAGACAAATCTAAGTTTTTAACTATACGTCATGGCTACCATGGTGATGCTTTTGGTGGGTTGTCTGTTTCTGATACAACAAACAGTATGCATCATATATTTCAAGGGTTTTTACCAAAAAATATCTTCTGCAAAGCGCCTGAAACCAGATTCGATAATCAAGACCCTAATGTTGAACAAATAGTCGAAGAAATTGACGTCAAACCTTTTAAAGAAATCATTGAAAAAAGACATGAAGAAATTGCTGGCTTTATCCTTGAACCAATTGTTCAAGGTGCTGGTGGTTTGAGGGTTTCTCATCCATACTTTCTTAAGAGAGCTAGTGAAATTTGTAAAAAATATGATGTTTTATTGATTCTTGATGAAGTTGCTACGGGGTTAGGAAGAACTGGTAAACTTTTCGCCTTTGAACATGCTAATATTGTTCCTGATATTCTTTGCTTAGGGAAATCCTTAACTGGTGGTTACCTTACTCTTTCTGCTACAATCACCTCCAGGGAAATAGGAAATGAAATATCTGACGGTCCAGCTGGTTGTTTTATGCATGGTCAAACTTATATGGGTAATCCTTTAGCTTGTGCCGTTGGTAATGCCAATCTCGGAATCATTATGGAAGGAAAATGGAAAAATCAAGTTAAACAAATTGAAACCCAACTCCTTGAAGAATTGGGCCCACTCAAGGATCATCCAAAAGTTGCAGATCTTAGAATTTTAGGTGCAATTGGTATTGTTCAATTAAAAGAAAACGTCAATGTTGAAGAAATCCAAAAGAAGTTTGTTGCAGCAGGTGCTTGGATTCGTCCTTTCAGAAACTTAGTCTATATTTACCCACAATACACTACAAATCCTGAAGAACTAACTGTTCTCACTAATGCAATTAAATCCTCTATCTAACCTCTCCTTTGCAGACTTAATGTCTTGCTATAAAGGCAAGACTTATTTACATATTCAAACTTTTTCATATATTCGAATAAATTTTGAGTAATTTTATTTAAGTGTAATATACTACTCGATCATAGTGTTGTCAAGCCAATTGATTACGCTTAGCTAAAATAATTAGGGAATTACTAAACTTGTATAGATTAAATAAACGAAAGGCACAAATGGCCAATAATTTCGTATTCAAACATCCTCAGGTTCCGAAACCGAAATCAATAATAGAGGATCACAATTTATTACTCAACAATCATGTAGAGTTACACGTAGTGATCTTGATCAATTATTCTTGGAATGATGAAAAATTTTCATACAGTGATCGAAGGTATTGAAAAAGGATTCCTTAAAGAATCTGCTTTTCTTCATGCTCTATGGATATCAATCAAAATTAATAAATTTTCACAATTGACATGTATTCGGGTTATGGTAATGGATATGGCCAATACGGTCCAAATTGCAATTATGGACCACCTCCAGATCAATATTATGCACCTCCAGGCCCTCCTCCAGATCAGTATTACGCATCCCCTGGGCCTCCGCCTGGGCCTCCTCCTTCTGGTTATTACCCTCCAGAGCAAGTTTCTGGGTTCGAACCACCTTCTGGCCCTCCACCTAGGTTTTATCCTGACCAAGAGTCTGAGTTCATTCCCCCACAGGGCTTACCGCCATTGGCCGAAAGAAATTATAATATGCCACCAAGTGACGGATACTATTCTGAAGAACCTTCAAATGTTTATCAAGAATATCCCAGACCACCTCCAGATGATGAAGTAGAGTATCAAAGACCAAGTATGCCACCACCTCCAGATGCACCACAGAATTTTGATGATAGGTTAGATTTTACCTACCAATATTCCAATTGTACAGGTGCAAAGAAAGCGTTGTTGATAGGGATCAACTATATTGGAACGTCAAACGAGCTTGCGGGATGTATTAATGATGTCCATAATATGAGAACATTCTTGAACGAGCATTTTGGATATTCATTGGATGATATAGTTGTTTTGACGGATGATCAAACAGAACCAGGACACTTACCAACTAAAGAAAATATCATAAGGGGAATGCAATGGTTGGTTAACGATGTAAAACAAAATGATTCATTAGTTTTCCATTTCTCTGGACATGGAGGACAGACTGAAGATATTGATGGAGATGAAGAAAGTGGATTCGATGATGTTATTTATCCGGTTGACTTTGAAACCACCGGGCATATAACTGATGATGAGATGCACAATTTCATGGTCAAGCCATTACCAGCAGGATGCAGACTAACTGCGTTGTATGACAGTTGTCATTCCGGAACAGCATTAGATTTACCTTACGTGTACTCCACCAAAGGTGTTATCAAAGAGCCTAATTTATGGAAGGAAGCTGGAGAAGGAGCTTTGGAAGCATTTCTGAGTTATGAATCGGGAGATGTTAGAGGAGCACTCACATCATTAAGCGGATTTGCCAAAAAATTAATGAAACTGAAGGACGTTGACAGAGATGAAGTCGAAAGACAGAAAATGTCACCTGCAGATATTATTTCCATAAGTGGATGCAAAGACGATCAAACCAGTGCAGATACCAAAGAAGCCGGCCAAAGTACTGGTGCTATGAGTTGGGCTTTCAAAAAAGTATTAAATGAGCAGCCCAACCAAACCTTTTTATCATTATTGAACAATATGAGGACCTTATTAAGTGAAAAGTATTCCCAGAAACCCCAATTGAGTTCCTCGCATCCCCAAGATATGGAGATTGCCTTCATTATGTGATTGTTCTTCCACAAACTACTGTCCTTCGTATTATTTCTGTAGACTCAATGAATAGCCCTTCAGTTACCAAATCTGTAATTGCCGTCAAACCGGAGAAGTCTCAGACAATCCCCCCAAGCCCAATTAAAACAATGTAGCAGCTGCATTTAAACAATCTCCAACACCTTTTGATTCAACTATTCAACTGTTACAGCAATGGGAACCTGCCGGCAACCCCCCTCAGTGGACTCTTCGGCTTCAGTACTTCCCCGTTGGTGGTATGTCCTAACAAATCATACAATAACATCGTCGTAGCCAGATTCGTGGATTATTGCTGCTTTTCCGCATGAGGAACTCCTGCCCCAAAAAACCAAACGGAAATCCCCCACGCTTTTTCTTCTATTCGAGATCCTTTTTTGCGGGGTGCATATCACGTAAGGCTAACAAAATCAATAGATTAACAATTGAAGGGCACGAAAGACTGGTAATGATTAGAGTTTATACCCAGGGAAATTGGATGTTGGAGGTATCGACCCACTCTAAAGCTTTGCAGAGTATAAAAAGCTAGGGGGTTTTCCAGCACTTTTTTTTTTGGTGGAATGCTTATCAAATATTCACAAGATGACGTATAAAGAGAAAATCACTGGAGCTTCACTTTCTCTCAAGAAGTTTCTTGATAAGTTTCCTAAATTACATAATATATATCTAATTGTTTCGATCTCATGTATAGCGGGATTCACATTTGGGGTTGATATTTCATCGATGTCGGCCTTTATTGGTACTTCTCAGTATAATGAGTTTTTTGATACTCCAGGAGCCACTATACAGGGGGTTATCACAGCTTGTATGGCCCTTGGGAGTTTTTTTGGTGCAATCTTGTCTGCATTTGTATCGGAACCTTTGGGTAGAAGGGCGTCTTTACTTTTCAGTGCATTTTTTTGGATAATTGGTTCCATTATCCAAGCTTCGGTTCAAAATAGGACTCAATTATGTTTGGGTAGAGTTATTTCTGGGTTTGGTGTTGGGTTTGGTTCGTCGGTTGCACCAATCTATGGTTCGGAATTGGCTGCTCGTAAAATACGTGGTTTAATCGGTGGATTGTTTCAATTTAGTGTAACTCTAGGAATTTTAGTGATGTTTTACGTGGGATATGGTCTGGGTAAGATTCCTGGATATTCGAGTTTTAGACTTGCTTGGGGTCTTCAAATAGTGCCAGGCTTTCTTTTGTTATTAGGATGTTTGTTTATTCCTGAATCTCCAAGATGGTTAGCCAAGCATGGACACTGGGAAGACTGTGAACTTATTGTTGCTCAAATTCAAGCAAAGGGTAATCGTGAAGACCCCGATGTAATGATTGAAATTTCTGAAATTAAAGAACAAATTCTTCTAGATGAAAAAAGTAAAACTTTTTCCTATCTTGACTTACTAAGTAAAAAGTATTTTTTAAGAACAGTTACTTCAGCTTTTGCTCAAATTTGGCAACAGCTAACTGGTATGAATGTGATGATGTACTACATTCGCTATATCTTTGAAATGGCCGGATACGAAGGTGATGCCAATTTGGTTGCTTCTTCGATTCAATACGTGCTTTTTGCAGTTGGTACTGCATTCATCTTGCCATTCATAGATCGATTTGGTAGAAGACCCCTCTTAATGTTTGGTGCTGCTGCTATGATGGGTTTACAATTTGCCGTAGGCGGAATCTTAGCTGTTTATTCTAAACCAATAGAAGGTCTAGAAGGTGATGAAACCGTAACTATAAAAATTCCTCCTGAAAATAAATCTGCTGCAAAAGGATTAATTGCGTGTTGCTACTTATTTGTTGTATCCTTTTCATTCAGTTGGGGTACAGTAATTTGGGGGTATTGTTCTGAAGTCAATGGTTCTAATGAAGCTCGTGCTAAAATGGTTTCTGTATCAACGGCTTCTAATTGGCTTTTCAACTTTGCTCTAGCATTATTCGTGCCTCCATCTTTCAGTAATATCTCCTGGAAAACTTACTTCATCTTTGGTGCTTTCTGTGGTGCAATGGGAATCCACGTTTACCTTGCTTTCCCTGAAACTAAAGGTAAGCGTCTTGAAGAATTGGGTCAAATCTGGGATGAGAAGGTGCCGGCCTGGAAGTCTGCTTCTTACGTCCCTTACGTTCCTACTGTTGGTTCAGAAGTAGAATCTGAGCCTGAAAAGGAAAAGGCTGAGGTCGACCATGTCGAGAATTCTAATGAGTATTGATTATACGACAATAAAAATTACATTTATGATTCAAATATTTCAATATACCTACGTAGACTATTATTATTATTTGACTATGGCTAACTGTTAGCAATTATATTTAGCCACCATAGTTAGCCACCATTTTTAGCCACCATTTTTAGCCACCATTTTTGTAGTGCGGAATTTTGATTGAACTAACAGCAATTACTAATCGTAAAGTTCATCCACTTATATATATCGATTGAGAACCACCAAGTCAATTATTCGTGGTGCATTCTATTCTTGTGTGTTAACAATCATGGCTTTAACAAAAAATTCCACTTATAAACTCAATTCAGGTTACGAAATTCCAGTAATCGGGTTGGGAGTTTATCTTGCTGAGAAAGACGTAACTAGAGATGTTGTTTATCAAGCATTAAAAGATGGTTATAGACATATAGATTCGGCTCAGCTTTATAAGAATGAGAAGGAAGTTGGTGAAGGAATTGTCAAATGGCTTAAAGAAGATCCATCTCATAAAAGAGAAGACGTTTTTTATACCACTAAGGTTGGTACTGATTTTCAAGGATATGAAAAGGCATTGGCTTCTTTGGAAGAATCTTTTGAAAAGGTGAAGGAGTTGAAATATATTGACCTTGTTCTTGTACATTCTCCAAAGACCGACAAAGAAAGAAGATTGGGGACTTATAAGGCACTTCAAGACTATGTCGATAAAGGGATAATCAAATCAATTGGGGTATCCAATTACGGTATCAGACACATTGAAGAATTGTTGAGCTGGCCAGGGTTAAAATATAAACCAGCTATCGATCAAGTTGAATTTAATCCTTGGTTATTGAGACAGGAATTAACGGATTACTTGAAAAAAAATGATATTGTTGCTGAGGCATATTCACCATTGACAAGAGGCTATCGATTAGATCACCCAGATTTGTTGAAAGTTGCTGCAAATTTGAACAAAACTCCAGCTCAAGTATTGATTAGATGGTCGTTACAAAGAGGATATGTTACCTTACCCAAAACTGTTAACTTGACCAGATTAAAGCAAAATTTGGAAGTTTTCGACTTTGAAATCGATGATGAAAACTACAACATTTTAACGAACGATGAAAATTGGATCTCGAGCAAAAGGGCCCCAGATGACCCCATCTATTATGAAGATCCTTAAAGTGATGAAAGTTATTGAATAACAGACCTTTATATTACGTAACAATAGCCAGATCTTTTTGGCTGATATTGTTTGTAAATTATAATACAATTAAAAGAAACTCTAGAACGTAATACTTTTTGCCAAGGCAATAAGTATTGAAGTAGCCAATCAAACCTTACGGGAAAAAGCCGTTTCTACTCCGTAGATTATCAGATAATATTATCTATCAAATCAGACGCACCACAAGCATGCAGAATAAGAACCAACAAATAAAAAGAACTAAAGAATACCGTATACTTTTGTAAGCCCAAAATTTAAGCTTGGAAAACTAGGCAAAGCTTGACTTCGAGTAAAACGTCAAGAAAAGCTCATCTCGTAACTAGCTTGTGTGAGAGAAGTTAATTACCGATGGTTCTTACCTCCCAACAAACTGTCGTAATTTTCACTTATTACATATACTTAAATAAGCGGAATTTTTTGCTTTCACTCTTTTCCTTATAAGTAAAATCACAGAAACATGGCAAAACCATTGAATTAAAGTATAAACTCCATGTTATTGCAGTATTGACATCGGATGGTGTCTTGGTCAAATTTATTACTTTTTTTTTTTCAAACGGCGATGGGCAGACGCAAGGTTTAACAGCTCAACGGTTTTTGCATTTGCGCTTTTGAACCGTTCTCGGAATTTTGATGCAATGAATCTTCTTTTAACTCAAGAAAAGGCACTTGACACTTTTTGTAGCTTCTTGTTATTTCATGTAGGTTATCTTCACGAATATTAAACCAATGATAGAAAGAAAACCGAAGGGTTGGAGAAGTCATTAGAGGCTGAACAAGAAGACATTGTGCAAAGGATGCTATAGAACAACTGAACAATAGCTTAAATTGAAATGCAAAGAAGCTCCTCCTTCTATCTCCAAAGGTTTCTATATATAAGTATATTACAAAACCAAGTTTTGCGTTTACCTGTTTTCATGTTGAACTGCTGAATTTCTCTACTCACTAAGAAGAGTAAGAAAAGAAATAACTTTGGTAAAATTAAGAATATTAGTAACTTGACATACTATTGAAAAAGTCTTGTCTTATTTGTTTTCTTTTTCTAATTATTGATGATTATCATTATAATCTTATAAAGTCAATGGAACCTTTCTGTAAATAATTTATCAATTATTCTCTGGTCATCTCACAGTAATGTCTTCTCCTTCTACTTCCAGCAAAGAAGTTAAAACCGAAGAAAATAATGTGTCCTATGAACATGACTTAGAAGAACGCACAGTTGAAACCCAAGAGGAAAATATTTTACAAAAGGCCTGGAACAAAAAACTTATATGGACTGCCTATGTTATCGTTATAGCTACTGCTTTCATTGAAGCATTTGCTAATGACTCTACCAGCTCCTTAGATTCTTATGCTACATCTAATTTCAATGCACATTCTTTGATCGCAACAGTAGCAGTGGTTTATAAAATCACCGCCATTTGTTCTTATCCAATCTTAGCTAAGATTGCCGATCTTCTCGGTAGAGGTGAAGGTTTCACTATTGCCGTCATTCTTTATACTTTAGCATACGTTCTTTATGCTTCTTGCACCAATGTTGAAACTTATGTTGCAGGTGAAATCTTCTTCTCTATTGGTAAAACTGGTTACCGTATCTTTCAACAAATCTTCATTGCTGATACTACTTCTTTAATTAATAGAGGGCTTCTTTCACAACTTCCAAATGCAATTGGTGCCATTCCTTCCTTATACGCAGGTACATATGTCATGGATAGCTTCTTGGAACATTCAACCTGGCGTTGGGGTTATGGCTGCTTCGCTATCGTCCTTGGTGTAAGTCTTATCCCTCTTGCAGTTGTCATGTTTTATCTTGACCATCGTGCTAAAAAAAATGGTGAAAGAAAAGTCATTCGTATCACCGAAAGTATTGATCCAAATTCACCTTGGTATAAAAAGGCTTTCCAAATATTATTCGTGGAATTAGACCTTTTCGGTGGTGTCTTATTGCTTTGTGGTATGGCCCTTTTCTTTGTTCCTTTCACTTTAACCGGGAAACAGTCTTCCTATAGATGGCATGAAGGTAGATTGATCGCAATGCTTGTCGTTGGTTTCTTCATATTTTCCTTCTTCCTTGTATGGAATTTGAAAATCGCTAAAAAACCATTCGTACCTGTCAATACATTGAAACTGAAAAGTGCTATAATCATCATCATATTGGTTGCATTGGATTTGTGCGAAAACTCATCTTTTGCAACCTATTTTATAACAACTTTACAAGTCTCAGGGTATTACACTGCCGGGGGTGCAACTAGAATTGATAGATCAAAAAAGGTCTGTATTGACATTTTCAATGTTGTATGCGGTCTTTTAATGAAATACACTAAAAGATCCAAAATCTATGCATTGATTGGTATTCCCGTCTTGATTTTGGGACATGGATTATTAGTCTGGGCGATTTGGAGAGATGGTAAAGTCGAGAGACAGGAACTTTTAATTCTCTTTGAAGTCTTCATTGGGGCAGGTAGAGGTATATATCAAGCCAGTCTTCAAGTCATAATCCAAGGTATTGCGGGTGTGGAGGGTATTGCCATGTCTACAGCGTTTTTCTTAGCCTTTAACTCGGTTGGTTCCTTGATTGGGTCAGCAATTGCTGGTGGTATTTGGAATTCTGTCATTCTCAAAAAATTGAATAAGTATTTGCCAGAGGAACATAAACATAATGCAACCAAAATCTATAAAAACTTAGTTCTTGCCAAAAGTTACAAAAAAGGAACTCCTGCTAGGGATGCAATTGCTAGATCCTATGCTGAAACTTTAAGAATTATCGGATGGGTTGGCTTAGGTATTATTATTCCAATGTTTTTCTTAATGTGGTTTATCAAAGAAGTCCCATTGACCAAATATCTGGACGCTTATGGTAATGACTCAAGTGATGACTCTATTGAAAAGTCAAGTGAGAAAATGCCAGAAAAAAAAGAGAATACCAATACTGATAAACAGGTGACTGCTTGTATTAAATCTTAGTTTATATATTTATATTGTTATAAAACTTATTTTGATAGTTTTATCATGTAATTCACTACATTAATGATGACATTTTATACTCTTCATTTGTTATAGCAAGGGTCATTGTTGCATGCACGATATCTAAACGACATATGTTCTATACATAAATACACCGGTGATTAGATAGATACAGGCAATGACTTTTCGGTACATATATATCAAAAACTCAGAAAACCATGAATAATTTGAGTGATACTTTACAGCTATTTCTTCTTAAGTCAGAATATCTACAAAACTTTTACAAAATATTATTAGATACATTATACTCTTCATCTTTACCGTTAGAAATAGGTAAAAAATTTAATTAGAAGTTTTTTTTTTTTTTTATAAGCAAAATTATGGAGAGTAAGAGTCTTTCTCTTTCACTTGAACTGCTACTCTTTCGTCCTTCAGGTTTGTGCTTTCGTGTGTTCCCTCAATGAACAGTAATTTATTGTCGGTGATATCTGGGTCTTCACCGAATAGTTTACCAATCTCTTCCAAGGTAAGTCCTTTTGTTTCTGGGAAATAAAAAAAAATGATAATACAGTTGATTAAACTCAAAATAATAAAGATCAAAAAATATCTCCATTGAATATGGTTTAATGCTGATGTAACCCCAGTTGTGAAAACTAAGAGTCCAATAAATAAACCACTAGTCGATAAAGCTGCTCCTTTGGATCTTATATGTGTTGGCCAAATCTCGGTAGCATAAACGTAAGTGTTAGCATCAACACAACCTCCGTAAAACACAATATGAAAGAATATGAAAAAAACACCAGCTGCATTTGCAGCTTTATTATCTGATCCAGAAAATAAAGCTACCATGATAAGCTCACCCATGATTGAAATAACACCAGATCCAAAGATTCCAACAATCAAGAGTGTTTTTCTACCGACATAGTCCATCATCAAAGCACAAACAAAATTGTAAACAACACCGGTGGATATATAAGCAGCACTTAAAATAAGTTGCATTAAACTGTCAAAGTGAAGACTTTTACATAATGTTGGAGTATAGTTGGTTACTACCAATGTACCAGTTGCTTGGCCAGCAAACATGGTTAAAAATCCAATAATCAATCTTTTCCTATATGGTTTAACTGTGAAAAGTGAAGACCAAGAAGAATGTTGATTTTCATTTTCAATTTGATATACCATATGAGAAAATTGATCATCATTCAATTCAGATTCAAGATGTTTCATTACTTCCCTAGCTTCATCGACTTTTCCGTGTTCAATCAACCATCTTGGTGATTCGGGCATCCACCAAATACAAATAGCTAAAGCCAAAGGCCAAACCATTTGAAGAGCAAGAGTAACCCTCCACTGAGCATTAACATTTGAGCAAAAATAAAGACCAACATTTACCCAATTACAGATTGAATATCCTGCAATATTCATAGTACCATGCATACCAACCAACAAGCCCCTAACACTTGCTGGAGCAATCTCTGTCTGCCAAAGTGGAACTAAGAAAACAATCATACCAATGGATACTCCAGCTATAAACCTGGCTACAAATAACATTGCAATATTAACAGAAGCAGTCATGATAATAGATCCTAAGATTGAAATCATACAAGTGATGAAAATAGCCCTTTTTCTACCAAATTGTTCAGAGAAATGCCCAGCAAGAAGACATCCAAGCAACCCTCCTCCCGAAAATAGTCCATTAAAAGCATCAGCCTTATTAGCATTACTTTCGTAATCAAAATAATCTATAAAACTAGGCAGACCACTCACTGTACCAGCAACACCGGAAGAGAAACCATAAGTTAAACTTCCTAGACAACAAGCGACAATAATCTTGATAACAAAAAAGGATAAGTCTTGAAACATTTTCTTGCCTTTTCTTAGAGTCTAATTAAAGATGCTGTACGAATACTTTATGTTTACTGGGTTCAAGTTAGCTATATATAAAAGGAATATCTATTTAGAAATCGTTTTCTTACTCTTATCTTATCTTACATAGTGGAAAATACACAGGAGGGTAACGGAAAACTTAGTAAACTCTTGTCGTTGTTCGATTCTGCAAATGTTATCAGCAAAATAATGGTAAGATAATATTGAGGATCATAATTGAATAACACCACTATGATAAATTCAAATGTTATCTTAGAGATTGTTATATTTTGTGAAAAAAACGAACCTGAATTTTTGTGCTTCCGGATCGTAATTGAAACGGCGGACTTCTTCGGTGGATAAGTTTCGGTTATCCGCTACTAACCTAACGTCTTACTCTCGGTTAAGGTTTGGACTGGGGAAAGGTAGGTTATCGTAGATTCGGAATTTTTGACTTTCACAAAAAGCTTGGGACTGAACGTATCTGTTAGATGAAAGCGCTACAGTTAAGTGGCTGAATTGAGTTGGTTTGGTTTCGAAACACCAAAATACTGAAGGAATGGCGCTGATTCTCTTCAAATAGTTGAGGTGATACTGTTGCATTTGCTGCGAAAATTTTTTTACTCTATTTACCAATGAAAAAAATGATAGAACAATGTTCATGTATTTTAAAAGAAACTATAAAAGGTTTTTAGCCAATCTTATGACAGCTTTTACAAGAATACATTAGAAAGAAAAAGGAAAAAGATGAAAATAAAAAAAAGTCCAAGTAAGCAAAAAAAAAAAAAAAATGACAGTGTCAATCACTGTAATTCATTATGGTATAATTCCTGATTGGAATCATGGACGTTAAGTGAAATAATATCTGGTCTGGAATAGTGACCGACAACATCCACCAAATGTTTGTTGTTAGCAATGTAATCCATATCAAGATCGTGGAAAATCACACCATCAAAATCTGGAGCGGTATCCTTAGTAATCTTACCCCCATCAGGAGCGAAGATACAACTACAACCAGGAGCATTCGAGAAAAATTCTGGCATATTACCACCGATCTTATCCAAAATTTTATCGGTAGCAATTGCACAAGCGAAAAGGTAGTAAGATTGGGTTTGAAGAGCATAGGCGGAAGCAGAGACTAAACTACCTGCTGCTTGTTGAGAATAGTATGGACCACTATCACTTAAAACAGGCCAAGATCCAACGTGTATTTCTTCGTGTTGGCAGGCAGAATTGAAGGTGAGAAGAGGTTGGAAATGTTCCCAACAATTCAATCCACCTACTGCTCTAACTCCTGCTTCATTGAAGGTCAAATTTTCAACATTTTTAGTATCACTTGGTCGACCATCGCCATACATAACACGTTCAACGTGGGTTGGCTTCAACTTTCTTCTTTTGAGAACAATTTCACCAGTTTTATCAATGATACATTGGGCAATATAAACAGAGTTTTTATATCTTTCAGACAAACCAAGAACAACGTTGATTGGATATTCTTTGATGGTGTCAATGATGGATTGAAACTCGGGTGAGTCATATGATAAGGAGTTTCTAATATAGTCAGAATTTCTATCCACATTAGCAGCGTTGTTCCATAAGAAAAGTGGATAGCCAGGAATGAAAACCTCAGGGAATGCTATAAGCTCAGCACCACCTTCAGCAGCTTCAATGATAAGCTTGATGGCCTTTTTAACCGACCCTTGAAGATTGTACCAGTCAGGTTCACTTTGAACAACTGCAACTTTGATTGAATTGGCCATTTCTAAGATATAATGTATAATAAGATTAACTTTGATGTATCAAGCTGGAAAAATTAGGCAAATCAGATCACTATACCCTACTTATATACAAGTTGCAATGAATTGAGCTCAACCATCAAGGGTTGGCTTATCGATATCTCTCCTAGACGAAAATACCCACGGAATGGAAAAGTTGGTTCCGAACCCCCAATCTGAGAAAAGCTGCAAAAACGCAGCTTTAGCAGGAGAATGGGGTCCGCATTGCAGCAGCAAAAACCCAATGCCACCGCAAAATCTTTCCGAACCGGTGTTTAGTGCGGTCCCAGTTTCTCCTCGTGGAATTGTACTAACAAAAAGCCTTATCAGAGACTAATTACCAGCTCCTTTGATAACCTCCAAACTGTTTTGTATGCATTTACGATATTGCGGTTTATCTTACTTGATGAGTCCGAGTGCCTAACCGTTTGTATCTGTCTAATTTGTTTTGTTTGACTGGTTTGGCTTGCGACAATGGTTTTTTTTTAGTCGGAAGACGTAGTCCTCAACAAATGGGTAATGGAGGTGGGATCCCCAATTCAATTGGGGACTCCAGGTATTGCATTGTATATGCTTGGAATACGCTCCTGGGAAGTCCTCCGCTTTGGCTATTCAATTATCCCTGGTAAAGCTGTTTTACTGTTCATTTCTCGTGGCTATTATTTTTTGAAGTCGCAGGATTTCGGTGCTGCTTTTGAGCTGATAATATTGCAAAAAAAAAATGGAGATAATGATATTTGACAAAAAACACCCTCTTTTGACGAGATGCTTTTGTTCGGTTTCACCAATCAGATCACTTAGTGGAGCTAGCTTGGGCATTACAACTTTGTTGTTTCCTTTTACAGTTTCTGCTAACTTGCAATTTATTTATAAAATCCAATTGGACAGATTAGACTAATAACAGCCCAAGGTTAAGGCAAATATCCTAACCTGCAATGCTAAAGTCCTTTTATTAGTAATGTTTTTTTCTACGCTTACTAAGTGGTGGTGTTATGCCATAATTTTTCGAAAATAATTCGAAGAAACCGCTTCATCTAGAGATAAAAATTAAAACATAGTAGCATTTATCAATTGAAGACTTATGTACTATTAAGCATGGAAAACCTCAATCAAACTCATGAAAATGATTCGGAGAGTAAAGAATCGTCACCTGATTCTAATGAGTTTATTCAATCTAGCAAAGATGTTGAAGATAGTGAAGACAAAATCGCAAATAAAAAATCATTATCGTGTTCCGAATGTCGACGTGCCAAACGGAAATGTGATAAAAAGAAGCCAAAGTGTAACCTATGCTTGAAAAAAGGGAAGAAATGTTCTTGGTCTGTCATTGATAAAAGAAAGCCCGCCAGTCAAAACTATACCAATTCGCTTTTGAGTAGGATAAATGCTTTAGAATCGGCTTTGAATTATTACAGCTCTCAGAGAGCGTCAATGAAGTATAAATATGTTGATGGTAACTACCATCTGAGCTTGAAGGACTATAATTTCCGTGAAAAATCCCTGATTGTGAAAACTCATTTACCAACACCAAAAGTAGCAACAGAGAGTATGGTTGATGTATACGATTCCAAAAAACTATTGAATCACTTGAATAGTACTTTCAAAAGTGCCTGGTGTTTGAATCTAGATAAGAATGGTTCCATCTCTTTTATGGGTCCCACTAGTTGCAGATATATAAGAATGGAAGATACAAAACTGTTACAGGCACCTAAAAGGATTTATTCTTTGGAGTCCTTTGATCAATTCCACCGAGACGTTTTCAGTTTCTTCTTTAAAATAATGAATAAATCATTACCACTTATAGATGAAGAATTGTTCTTGGGTTCTGTTTATGCTGCAATAGAAGGTGATAAAATGGGTAAATATGCTTCAAGATCTTTAGTAAATTCAATGATGGCTCTTTATTTCTTGTTGAATAAATCAGTATCAGAATACAAACGCTATAAAGATCTTTCTGCAAACCAATTAAAAGAAAGCACCGAGTCTTCTTCTAATATTCCAACTCTTCAAACTTTGGTCGTATTATCCATGTTATGTATGATTGAAGGGGATGAATCCCAATCTTCGGAAATGATTGCAAGAGCGGTTTCATTATCCTATCATTTAGGCCTTTATATAGATAACACTCCCTTAGTTTTAGAAAATAAAATCACTAAAGATGAAGGAAGTTTAAGGGATTCAGTATTCTGGAGTATATTTGTTGTGGATAAATTGAGATCTTCAGTTTTGGGCATGCAACCATATATGAATTGTACGGCCATTTCTACCAAGCTCATGTTTTGCAATATACTCGATTATAAAAAACCTTTTATAGATACTTTTAGAGAAACAGTTGTTTTCAGTGACTTACAGGCAAAGATGGTTGATAAATGCTTCTCGTTCGAATTGTACGCAGCTGAATGTCCCCCTGATAAGGAAGAAGAAAATTTAGTAGAACAAAAAGTCATTATTTCAGAAGCAACGGCTGCCTTATCACTTTGGAAAAAAAATATGACGTCGATGTCTAGGTATTCAAATAATAAATCCATAGCTGCTTTACTTCTTGAAATCCTGCAACTCACATACAATATGGTCATAAATAAACCCTTAATTCATGGATGCTTAAAACTCGACATTATTGATCAATTTCCTAATTCACCGATTAACGTTTGTTCCTCTGCTGCTGAAAAAATAATCAAATTATGTCAAACCCAAGATCTATCCCAAAGCTTTTTCTTGTATCTTTTCTTATATTCCCTTTATTTTTCTTCCATCATTTGTTTATACAATTTGGGAGCTTCGGAATTAGAAATAAGAAACAAATTTCGTAACCTACTACAGGATGCTTTGAAAATGTATGAAGAGTATCGTTCAGTTGCACCTGTCTCAACTATTTACCTTAATAATCTTGAAAAATTCAAGAAAGAATGGTACGGTTAATCCTTTGGACTTATTGATGTTGGATTTATTGCGTATTTGATTCACCAATAAAAAACCTCAGGGTTTGATAATTGCTACAAATTTTCATTCTCATGAATTGTAGACCATTTTCGAAAACTCAATGTAGCTTTTAATAATAAAAAGGTATATGCTCGTTATATCGTTCGCTTGTTATTTCACATCGACATAAGTAAACCTTAAAAAGGCTAGACAATTTTATAGGTATATTATAATTCTATTCCAGAAGTATCAAAGTAGGATAAGAGATTTTTGTCATGGAAAGGTTAACTCAAATGATTAGAGTCGCATCATTAAGTAATAGCTTTAATACTTGTTTTTGCTAAACAAAACGTTTCTAATTCTTTGAACCACCTGTTTCTTTAACTCGGTTATAAATAAGTACAGCTTAAATAAACTTTCTTGATTCTGAAACAGACTTTGATAAACATCTACCAAGAGTATTTAAATATGCTTTAACAAAAATTGGCTTACAATTTATTGCAGCCTAAGCAGATTATGCTATAATATATTACAGACTTCAATCACGAGAATCTCGAAGAAAATGACGGTAAGGACGAAATTTATTCAAGTGAAGGGCTATACGGCTTGTAAACTTGAATAGGTAGAAACTAACCATATACGGAAGCACGAAAAGAGCAAATTTCGTAAATTAATTTAAAATGTTGCGAAATTTTAAAATATTGCAAATTTTTGGAGCATTTTGCATCAAATGTGTTCTTAAAATATTTTTACAAAAAAAAAAAAGTGCATTCAGACAGGGTAATATCTGTTTAATATGAATAATAACTACCAGGGCTTAAAGCTATGCTACTACAAAAGTGAAAGATCTCTATAAAAGCATTTTTCTAGAAAACCATTGTGCATTTATGCGTTGATATTACAAACAGTAAAAAACATAATAGAGAGAGGTAGCTATTTATATCACCGTAAGATACTTTGTAGAACAAACCAAAAACAAATCCTCTACAAATATTGAGTAAAACGAACAATTGTAATTGATTATAGAAAGGAAATCATTAAATTATAGATACAAGAATGCATAACCGAATTAGACCGATGAAGATGAATTAGATCAAAGAATAACGAGAGAAATGAAAGAGGGGTCATTAATAGTAACGAACTTAAAGAGTACGTTCGTTAACAACTTCTAAAGCAATACCAGTACCACCAGTACAGCCATTGTTAGCCAAGGAGAATTTGTTGTCACCAGATGGACAGGCGGACCAGTTATCTTTACCTTGGTAGGTTAAGTGACCATTGACAATTTTGAAACCTTTAGAAGGAGCTTGACGACCGAAAGGAGCAACGTTACCTAATTCACCAGTTTTTGGGTCGACGTAGATTCCCCTTTGATCTTGATCGTATAAGGTACCATCAGCTCTTAAGGTTAAAGTGACGTCTTTGCCTTCATCACCACCAACAGAGAAGACATGTGGATGAGTATCAACTTTTTTGATGGCAGCGTATTGGAATTTAGAACCAGAGTGAATAGAAACAACACCGAATTGGTATTCATTTTTTTCATCAACGGCAAAAGTTGGCTCAGAAGCTTTGGTAGTTTTAGTATCCTTTTTAGCATCTTTAGTAGTGGTGGTGGAAGTAGATGGGTAAACGTTCTCGACGTCTTTGATACCGGAAACTAAGATACCAACACCAAGATTATCAGAACTAGAAGCAATGTTCAAGTCTTTAGATTTGGTGTTAACACTGAATTGTTGTTTGTTATCATAAGTAAGAGAAGAAAGGCCAGCACCAGAAGAAGAAGAAGTAAGAGCAAAATTCTTATCAGCTTTATCACTTTCAACAAAGTTTTTGTTTGAATCTAAAGAAATGTATTTTTTAGTTTTAGCATCAACTAAAGATTTATCATCGTTTAAGATGAATTCAACTTGGTCTCCTTTATTTAAAGTGATTGAGTTACCAGAGTTGGTAAGAGCTGCATATTGGTAGTCAGAACCAGAATGGGTTGAAACAGCACCAAAAGATTTAGCAGCAGCAGCAATAGCAATTAAAGTAGAAATAGAGAAAACAGTGGAGAATTGCATTTTTGTAAGTTGTTTGATTGAGTTATTTGAGTTGTAATGATGTAGAAATGAAAAACTAATTGAAAAATGATGGGAGCAATGGTCAATTTATATTGGTGGAATTTTGCAGACATGTAAGAATATTAAGAGCTTACTAAAGGACATTTTTCCATTCAAGACTATTTAAAGAATGAACCACAAGAACGAAGATAAACAACAACACCAACTACAAATATGAAGAAACGGTATTAATAGCATCACAAAATATGTCAACACTGTAGCTCAAAGTCAACTTCCCCATAAAAAGNATCAGCAAATAATTCTCAAATGACCCTCTGTACCGGGGCAAACCCTAGGGCCTCCTAAATTTAGAGACCTTAGGTGGAATTTGACACAAATGTACTACAAAACCTTCTTGTTGATATTGAGCCATTAGCATAATACGAGGTCGTATTCTTAGAAATCAGTAGGAAATTGCCTCGCAACCTTTCGAATCACTCAATTGTCCAAATTTTATTTCCTTTGACGTATTTTTTTCTTTTTTCTGGATGTTTCTAAATTTAATTCATGTTTTTTTCTTTTTGTTAGGCGTTTTTACTAATAAAACAAAAAAAAGAACTGAGATGGGGCTACGGTGCATATTAGATGAGATGAGCAGATCTGTCAAAGAGAATTACATCATAACTGGAGAAGAGCATCTGCTTATCTGATGCCACTTTAATTTATCTCGAGAACAAGTGAAGAAGGCTAAGCGTATGAAGACTATCAACAAACTTACTTTTCTTGAGCTAAATATGAACGTCATGAAAATCCAGAGCTTTCATCAAAAAAGGACCGGCGAGGTTTGCTCTAAAGAGGTAAAAGCTCTTCAGGCTTTCAGAAAGGTGAATTTTAGTGGCTAAAACTGGAAAGAATCATACAAGAAAGAATTAAATACGTTTAGTGAAATGACTGTTTGACGTGATAGATATTCCGAAAAATGCAAAACTAATACCAGTGTTTGGGTACATACATTCAAACAAAAAGATTTAAAAGGAGATGTGTAAGAATGAGGAAGTTCTGTATGTTCTGCTCAAGGTTTCAGAAAACTAGCTGGTATGCATTTTGATGAACCAGAAGCAGCATCACCGGTGACTTTAATAGTCTATTCTTGCTACCATACATAATTGGAAAATTCAAGATTTGGAGTCAATTACAGAACATGGATGGATTAACGTAATTCATGAAGAAGGAAAAGAGTTGCGCTTACAGTTGCTGCAAATTGGGTTCCTCGGATAAAGCATTAGCATATATTACAATATACTTCATTATAAGTTAGTCTCATATGATCCGCTTACCGCAGTTGAGCCTTTGGAACAATGTTAGTGGATTGAGGTCGTAATTGAATCTACTAGTTATCTCTTCATTCAATCTAATTAATATTTTAGTTACATATTTAAAAAATTATTATACTGAACAGTCTTGCAATTTAAAACTGAATAAATTCGTAAGATAGGAATAACCCAAAGAAAATTAGAAGAAGCCATGAGCCTTCCCTAAAGAAAGCTCTGGATATAAAATGACGGTTTAATTAGAAGAAAGAGGATATGATTCATAATAGAATATATATACACAATTGTAATAACAAGTTCAATTGTAGAGATCAAAAGTAGAGATAACAACTAGTAAATCACACAAATTAGGTTCAGTGGCACAGTGTGTACAATCAACAGCACAATCATGTTTACTAAAGCAAAAATTCCAACAGTCCGTAATACTACGCTTATCATGTTGCTTCATCCGTCTCTTTTAAGACATTCAATACGCTTACTTGGATCACCTGACATAATACCACCCAAAAACTCAATATATTCTTGGTACAAATCACGACTGATATTTGCATAGTATCTGTTCACTACATTAGAATCAGTAGCATTAATATGTTCAATCTCCAAGGTAGTAATGTTTTCATAATTGGCTATGTCATCAAGCTTGAGATATTGATCATCGCCCATTGTTTCTATCATCAGGGCGTATTGCAAGTTTGTAAATAATTGTCTTAACAACATCTTACTAATAAGAACCGTTCTGACCGATAAGGTAACTCGAAGTATTGTATTCAATAAATAATACTCGATAAACCAAAATTTAATCAGTTATCTTAAGGATTTACTATAATTGAGAATTAAATTTTATATTTATTAGATAAACTTAGTAATATATAAAAAGATTGAAGTACAGGCTTTAATGATTAATGATAAAAAGATGAAATTATTTAGTTCTGAGAGAAAGAGAAAATGAGGTTCTTAAAAGCCTGATATATTTCACATTCATATACTTTCAAAGATATTCATTTTTGATAAGATAGCTAATTTTAGCAGTCGTTTCTCCTATTGGTTATCATATTATAGAACTGAGTTTAGGTTATTATTGCGAAGCCGTAGAATAGAGTTTCATTAAAGTTAACCAATACCATCTCCCCCTTGAGCAATTTCACCACGTCATAAGCATCCTTTTCTATGCAAAAGTTGAGTGATTTAGATAAGCTGTTTCCCAAACAATCCGGTAAGTTACACCACGCTATAAACCACCTAAAGGAATTAGCCTTATATTGAAGTGATAAGCTCCAGCGGTACTTCGAATAATAAGTACTGCCATGCTTTGTCTTGTTATTCTAACAATTCGATCACTAAGTTTAAAGTGGTGAAATATTTCATTTAATTCTAGTTGGATTTTCACTCGATATTCAAAGCCCCCTTGAATTTAGAATTATTATTAGCATTCTAAAGTAAGCTTTTAAAAAAGCCGGGGAGACCGACAGTCAATGAAAGAGTGCTTTCGGAGTTCTCGTTTATTTCATAATTTTATATATATATATATTTAGAAAACTTATTGTTAAGTCAAAGTAGAAACCATACTAAAAAAAAACATAATCAACAGGCTTATGGTGCTGTATTTGATGGCTGGTACTCACTTAGAGTATCATCCATTGTTATATCAATTGATAACATTTGAAAAGTGTCCCTATGAGAATTCCATATCATCTCTTCCGACTTATACCTCTCGAGTAGGAGTTGAACTAGCTTGTTCAGGAAGGATCAAATCAGAAATTTCTTCTATCAGGACGCTTATTCAATATCACAACTCGGCTTAATACCACCCATAAACTCAATCTGTTCTTGATAAAAATAAATTCTAATATTTACATTGTTCACTACAGTAGAATTATTAACATTAATATGTCTAACATCTATGAAAAGGCTGCGAATAAAAGCGGGAAGCTATCGATATTGTGTTACACTGAAAAAGCATAAACTATCAATACTTCGGCCGACATATAATACAAGCGGCGACTCAGGTAAGTTCTTTAATATTCCAGAGAGGTATTATACGTAATATATAGAACGCATCATTGCGGGAAGTATAATTTTAGAAGTTTAAAAAAAAAAAAGATAAGTGAAGCTGATTTGGCCAACTATTGATCAAGAAGTTGGTGAACTCTCTGGTGAAAGTGATATGTAACATGAATTTTAGGTAGGCGAAAAACTCTTTTATTACATTCGGATAAGTGATCACTGGATGTAACTTTCTCGTTCAATAATATGTAGTTTCAATCTCCTTGTTTTCTTAACCATTCAATAATAATGATTTGGGAAGAGTAAATGTAATATAGTCCTTGAGTAGTAAAATATAAGTATGAAAAACAAAATTTTCCAAAAACCTGAAGGCTTATAAAGTTAAATGAGGCTTGATAGTTGAACAATATAGAAAAAAAAGTTTAGAGCCTCATTCAGATAACAATTTGCAGCATTTTCTCTCGAGCTGAATTGATACCTCCATTCTGATTGCCAGCTCGGTAGAAGGAGCTGCTAGTGATTCCAAAAAAAAAATACTTACTAAGCCGTTATGAGTAATAAGTTTAAGTTGTCATATTTGCATACCTTATCTTAAATTCTTGAAATTGTTTTTTGGAGGCACCTCGGACCGAGAAACTTCAAGTAACGGCTGATTCAAACCGAAGTCTTATAAGGTTTGAGAACAAGGTCTTTTCATCGTAAATATCTGTCAACCTTAAATGCATATTAAAGTTTGCCCAAAAAAGTATTTCCCAAAGCTGTAGAAGATCATCTTTGTGACTCCGGTCAAGATAAGCAAGTTTTACTGTCAATGGGCTGTGGAGGGTTCTGGAAGAAAAGAAGGGTTTTTGTATTCATGGCATTGAACTTTGGCAACGTTTGCTCAAACTGTGACATTCTGATTTATATGTTCATGATTTGTATGCTGAAGAGAGTCAGTTTTAATATTGGGGGACCCGATAAGGTCTGAATTGTAGAAAGCGCGGGGCCTGTGAGGCTGCAAAATGCGTCTTGCTAACGTAGTGAATTTTCATTGGGTTAAATAGCCTCCCAATTTTTCACATAAAAAAGTGAAAAGGTTTACGAGAATACAGAAATAAAACAGAAGCTCAATTTTGATTAGAACTTTTAATATCCGAGTTTTGTCTATTTAAAGAAAAATTTCGTAAAATTTTCTCCATTTTCCTTAGGAAGTCGCTAATTGATATCCGATTATTCTTCATGCCGAGTTCCAATGAATGGGGTAATTCTTCAGATTAATCATTGAAAAGCATGCTTATCAAAGTGGGCGTCCGTTCACTATGCTGACTCTGGTAAAGAAGAGGTTTAGGAAGTAGACTCTGGAAGAACAAGAAAGCTGGAAAAATAGGTATAATCATATTCAAATTGTTATTTTCTGATATTTGGAAAGTAAGAGCTTCAGGTTTCGGAAACAAAGAAAAGTTCGGGTACTGATAGAGGTTTCGGAATACAATTATTTGCACTGAACGGCACTCACAATAACGTGAGATATGGTTGATGGTCTTTTTTGCAATCAAATGTTGAATGTTCCGTATTTCATGGCAATCAAACCTCTGTTACATTCAATTGTATTAATTCGAGCAGTATATAAAGGCATTCTAAATCTCTATTTTTAACTATGAATTCATTATCAACAAGTTTCTCAAATGTTCTTCTCAAAACTATCTTCTCAAGCTTTATACTTTTTTGTCTCTACTTATCTCCTTGCTGCTTCAGGAGTTGACGCTTTGGCAATATCTGATCATTCAATAGGCGTCGAAAAAAGATTGGCTACTCCTTTAAAAATTGACTTTAATGTTCCAAGAGATGATTTTATTTTAGTAAATGGAACAGATGGTTTAGAATTTTTCAATGTTAAAGATGAGACAAGAACAAAAATTGGTAAAAGAGCAGAATATCATTCTGACAAAAGAGCAGAATATCATGCTGACAAAAGAGCAGAATTTCATGCTGATAAAAGGTCAGTTCTGGCGCCTTTACATAATGAAGGAATTTACTATTCTACTGATATTTATGTTGGCTCCAATAGACAGCATCTTGAAGTTGAAGTTGATACTGGGTCTTCTGATTTGTGGATCCCCGCCAGTAATGACAAATGTAACAGCTGCAATGAATATGGGTCTTTCAACCCGACTGAGTCTAATACCTTCAAAAATTTGAGTGAACCCTTCCACATTTGGTATGAAGACAAGTCGAGTGCTCTGGGTACATTTGTCACAGATGATCTTGCCTTCTCTTCTGATGGCTCCCCTACTATAGATGCTTTACAGTTTGCTCTCGCAAGCCATACTAGTCAGAACCGTGGAATTCTTGGTATTGGTATTGAACAACAAGAATTTGCTTCTTCCGAATACCCCAATACCCCTTTTGCGTTGGCTAACCAAGGTATTATTGATAAAGCTTCGTATTCAATCTACTTAAACAGCCAAGATGCTACAACTGGTACTATTTTGTTTGGTGGTATTGATACAGACAAATTTGATGGTGATTTGGTCAAGTTGCCTTATACCGAAGAAGTCAACAATCGAGTAGCTCAATATGTGCAACTCAACTCTGTCCAGTATGAAGATGGCTCTACTCTTTCAATCAATAGTCCTGTTGTCTTAGATAGTGGAACCACTTTTACTTATCTTCCCAAAGACAGTTTTGAAGCAATTGGCGATAAGCTTGGTGGTCAATTAGAGGGCGCCTCAAATAACTTACATTACTTGATTGATTGTGATTTTCGTAACAAAGAGGGTCATCTAACTTTCGAATTTTCTGGGATTAGCATAAAGGTCCCCTATTCTGACTTGGTTGCCAACCTTTATGATAGTAACAATCAATTTACTGGTCAATGTGCTTTGGCAATATTTAACTTTAACGACATAAATATTCTTGGAGATAACTTTTTAAGACATGCTTACGTTTATTATGATCTCCAAGATAAGTATGTTGCTATTCAGCAAGTTAAATATTCAAGCAGCAGCAATATAGATTCTGCTTAAGTTTCCGGGTATCGCTGTGAGATCATTATCCAGTTTAATCCTCTTAGTCTCAATTTTTTATTTAGTTGAAGTTCACAAATGTTACATTTTATATTCAATAAGTTACTGCATGTAAAAATTCATCATATTCAATGGAGCAGAATACTTATCGTAGGCAATAGCAATTCGCCAATTTTTTGCTCTAACAAAACAATAAAGGTACGTAGATTTGAGCCCAATACATAGAAATTAAAGAAGCATAGAGTAATAATACGTCGATAATTTTACCAGAATAGCTTGCACTTATTTTTCAAGTGACTATTGACGTTAAAAAAAATAATGCAGGTAC